AGTAAAACAAGCCCCACAATACAAATTTACTGAATATAATTTATAAATGTTGATGGAAAGCATCGCAGGCGGGGACCACCTTGACCGCCACCAACGAAAATTCTGCTAAATGGTGCACAACAGAAATGACTATAAATAAGCCTCTGTTGGTCCCCGCCTGCGATGCTTTCCATCAACATTTATAAATTATATTCAGTAAATTTGTATTGTGGGGCTTGTTTTACTCTTTTTTTAGTGTGCAGTCGGGTATTTTGTTTTTTTAATAATATTTTTTTTATGTATATGATGAGAAATAACATAGGTACTCCATTATTAGTACTCCATTGATGTATTGTCATAATGCCTTTTGTGTTGTTTACAACATTATTTTTATAGAACTTGTTTACTATTGAAGTGTATACATGTGCTAATTTTGTCTGGCAGTCGGTCAGTCGTGAATACAACAGTGTATGAAAACACGTGGCGTAATGATTCTATTTAGTGTTGGTACATAAACAATAGGTAGTGATGTGCGGATGCGAGAGATTAGATATTGAATCTATTTATATCGATAAGATAGGTGAATAAATCTGCGCTGGTTTTGTTTAAATGGTGAGGTTTATTAGTAAACTAGCGACCCGCCCCGGTTTCATACGGGTGCAATGCTGATACTACATATCTCCTGTATTTGATGTATACTTAAAAAAAAAACAAACGCCCCACTTTTGGATTTTCTCCTGTGTTGTGGGTGCGTTTACAAACATACACATGACACCCAGACCCGAAACAACAATTTGTGGATTACACAAAGGGTTGTTCCCTGCGGGAATCGAACCCACGGCACGTTGCACGGCAGCCAGTTACCCAGCCACCGCACAAACCGTGCAGTCAAAAAATAAAACCTTCCTCTTCAACCATTTTCTGTTAAAAAACGCATCAAAATCCGTTGCGTAGTTTAATTATACATAGGGATATATATGTACATAAAAATAGAAAGCCAACCAACCAAGCCAAGTAGGGATATATAGTACATAAAAACAGAGAATACATAAAAACAAAGATAGTGGAGAAATTCTGTAGGATCATCACACCCGTGCGAAGCCGGAGCGGGTGGTTAGTGTGATACAAATGTGATCTATTAGTATTCCTACCACCACACCAGTAATTTCAACAGTAAAATGTAATAGGTAAGTAGGACATAGCTATTTGCCAATCGCAAATACTCTTGATCGTGAACATCAGAATCGAAATACATGCCTACTTACTACTTTAAATAATCGACCTTACATCTACTAAAATAACAAGACATTTAAATAAAATAATAATGACGTAAATAATTCAAAAACAAGTATGACAAGTTTGAATTACTTAATTGTCCCTTATTATGTTGCATGCATATTAACTTGGAGTAGAAAAACTAGTCTTGTTGCGTTATCAATGACGCGAAAGGTTGTCCAAAGAAGGTTATTCAATATTTAAGATTGTAGAGCATTTATCATGGCCTCTAATTACTTTTTTCTTAAGTACACAATTTCACGTAGATACACTTCATACGAAGACTTGTTCCGTGTGAGACTCAAACTCGCAACACGTTGCGTTGTAGTCTATAATCCAGCTACCGTGTCCACTGTCCAGTCAATCAATATCATGCATGGTTACCAACAACAATGGGATTGATAACAATTTCGTATTGTATTGAATAATTCTATTTAATGCAGCGGTAAATTCCTGAATTGCTTGGTGCAGTAGTCTTGTATTATATGTAAGCATAGAAAAAACACGAATTTTACTATATTCTCGGTTGCAAACGAAAAAGTCATGAACAATTTGAATACCAATACATTTGAAAAACTATGTACCTTCCTAGAATTTTTGACTGTTAATTCTTGTTATATCGGTTAAGCAAATGAAGTTAAAAAAACTTCTTATTGTTGGATTTCCCTTCATATCAATATGTAAATGTAAATGGGTAAATTCTAATGTACACAATTTACGTAGGTACATAACCTTTGTACATAATTTACGTATTATATCAATTTCAAACACGTGAATACGAATCTCTTATAATCTTCTATCTCATTATAAATTAACTTATTCATGACCATTTTAATTGGTCAGACGCACACACATGTTTTGTAAACGTGCGGGAACACAATAATAGAATGCGCGCATTATTTGTACTATCTTATCGACATAATTTGACCCTTTCCCATCTCTAAGTATACAACAAACAAGTTTTTCATAAGCAACCTTCTTGCGATTTCCTTATTATGGCAACTTTGAACCAATTACAGACTATCTCGTTCATACATGCGTAAATTGTAGCGAGTAAGCGAGACAACACGATCGTATGATCCGTCATGCGAGTTTCATCGCGAATCCTTTACGTCAAAATAGGAAAACAAAACTAAGTCGCTTCTTGATTTAAAGAAATGTTTAGTTATTATAGTTTTAATGAATGAATTAAATCTGATATCTGTGCTACTGTGTAAAATAGTGATTCAAGTGAATTTTCATTGATAAAAATGTATCAGGGGATGAATGGATTGTATTCCGATGCGCCGTACAGGTTAGAAAAAAAAGTTAATATACGATATTCTACGAGTTCGTAATTTTGTTAGAAATACATTGTTTTTCTAGCTTTTTTTAGTTTATTTATGTTTTATTTAAGCCGATTTTCGTGTTCCTAGGCTCGAAATACGTATGAAAACGTGACGGAACGTTCAAAGTATGCCACTGACCGTGATTTCTCCGAGTTTCTCTGTCTAATCATAATAAATGTATTTAAACTATGTACTTTTACTTAAATTTCGTATTTTATAAATAACGTTACACTAAAATTGTGCTTTGTAATTTTTTTCTGTTATGTTCTGCCTGTGGTATTCTATTTGGCAAGTTTTATTTGGCACAAAGTAAATATTTTTTTTTATCTTATTTATTTAATTTGAAATTATTTAATACAATACTTAAAACAAAATTCTAGGTGCATTAAGATCTGTTTTAAAATTATCTTAACTAACCAGCTATCATTTAAAACGATTTTTATAAGCAACACTTATTTATCTCATACTTACAAAAGTATACAATAATAGTATTCCGTCCTGGCAAAAAAAGAGAAAACAAGTTAATATCTTGATTATTACCTTATGAGATTGTCAACATGTGGGATGTAGACTCAGCATTTATTGTGTCAATAGTCATGTCTGTCTTACAGTCTTATGGCTTAAAACTATGAATAACACCCGAGCAGGCTTTTCTTAAATGGTTGGGTCTAAAACCTGATGCAGAAAGCACTATTTCTGGACATGGCATACTTATATTGCCTGGATATTCCTTTTTCTGAAGCCCTGACTACTGGCGGCTTGGACCCCTCTTTTTTATATAGGGTATAAAACGGAGGGGTCCAAGCCATTGGTCCAGGTCATTTTATATTTTTTTTTTATATAATCTTAAATTAAAAATTATGTAAATACTTAAATGAAAAATTATAATATTAAATCCACCTTTTTTACCCACAACTTTGTCCTTGTATTTAAAGAAAAAAATATACCTCCAAACTGTACTAATATATCTTGGATCTCCTCAACTTCATCAACTACTTATGTTCAGAACAAAAATGCATCCCATATATACTTAATACATTTAATCTTATTAGACTCAAGATAATTTGTGACCAATAAGTTTCTTTCTATGATAAATTGACAGTGGAGGAAATACTAAAACCTCCTTACTGACATTTTTAATTTTATAGAAAATGCTTTAATATTCTGTGGTATTGTTAGGTGATTTATTGAATGCTGTTACAATCACATATAAACATTAAGGAGAATCAAATTCAACATGTGAAAAGCGCACCTCAAAATATTACAAAAAGTCAGTTTCTAGAAAAATTCAATGGTTTTGATTGACACTTCACCCCCAAAATACTACTTAAAAAAATGTAGATTGTAGCAAATACAATATGTTTTTTTTTTATTATTTTGCCAAATTCTTTTAAAATGTTTGGCTTCCATTTATCTGGAAGATAAACATCTTTTCAGTTATCAAGTACAGTATTATATCTAAGATAAGTTCTTGCACACTCGAAATTATAACTGATTGTTATAATTTCGAGTTCTTGTCCCCAAAAAAATTCTGTTTCCTGCCATAACAGCTTACCAATATTATAAATGCAGAAATAAATTTGTTTGTTTTTCTTTCAAAGCATGGAAGAACTCTTAGTAATATATATACATATAGAGGTCAGGATGATTCTAAAAAAATTAATATTATGTCAATTTACCTATATGTTTGTGAATACACCACAGGAGAAAATTCTTGTCTTTACTTGTTACTATGTTTTTTTTGTTAATAACTGGAAAGTTATGGTAGTATAGGGGAGGTTTTTTCATATTTACATCTAGCCTTACTTTATGTACCTTAAAACAAGGAATACTATATTTATGTATAGATAGATATTATTTTAACACCATCTTGGAAATGGCTCCAACTATATCGATAAAATGTTGCATTTAAAGGGTTCTAGGAATCAATAAGGGATAGAAAATGCTAATCATCAACACAAACTTATCTTTTTATCAATAAATATCAGGTAATTATATCAATAAATACACAAATAGTTCTTAATAGATAAGTGTTATCATTTTATCATTGTTAATTGTTTAGTATATCAAATTAAGATTGCTTAGGTTTGATATTAAACACAATCAGCTGTTTGGATTTCAATTTCGCTTATTTCAGTATTGTTTTGTGTTGTTTAAACAATTTAATTTGCAATTATTTGCTTAAAATAATGCAGTGTTAGTTGCTACGTAAAAATTTACTCGAGAACGGCTGGACTGATAGTCTGTGATTTTAGAGAAATTATGTTCAGTGTATAATAAATTAATAAATAGTGAATATTGAACTGTTTAATTACACATTTTTGGAAAGATGTGGGGCAAAAGGCATGTGCATAAAGATGTTTAATAAAAACTTGATATGATTTATCATATACTAAGAATACAACATTTTATTTCCAGGCCGTCTATGTCCCAGGGCACGGTGATCCACAGCCAGCGATTCCAAGAGAAAGACTTCACTGTCGCCACTCCTGAGGAGTTTGTGAGGAGGTTCCAGGGCACTAAGCCTATTAATAAGGTGTGTATTGTAAATCAAATAAAATCAATTTTTATTTTCTAGAAAAGTGGTACATAACAGGGACATTGTATTAGAAAAGCTGCAATGTTTATACTAAAGTTCTCCACTGTTTAATAAATGTTATAATAGTTATAATAATAACATTTTAACTGCACCTTTGGCGCGGTGGCTGGGCAACTGGCTGCCGCGCAACGTGTCGCGGGTTCGATTCTCGCACGGGACAACTCATTGTGTGATCCACAGATTGTTGTTCCGGGTCTGGGTGTGATGTGCATGTGAAATTGTATGTTTGTTGACGCACCCACGGCACAGGAGAAAATCCTAATGGTCAAATTTTCAGAATAAAGTATTTTAAAAATTTGACCCTGAAGAGAAAGTTCATCTCCAAATCCCTAATCCCCAAAAGGTCGGCAAAGCACACGTAACTCCTCCTTCGTTGCGGGTGTCCATGGGCACGTACATTCGTTGGCTGACGTATCATTTAAAATAAATACTAACGTAGGGCGCATCATCGCTTGCAACAAGAGTCCAAACGCCCCAACCAAATAGAAAAAAAAATAATTACTGTTAATTTTTTTTTGTTTCAGGTCCTAATTGCAAACAACGGAATCGGTGCTGTAAAATGTATGCGATCCGTGCGAAGATGGTCCTACGAAATGTTCAAGAACGAACGGGCCGTCCGATTCGTGGTTATGGTAAGTTTTTATTCGTATTGATAGTGTTATAAATTACGAACAGCTATAAGATAAGAGAATAATAGCAAAATTTGTAAGTTACACGATTTTTTTTATTTTGAGCTCCGGTGTCACTCGAAACTAGACGAGGTATCTCGAATGGTGTAAGCGAGTAAGTTGTAATTAAAATAAATCTAATCATATCATCGAGATACTTCTCTTGCCCTGTTTGGGAGAGGAATTAGACTGACAAATACAACCCAGCTTTAAATTTTTGCTCTAAGCTTGGCCTTGGTACCTCACAGTGTTTGGCTCATAACCAGGGATGGGTATAAACCTAATTGGCCCCATCTATCCTGTCTGATGATGAATTGGAATCATTAATTGATGATCATCAGCCTATAAGTGCCCACAGCTGCGCAAAGGCCTCTTCTAACACGGAGGAGTCTTCAGCATCAATCACTACGCTTGCTCAAGGCGTATTGACGATTTCAAACTTGCATAGAACGAAGAACTCTCACGCGGTTTCATCCGCTGCTCGGCTCCTACAGATCGTAGCGTGATGTTTTATAGCCTGTAGCACTTCATGACATTGTAGCTATATGTATATCAGTGAAAAATTTTTAGAAATCTGACCAGCCGCGACTCCAAATATTACCCCCTACGTACAAACTTACAAATTACAAAATTTACCTCTTCATAATATTACTATAGATTATAAATTACAAGTCCAGGTTTCCTCACGATTGATTTCCTTCATCATCTTACTATTATTATAAATGAGAAAGTTACGATGTTTGGATGTTTGTTACTCGATCACGCCAAAACGGCTGGACGGATCTGGATGAAATTTGGCACAGGCATAGAATACAATCCGGAATTGGTCATAGGCTACTTTTTAACAACATACCACGTGGGCGAAGCCGCAGACGAAAGCTAGTATTTTAATAAACCTGTTTCTATATTAATAATTCTCCTTTGCAGGTGACGCCCGAGGATCTGAAGGCGAACGCGGAGTATATAAAGATGGCCGACCATTATGTTCCCGTGCCCGGAGGATCCAACAACAACAACTATGCCAACGTTGAACTTATCGTGGACATCGCTATACGGACACAAGTGCAGGTTGGTAGTTCGTTTTTTTTCTTTATATTGTCAGCGTTGTGTTTCGCCTTGTGAGTGAGGTTACCCGAGGCCCAATCTCAAAAACTCCAAATTCCTCATCCCCAAAAGGACGGCAACAAACTCGTAGCCCCTCCGTTGTTACGGATGTTCCGTGTGGGAACGAACCCGCGACACGTTGCGCAGCAGTCAGTTCGCCGGGCACTACGCCAACTGATGCCGTCTTATCACTTTTTTATGTCAGTCGGCAAACGAGCATCGGGATTACCTGATAGTAAGCAATGGGCGCCGCACATTGACACCCGCAACACCAAAGGAGTTACGAGTGCGTTGCCGGCCTTGCGGATATTTAAGGATTGAGAAGGGGGAGGGATTGGGCCTCCGGAACCTCACTCACTCGGCGAAACACAACGCTGTGGTTGTTTCACGCCGGTTTTCTGTGAGGCCGTGGTATCACTCCGGTTGAGCCGACCCATTCGTGCCGAAGCTTGGCTCTCCCACACTTAAGTTACCTGAAAGTAAGCCATCAGCGCCATCCACTACCACTACTAGCCACTTGCAACACCAGAACTATGAGTGCGTTGCCGGTGTATTGAGGATTAGGGTTACGGATATTTAGGGAATGGGGGAGGCGAAGGATCAGGTCTCCTGTAACCCCACTCACATAGCGAAACCACGCTGTGGTTTTTTTCACGCCAATAGCCGCCATTTCTTTAATAAAATTAATTATTATTATCGTAGCTCCATATGATCGTAGCATGATGTTTTATAGCCTATACCAGTCAAGAACATTGTAGCTATCTATCAGTGAAAGAATTTTGGCAATCCGACCAGCGGTTCCAAAGATTACCCCCTACATACAAACTTACAAATTTTACCTCTTCATAATATTAGTATAGTTTTTTTTTTATTTAACATATAAACATATAATTTACATTTTTAAATATTTCTTCAAAATTGAAAATAAAAAAAAACCTTTAAAAATATAAAAAATAGTGTCCCACCGGTATCGGCAACAGGGTCTTAGCTACCGGCGGTCAGGGCTCCAGAGAAAGAAACCTCCTGACAATACGAGCCGTGTCCAGGAGTACCACTTTCTGAATCAAGTCCTTAATCCAGCCACCTAACGAGAGCCTCCTAAGATGTTGGTCGAGGCTCTTGGCTATTAAGCCATTGGCTGACACGACTATCGGTACAATGATAGCTGAATCCACTTCCCACATGTCGACAACCTCGCGTGCCAAGTCGATATTAGTATAGATTATTATTTATACATTTGTTTATTAAAGGTGCATTAATTAACTGAAACCTCCTAAGTCCTTTGTAATATTTGTCGTATTAATAATAAAATAATATCTATTTTCCAATTAATAAAGCTGAAAAATTTAAACTTTTCTTTTATTTTTACAGAATAAAATATATCCCCAATTTCTCTTCCACAGGCTGTATGGGCGGGATGGGGTCATGCGTCCGAGAACCCCAAGCTCCCCGAGCTGCTTCACCGCGCTGGGGTCGTGTTCATTGGACCCCCGGAGAAGGCGATGTGGGCTCTAGGAGACAAGATCGCCTCATCCATAGTGGCTCAGACGGCCGAAATACCCACTCTTCCATGGAGTGGTAGCGGTGAGTTTTTATATTTTTTTATGTATATAATACGGTAGTTTCCAACTAGTCAAATTCAATACTTTTACCAAAAATTTTAATACAAAAAGTATTTTAGCGTCAAAAAGCTAACTTATTTCTAAAAAATATTTAAAACATAGTGTATAGATCGATCGATGAATAAAAGTATAGTTATTTTTCAATATTTTATAGTATTGAAACGTCGGATTAATTTATTTTTGACCTAGGAAACTACCCAATCCTGCTGTACGTATGTATGTCATTGAGCTGCTCCTAAACGGCTTGACCGATTTCAATATTTTTTCTGTATGCATTCGAGTGGCGCCCTGGATGGTTTAGATTCACAAATCAGCCCGGCAAATGGCGCTGATTGCTTGAAAAAGCATGTGATCTTGGAAACGGCCCTAACGATTTCGCAGAAATTTTATGTATTGCCTGATGGTAAGCAATCATCGCCGCCCATGGACACCTGCAACAACAACGGAGGAGGATACGAGTGCGTTTCCAACCTTTTGAATCACGGGAAAGATTGGGCCTCCTGTAACCTCAGTCACACGGCGAAACTCAACGCTGCCTGTGTCTTTTGAGTATTAATTAGTCTTTTGGAGATTTAGGGAGGGATTTGAGAGAGGGAAAGCATTGGGCAAACGGTAACCTCACTCACACGGCGAATGTCTTCTGAAGACTAGACTTTGGGAGATTTAGAGATTGGGGAAGGATTGGGAAGGATTTTAGAAATTAGGCTTTCGGAGATTTAGGTATGGGGGGAGAGGATTTTGTCTCTAGTAACCTCATACACACGACAAAATGATTTTGTCACCACCATTCTATGAACGCTTGACATTCTCTCCCAATAAAATAATAAACGGTTTTCTTCTTTTTCACAGAGCTAAAGGCTGAATACAACAGTAAGAAGATTAAGATTTCTTCTGAACTCTTCGCTAGAGGGTGCGTCACTACTCCAGAAGAAGGATTGCAAGCGGCGCAGAAGATTGGTAAGCTCTTTGATGTAGTTGTATTTTTATTTAATAGATAACTTGAGTTATATTAAATTTTGATATTAATGTGTGTATATACTTAGTCGGGTCATAAGTTCTGTCAAAACCTTATATTTTTAATTTTCGATTACTGGCCAGAAATTCTTCGACTTATTTTAAAAATAGAACTTTCGCGCTTGTAGAAAATAAAAAAGAAATTATTTTTTATTCATTTTTAAATATGGAGTGGTCGAATAAAGAAGACAGAATCGCGGTTATCGCGTTGCACCGCTGTGGTTACGCGCCAAAAGACATTTTCAATATTCTTCAAAATTTGAAAATAACGTTACGGTTTGTTTATCGTACTATCAAACGATACACCGAAGAGTCAAGCTTCGAAGATCGTAAGAGAAGCGGCCGACCTCGCACAGTTCGGACACATAAGGTCATCAAAGCAGTGAAGGCGCGAATCGAACGAAATCCCGTACGTAAACAAAAAATCCTAGCTCTGCAGATGGGGCTAAGCAGAACCACTGTTAAAAGAGTACTAAATGAAGACCTGGGACTACGAGCTTATCGTAAAAAGACAGGACATTTTTTGAACGAGCGTTTAAAAAAAATTAGGCTAGACAGATCCCGCGCTTTGCTACGACGGTACGCGGGAAAAAAATACCGCGAAATTCTTTTTTCGGATGAAAAAATTTTTACTATTGAAGAAAGTTTTAACAAACAAAATGATAAGGTGTATGCCCACAGCAGTGAAGAAGCAAGCGCGCGTATTGCGAGGGTCCAGCGTGGGCATTACCCTTCCTCATTCATGGTTTGGCTTGGAGTCTCATATTCAGGCGTAACTGAGGTGTTTTTCTGTGAAAAAGGTGTGAGAACTAGTGCCGAAGTTTATCAAAATACTGTCCTAACAAACATAGTGGAACCTCTTTCTCAGACAATGTTCAGGAACAGGCATTGGATATTCCAACAGGACTCTGCACCGGCTCATAAGGCACGAAGTACGCAAGACTGGTTGATCGCTCGTGGAATTGACTTCATCCGGCATGAAGACTGGCCCTCTTCTAGTCCAGATTTAAACCCACTGGACTACAAGATATGGCAATATTTGGAGGAAAAAGTCTGTGCTAAACCTCACCCGAATTTGGAGTCTCTCCGAGCATCTCTGGTTAAAGCAGCGGCAGACATAGATATGAATGTGGTGCGTGCAGCGATCGATGACTGGCCGCGTAGATTAAGGGCATGTGTTCAAAATGGGGGAGGGCATTTCGAATAATGTAAATAAAATTATATTGTACATTTAATGACCTTTCATTTCATATATAATTTTTAAATAATTGTCAAAAGGCGTATAAGTTATTACATCAAAAGTTTGTGACAGAACTTATGACCCGACTAAGTATATACTTTATATTAATGTCTTTGTGTAATGTAAAAATAAGCAATTCGAACATGTTCGACTAGTTTCGAGCTACACCGGGGCTCGTAAAATGATGTGACAGTTAGTTTGCTCACAGTCAAGTAATTGATCGATTTACAATTACGTAGAATTGATCCACGAGTAATGCGAGCTCGCAGCTCCCATCATAAATATGAGTCCTGGTGTGACTTGAAATTAGTCGAGTTTTCCTCCATTGGTTGACGTAAGTTTATTTACTCTGTGTTTCAACTTTATTGTTATTTCTCATGTGAAACTGATTTAAAAAGAGTAACCATGGAGTTTCTTGCTCGTTCTTCTCTATCGGAATCTTCACTTTGGAACGAGCAAATAGCTTCACTAGAGGACTAACCGACAATCTGACACTTTTTATCTTTAAGCTTTAGTTGACGGTCAAAAGTGCCTGTAAGGGTCTAATTGAAATAAATGATTTTGACTTGACTTGACTTTGTAATTTTCCAATATTTTTGTCTTTATTTTGCGTCTTGTCGTTGCTCTTGTAATAATAATAATATCGTTGATGTCACATTCAGGATTCCCTGTGATGATCAAGGCGTCGGAAGGTGGCGGTGGCAAGGGTATCAGAAAAGTGGAGAACCCTGATGACTTCAACAGCGCTTTCAGACAGGTATGTATACGTTGGCGGCCTTTGGAAGAGTAGGGGGAGGGGGGGGGGGGTTGGAAGGAAGGGAGAATTTGTCTCAGCAAAAGCATATTACTTAGGTACCATAAGTAAATAAACAGTTTTTTTACGTGATAGGTCGCCAAAGAGCAGGCTGATTACCTGATGGTAAGCAATCGGCGCCGCCCATAGACACCCGTAACAACTGCAGAGTGGCGAGTACGTGGTCGACCTTTTTGGGGATTATGGATCTGGAGATTTTGGAATTAGGGGAGGGAGGAATTGTGGTACATTGCGGGTAGACCGCAATATTGCTCGCGCAAACACTAAGATAAAAACATTGTCCGCAATGTATATTGGCTTTGGATAGGTGATTTCAAACTTTTAAACAAGTCCAGGTTTCCTCACGATGTTTACCTTCACCGTATGTCAGTGGTGTCTAAATAATCATAGAAAGCACATGTAACTCGGTAAAAGTCATATTGCTACTTGTCAGGTTTAAAACCCGCCTTAACCTTCGGGACACCACATTACAAATCAACTACATATTAAGACCTGTGAATTACAAATGATTGATTTGATAATATCGTCCCTATAATATGAATGCAGGTACAAGCAGAAGTGCCCGGTTCCCCGATATTCGTGATGAAGCTCGCCAAGTCGGCTCGCCATTTGGAAGTACAACTCTTGGCTGATCAGTACGGTGAGTTTTATTTTAATTGCAGGAGAAGGAACGGGGGTGTTTTTAGTCAGTGAGAGTCTGACACTCTCTCTCGCCCCATCCATGGCGGAAGAAGGGAGTTGATGACTTCTCCCCTTTAAAAAAAAAGAGTTTAGTCTATAGTCAGAATTTTAATTCGATTCCTGGTTTGACATGACCTAAAAAAATAGCGACCCAGAGCGATAGCGATAGCGATGACGGTGACAATTTATTAAATGTCTGTTTTATTTGTCATGTTCCTTCATGATCACATTTTTTATTAATTTCACACACAATTACAAAAGAAATGTCTCAGATCGTTAATTAATTGTCAAAACTAAATTATCGGCTCAGAAAAATTTTATTTCCTGATAAACTTAGTTTACGAGAGTAAATTTATAAACGAGAGGAATCGATTCAGAAATATTCGATTTCCATATCGAATAATTTCGAAACGTCACTATTTATTACGTGTCATAACGTTGCAACACTGAAATTGTCAAATCTGGAATGGAATTAAAATTCCGAGTAGGTATAGGTCTAATGCAGTAAATTTTTAAATGATCAATGATAGAATGAAGATTTCGAGATTTCGGAAGTTGGGTCCTTTAAGTGCAATGATGGGTTTAAAACCTTGTTATACTGTAGTTTCCAACTAGTCAAATTCAATACTTTTATCGGAATGTTAAAAACGATAATTTCCCACGACACAGGACAAAATTCTAGTGCGGGGCTAATATTTAAAAAAAAATTGTTCGCAGGCAACGCTATCTCCCTGTTCGGTCGTGACTGTTCCATCCAGCGTCGTCACCAGAAGATCATTGAGGAAGCGCCCGCTGCCATCGCCAAACCTGACGTCTTTATCGAAATGGAGAAGGTATGCCATACGCGACTTTAAGTTCATGGAGATCACTAGCTACTTTTTCACCCGCTGCTCGGCTCCTACAGATCATAGCGTGATGGTTTATAACCTATAGCCTTCCTCGATAAATAGACTAACAAACACAAAAAGAATTGTTCAATTCGAACCAGTAGTTTCGGAGATTAGCGTGTTCAAATAAACAAACTCTACAGACTGAAATCGAATAAATGCGACAAAATGAAATGGGAGCTTCAGTTACAGTAACATAGTATAACTATTTTTCTACAATCAAAGACCATGAATAAAATGACGTGATTATCGTTTTAAAATGGTCCATTGACGTTGTTATCTTTATTTAAGTACGAATTATCAGTATTCCAGAAAAACATTATTTAAGTGTGGGAGAGCCATGCTTAGGCAGTAATGCGTCGGCTCGACCGGAGTGATACCACGGCCTCACAGAAAACCGGCGTGAAACAACCACAGCGTTGTGTTTCGCCGTGTGAGTGAGGTTACCGGAGGCCCAATCCTTCCCCTCCCCCAATCCCTCCTCAATCCCTAACTCTCCAAATCCCTAATCCCTAAAAGGTCGGCAACGCACTCGTAACTCCTCCGTTGCGGGTGTCCATGGGCGGCGCTGATTGCTTACCATCAGGTAATCCGTCAGCTCGTTTGCAGACCTATTACATAAAAACACAATTAATATGCAAAATAAATAAGAAAAATTTAAATATCAAGAAATCTCGTCCGACATAACGCGGTGCAGCATGTTATTATATTAAGCGTTGCCGTTCATAGCGATCATTCACCTCACCGTGACACAAATGAAAGTCTATTAATTTTACATTTGATATGTTCTAAATTTTCTTGACAACACATATTATTGTATGTTGAAATTTGTCGCATCTATTCTATTTCACCCTGTATAGCTTTATAATATTAGTATAGATTATCATCAGCTGGAAGCCGTTCACTTAGATATCCACGTCGAAACTCCCCACTTCCACCCATTGGCTCTGACCAGTGTCGTAGAAGTATACATAGAGGACTAAGGGGAGGCCTTTCAGCAGTGGACGTCTTGCGACTGATGATGATTGTTGTCGGGATTATGTATCTTAATTGCGTAGAGAACTCTTATACCGTGATGTAGAATCTTGATTGTGATAGATGTCGCTATAATGATGATGACTCTGACCATGTCGTCGGTCCACCTAGCAGGAGGTCTACCCAAAACCTTCACATATCACTGCCCCCCCCCCCCCTAAAAACCCATCTTTTTCCAGGCCGCTGTCCGTCTTGCTAAAATGGTGGGTTACGTATCAGCTGGTACAGTAGAATATCTGTACGAACCGGCGACAGGCGCTTACTACTTCCTGGAGTTAAACCCTAGGCTTCAAGTAGAACATCCTTGCACGGAGATGGTTGCCGATGTCAATTTACCCGCTGCCCAGCTTCAGGTAAGTTTAAAAAACCAAGAAGCCTGAAACGACCAAGTAGACCGATTTGGTCTTTTGGTCTTTTCAGTAGACTTGAGTGGAAATTGATTAGAAATATTAATTAAACTGATCATTTATTTGAAAATTCATAACAAATATTGATGCAAGTCGTTTTATAGTGTTAAGAGTATCTGATTTTTGGGTTTAATTTCAATTAACAGACATTTCCTTATATTTCTGTGCATTGGCTACTCTCTTCTTGGATGTTTAGGATAACTATTGAAAAGAATAAATGAGTATTACTAGAAAGTCCAAGTATTTTAATTAAGACCAGGATGAGCAGAAACCATACAATATAATTATTACAGATTGCCATGGGTCTGCCCCTATACCACATAAAGGACATCCGTCTTCTCTACGGCGAGTCTCCATGGGGTCTATCGCAGATAGAATTCGACGAGCCCAAGCAGAGACCCTCGCCGTGGGGTCACGTCATCGCCGCTAGGATCACATCGGAAAACCCTGATGAAGGTAACATTTAATACATTTTAAGTCGTGTAGCCAAGCCGATAGTGTTTTATGTACGGGATTTCATTATTCTCCACGGGATCAATATATAAAAATTTTGCAGTACGTTTTACAACTCCTATTCTTCCTGCGGATACCTAACTTCTTACTAATACTAGGCATGCGAAAGTTACGATGTTTGGATGTTTGTTACTCAATCACGCCAATACGGCTGGACTGATCTGAATGATAGTTCTTTTTCTAGAGGTTACTTTTTAAAAACATTGCACACGAGCTAATCCACGGGCCGAAGCTAGTATTGAATAAGATACACATACCTAAATGTAAAAGTGCTGTTTTATGACCTATTTACAAGAAATCATTGTCGCAACGTGTCGCTAGTTCCATTCCCGCACGAAACAATTATTTGTGTGATCAACAAATTGTTGTTCCGATTCTGGGTGTGATGTGTATGTAAAATTGTATGTTTGTAAACGCACCCACCATTATATAAAAATAAAATTGTTTCATCGTTTAAATTTTCTTCCCAACAGGTTTCAAGCCCTCCTCAGGAACGGTCCAGGAGCTGAACTTCAGATCTTCGAAGAACGTCTGGGGATACTTCAGCGTGGCCGCTTCAGGAGGTCTGCACGAGTTCGCAGACTCGCAGTTTGGCCATTGCTTCTCTTGGGGCGAGACCAGGGAGCAAGCTAGAGAGTGAGTTTACATTTTTTGATTTAGGTAGTTTTTTTTCAAAGATTTTACACTTGATGATCCCCTTTTTAGCGCTTTTGTCCGTCTTTTTAAATGGAAAACAATATCTCATTCCAGATTTTTATCTATATTCTATACCTATGTCTAACTACATCTTTGTTCATTTCTTTCTTGCGTAAATAAGTAACACATTAAATATAGTAGGATACTATACAAGTTGCAGTAGGCTCTTATAGGCTGATGATGATGATGATGATGATGATGGTGCTCCATGTAGACCACATCATTGCCTACCCCCAGGCCAGATAGCGGCCAAAAGGCACACTACTAATAAAGATAAAGTAGACTAAAAAATAATTATTATTTCCCAGAAACTTGGTGATAGCTCTTAAAGAGTTGAGCATTCGCGGTGACTTCCGTACGACCGTGGAATACCTGATCACACTGTTGGAGACTGCCGCCTTCCAGAATAATGACATCGATACAGCCTGGCTGGACGCACTCATAGCTGAGAGGGTGAGTAGAATGAGTAGTCCAGTAGACTAAAAGACCAAGAAGACGAAAAGAACAAGTAGACTAGTAAACTACTGAGTAAGAGCAAAACGTATACTCCTTTTTAAATGTATTTTTTATACGGTCTGTTACTCCTCTATGCTAATAATCCTGGATTCTCTTCATCATCAGATGCAATCGGAGAAGCCGAATATAATGCTGGGTGTCATCTGCGGGTCCATACTCATCGCCGACGCCTACATCACGGCCAACTTCCAAGAGTTCAAGAGCGCTTTAGAAAAGTAAGTATTTAGAATACGACAAGGCCCTGAATCGTTTAAAAAATAATGGATTATTACGGAGTATGGTATAACTAGGTTGAGTCCCGGTTGAGTATTCAAATATCTTAATCACGAAATTCTTTTAGGGGTCAAATCCAAGGTTCCAGTGCCTTATCCAACTGCGTGGAAGTGGAACTCATCCATTCTGGCTCGAAATACAAGGTGTCTGCCACCAAGTCTGGCCCGACGTCCTACTTCCTCGCGATGAACGGCAGCTTCAAGGAGATGGAGGTCCACAAGCTTACTGATGGAGGTGAGTAGACCGAAAAGACCGGAGAAGACGGAAAAGACTAAAGTAGACCAAAAAAAATCCGGAGAAGACAAAAAAGGGAAAAAGAAGTGTAAAAATGTTGTTTTGATTGAAGATAAATTTTTGGGATATTTTCTCAGTTTTGATTAATTTAGCTGGACTATCAGTTGTATGAAATAATACTATTCTCCCCAGGTATGCTACTGTCAATCGACGGCGCCTCCTTCACGACCTACCTTCGAGATGAAGTGGACAAATACAGAATCGTGATCGGAAATCAAACGGTGGTCTTTGACAAGGAGAAGGACCCATCGAAGCTTAGAGCGCCATCTGCCGGCAAGCTGATCAATACTTTGGTCGAGGATGGGGGGCATGTCGATAAGGGACAGCCCTATGCTGAGATCGAGGTTTGTTTATTTTAAATTAGATAAACAATAATTATATTAATTTCAATAATATTATAGTACTTGTATAGTTAAGTCAACGAATGAAAGAAAAAGAAAACCGGCGTGAAACAAACACAGCGTTGTGTTTCGCTGTGTGAGTGAGGTCACTGGAGGTCCAATCCTTCCCTTTATTTCCCCAATCCAAAAGGTATCAAAAAAGCTCGCGTAGCACCTCCGTTGTTCGAGGGACGATCTCCAGCCACCGTAAGTACGGGCCTGCGGTCGGCGAGTAAGGGCAACTCGCCGCCCGACCAGAACCAGGCCCGAGCGTACGGCGCGTAGCGTTCCGCGCGCGCCTCAAAGAGTCAATAGACCACCACAGACGGGGCCCTAAAGGGCTGATGTTCAGCCGGGGTGGAGGGGTAAGCGCGATGACGCACCACCGTCCATAGGCGGTGCCGATTGCTTACCATCAGTTAATCCGTCTGCTCGTAACGAGATGCTAGGATGAGAATTCCTAAGATCGATATTTTCAAGTGTGGGAGAGCCATGCTTCGGCACGAATGGGTCGGCAATGATATCCGGAATGATATCACGGCCTCACAGAAAACCGGCGTGAAACAACAACAGCGTTGTGTTTCGCCGTGTGAGTGAGGTTCCCAATCCCTAAATCTCCAAATCCCTTATCCGCAAAAGGTCAGCAACGCACTCGTAACTCCTCGGTTGCAGGTGTCCATAGGCGGCGCTGATTGAAAAAAAAAGATTGAGGATGGGTCGGAGCTTCGGTAACCTCACTCACACGGCGAAACACAAAGTGTTTTGTTTAAAACAATTCACTCTAGTCGAGCCGACCCATTCCTACCGAACCATAGCACTCCTTAAATTAGGTTGCTAACTGTGACATCATACTTATTCCCTCAAATACCATCTTATCAACAGGTAATGAAGATGGTGATGACCCTGGCTGCTCCGGAGTCAGGTAAAGTGACCTGGATCCTGCGGTCGGGAGCTGTACTCGATATGGGCGCTTTGATTGGAACATTAGGTAAGTTCTTTGTTTTTATAAAAACTGGATCTTGATTTGCTTCGAAATACTAAGTTTTTAATGTTTACTCGCGGTCGCCAGCGGCTTCTCGCCTGCGTGCATGTCGATTTTACACTTTTTCAAGTTTGTAAATTTTCTTTATGCACAAACCTTGTTTGGACTTCTAAGAATAATTCAAGACCAAAATTAGCCAAATCGCTAAACGCATTGTTAAGTGGCAGTGGGCAGGTCACATCTGTCGAAGAACCGATGACCGATGGAGTAAACGTGTTCTAGAGTGGAGACCACGTCTAGGCAAACGTAGTGTAGGGCGCCCTCCAGCTAGGTGGACTGACGACATCCGCAGGGTGGTTGGCAGTGGTTGGATGAGAAGAGCTGAACATCGAGCTCAGTGGCGTGCTATTGGGGAGGTCTATGTCCAGCAGTGGACGACAACAGGCTGATGATGATGATGATGATGATTGTTAAGTTTTAACATTACAACGAAATGTGGCATTGATTTTTATGTATTATATAGATACTATGTGTATTGTTAGGTTAGAGGTTTAGGCACTTATCATGCATGAGGATACGGGTTTAAAACCTGGCAAGTACCATTGTGACCTTTTCTTACTAAAAAAGGAAAAGTTATTCTACAATAAAATGCATGTTACTATCGTACATACATATAAATCTATTTAAAAAGAATTTAATCACTCTATCTATTAAAGGAACCGCATCAAAATCCGTAGCGTAGTTTCAAAGATTTAAGCATACATACTTTCGATGTTTTGTTTCATTTTTTATGTTAGTGGTGTCTTAATAACTATAGAAAGTAACAGTTATTGTATTTTCGTAGTTATCATATCCAGTCCATAGCAACCCATACCTATAACCCTATACATTTTTATCACATTTCGCAATAGTCCTGCATCAACCGGAGATTGTCCTTGGGTACACTTTCATAGTGCATACAGGGATAATTGTCCCATTTCACTTATATTAAAGTTATTCGATGGGTCTCTTCGAGTTGGCTTCGGCCCCTCGTACGCCTTCCAAAAGTCTGGGACCCTGTGGTCCTGTGATTGGAAAGGAACATACATAGAAAGTATATTATAACTAAATAAGCTAAAACTAAAGAAGTCACGTTGATAGGTAGGTACTTGCCAGGTTTGACCAGCCCTAACCTCCGGACACCAACGACTCAGTGAAGATAACTTCAGAAGAAGCGCACTAAATAAATAAATATATAATTCTTCCCTTCGCAGAACTGGATGACCCCTCCCTGGTGACCACAGCGACCCCCTACAAGGGCCAGTTTCCCATTGAGGATAACAACCAGTTGTCTGAGAAACTCAACCATGCGCACAACAAGTACAAGTCGGTTCTTGAAAATACATTACAAGGTTAGTTTTTGTGTTCAGTCAGGGTTGCGGGGTAAGCGCAATAAGGCACCGCGGCCTCGGCCTAGAGCAGGAGAAGGAACAGGGGTTTTTAGTCAGTAAGAGTCTGACACTCTCTCTCGCCGCACCTTGGGCGAAAGAAGCCATTTGATGATTTTCCCCTCACAAAACACAAAATACAGCTAGTCTTTTGTGTAGTTTTTTTTCAAGAATCTTTATACGGTAGCTTCTAACTAGTAAAATTAAATACTTTTATTGATATATCATAAACTAATTTTCTGTTTTTTGTTGACCTCGCAACCTATGACGTCATAGTGGTTTTGCGTCGATTAGCTAACTTATTTTTGAAATGATACTTTTTAGTTTAAGTGTATCGTGAAATATATGAATTAAATTATGATGATTATATTTTGATAATATATCATTATATTAGTGGTTTCCTAGTTCAAAAAAAAATTAATTCCATGTTTCAGTGCAATATAAAATATTGAAAAATAGCTATACTTTTATTCATCGATCTATCGATACATTAATTGTCAATATATTTTAGCTAATTTTTAAGAGATAAGTAAATTATTTGACATTTGGATAAAAAAGTATTGAATTTGACTTGTTGGAAACTACCGTATTGTTCTTCTACATCTGTTAACCATTTGAAAAAAAAGTGTTCTAATTCCAAACTCTTGGTATCCATAGGCTACTGTCTCCCGGAACCTTATAACACTCCCCGGCTCCGTGAAGTGGTTGAGAAGTTCATGCAGAGTCTGCGCGACCCCTCGCTACCACTCTTGGAGTTACAGGAGGTAAGTCGTAGATGCTAAACTTATATTATACTAGCGACCCTCCCTCCCACATATCAAATTTCATCAAAATCGTTAGGGCCGTTTCCGAGATCACATGCTTTTTCAAGCAATCAGCGCCATATTTGTGAATCTAAACTATCAAGGGCGCCACTCAAACGCATACAGAAAAAATCATTTAAATCAGTCAAGCCGTTTAGGAAGAGTTCAATGACATACACACGTACAGCAGAATTGTATATGAAGACATGTAGCGTTCCGCACGCGCCTCGAAGAGCCAATAGACCACCACAGACGGGGCCCTATAGGGCTGATGTTCAGCCGGGGTTGCGGGGTAAGCGCATTGAGGCACCGCGACCTCGGCCCCAGAGCAGGAGAAGTAACAGGGGGGGTTTTAGTCAGTAAGAGTCTGAAACTCCCTCCCGCCCGGCCCTGGACGAAAGAAGTCATTTGATGATTTTCCCCTCACAAAAAAAGAACGGGTCCCTATAGGATGATGTCTGGTGATGATGATGGAGTTTGAATTTCAATGACTTTCTTAATCCCCAGGTACTATCTTCGACATCAGGCCGTATCCCCATAGCTGTCGAGAAGAAGGTCCGCAAGTTGATGGCACTGTACGAGCGGAATATCACCAGTGTTCTCGCACAGTTCCCCAGCCAACAAATCGCCAGCGTCATCGACCAGTGAGTTACAAATTAACCCTTATTTCATATCGCTTTAAGGTTAAATTTTATAATGCTTGTCAAGAAGAATCGGACCTCATGTCTGTAGGAATAAGGTCGGGTTTTGCTGAGTCGTTTGTACAAATGTAGACTTTATTACGTTTGTCTATAAGGTTGATTTTGTTCTTAAAAATTGTTTTTAAATAGTTTGACTGTTAGTTATGAATAATATGTTCTGTTTGTATTGTTGAGGCATTTTGGATTCTATGAAAAGTGAAATAAGACTCATTTTATTAGGAAATGTTATAAGTTCGAACTGATTAGCAAAATCATGTCAATATAAGACTATTTCTTGCCAGTTGCTCCAGGGTATTTGTTGTGTGCGCGATGACAGCGCCCCTAGTGGCCGCAGATAGATATAGATATAGATAAAAAAGATATTTTTGTGATATTGATTTTCGACTAGATTTTCAACGAAATTGAAAAAAAAATAATTGAAAAAAGTGAGTGTGTATCACACTCTTTACATTATTTTTTTTTCACTTCACTTCCTCGTGAAAATGTGGATATTATAATACACGGGATTTGAATTTCAATTCTCTTCACAGCAGCTATCCATTTTTGCCTTCGCTGTTATGTCCACTTTGATGTTGGAAACGAATAAAAGTTGCACGAATAGTTTTTCCCATTGTTTTTACAATTTACGACACAGCATGTACTATATGACCCATATCGCAAATTTTTACGTTTTACTTAAAATTATAAAGGAAGTTATGAAAATAAAGCAATTTGACACATGACAGCCCAGAATTAATTCACATTTCTGCCACGTCGTGCGCTACGATCGATTTGCCGTTCCCCACCACTCACTTCGCACATAGCGAATAAAGATAAAGAAAAAATACCCGTTATCTCAGACTATAATCTATCTCTGTGCTAAATTTCATTCAGATAGACCATATATTATACATAATAATATGTACTTAAATATAGCTAGTGCCTATCCGCGGCTTTGCTCTGATCATTTGACTACCTACACTGCGCAACCTAGTTACCTACCTACACTTCTCACCCTACACTATCTCCCCTACCTACCATACTCTACCTTACCTACCCTATCTTACCTACTATCCTATGTCCTTACAGTTCTTAGATACCTCTCTACCAATTTTCATCCAAATCGGTTAAGCCGTTCTTGAGTTATAAACAGTGTGACTAACACGACTTTTTTGTATACATAGATATTATTATTCTATATGTTTGTTACAGTCACGCCGCTTCGTTAGCCAAGAGGGCCGACAGAGATGTCTTCTTCATGAGTACACAAGCCCTCGTAGTGTTGGTGCAGCGATATAGGTACGTAATAAGACTTTATGTGATACGAGCATACGGGTGACCTGATGGAAAGCAATCAACGCCGCCCATGGACAGCCGAAACAACAGAGGAGTTACGAGTGCGTTGCCGACCATTTGGTGATCAGGGATTTGAATATTTAGTGATTGGAGGAGGTTTATTTTTATGGTATAAGCTGGCAAACGAGCATTCGGATTACCTGATGGTAAGCAATGAATGCGGCACCGCAACGAACGCAACACCAAAGAAGTTACGAGTGCGTTTTCGGCCTTTTAGATATAAAGGTTTCGGATATTTAGGGATTGCGAAGGGATGGGGGGAGGGGGAGGGATTGGGCCTCCGGTAACCTCACTTACACGACGAAACACAACGCTGTGGTTGTTTCACGCCGGTTTTCTGTGAGGCCGTGGTATCACTCCGGTCGAGCCGACCCATTCGTGTCGAAGCTTGGCTTTCCTACATTTTTTAATATAAAATTTAACTGACTAACTCAATACCTTTTTTAATGTAGTTTATTTACATTAAAATACACTTTGTTCGATGACTTTATAGTATTTATTAAAAAAAATCTCTTTAATATATTTCATTAGTAATTACGTATAAAAGTAATAATATACATATTAATGTGTGTTTTGTAATATTTTCAGGAACGGAATCCGTGGAAGGATGAAGGCGGCTGTACATGATTTGCTCAAACAATACTATCAGGTGGAAAGCAATTTCCAACTTGGTAAGTCTATCTAATATATAAAATTCTCGTGGCACAGTTTTCGTTGCCATACTCCTCCGAAACGACTCGACCGATGTTGATGACATTTTTTTTTGTGCTTATCCAACGACCGATAGGCCACATGTATTTTTCATCCCCCAAATGTTAGGTGTAGTCCAACCCTAAATTTTTTATTTTAGTTTTTGACAACATTTTTATTTTCTATTTTTTATGATACAACATACAAAAATGCATACAATCCTCAATTTTCACCCTTATTTTTATGGGAACACAACGTTTGCCGGGTCAGCTAGTTTTTTTTTATAAAAATCATCTATTGACTCTACCAGAATGAGGGAGAGGGAGTGTCAGACTCTTACTGACTAAAACCTCCCCGTTCCGTGTCCTGCTTTAGGCCGAGACTGCGGTACCTTATAGCGCTAGCTTCGAAACCCCGGCTGAAGTGGTTTTTAGTTTTTTTACACGATAGGACTGATAGCGAGTACGGATTACCTGATGGTAAGCAACCAGCGCCGCCCTTACATGTGGCCGTAACTACAAAAGAATTACAAGTGCGTTGACGGTCTTTTGTGGATAAGGCGTTTTGGTCATGTAGGGATTGTGGAGTGACGGGGAAGGGGTAAGATTTGGCCTCTGGTAAACAAAAAGTTTACGATTGCGTTGCTTGACTTTTGTAGATAAAGAGGTTTGGTCATTTAGTGATTGAGGAGTGAGGTGGAAGTGGAGAAGGGAAGGGTTGGACCTCTGATAACCTCACTCATCCGACGAAACACAACTCAGTAGTTGTTTTACACTGGTATTCTCCGAGGCCGTGATATCACTCCGATTATACCCCGACCCTCACTGTACACAATAGCAGATTTTTTTTTCTGGCCCATCTTAAGGTAGCTTTATAAAGAAAGTGAAGAAAAATTATTTATATTTTTATGTATAGATTGTAATTTGTCACAGGTTCGTATGACAAATGCGTTGCGACGCTCCGCGAGCGGTATAAGGACGATATGCAGGCTGTGGCAGACATAATATTCTCACACAACCAAGTCGCTAAGAAGAATATGCTGGTAAGTTCTCTTCTATATTGGTTAACCAGAAGATGACTGAGTGGTGTTTGACTCCACGGTTGGCGCGGTGGCTGGGCAACTGGCTGTTGTGCAACATCGAATCCCGCACGGAAGAACTCTTTGTGTAATCCACAAATTGTTATTGTGTCTGGGTGTTATGCATATTTTACGCACCCACGACACAGGAGGAAATCTTAATGTTAGGAAACGTTTTTAAAAAAAATAATATATTTATAGGGTCCTGCAAACGATATGGTAATATAAAATTCAGTATTGAGTATCAGACTGCACGGTTGGCGCGGTGGCTGGGCAACTGGCTGCCGTGCAACGTGTCGCGGGTTCGATTCCCGCACGGAAAAACTTTTTGTGTGATCCACAATTTGTTGTTCCGGGTCTGGGTGTCATGTGCATGTGAAATTGTATGTTTGTAACCGCACCCACGACACAGGAGAAAATCATAGTGTGCAGCAAGGTTTTTTTTTAAAAAAAATAAAGATGGATTACCTGATGGAAAGCAATCGGCGCCGCCCGTGGACACCCGCAATAGCAAAGCTGTAAGTTTGTATGTAGGGAGTAATCTTTGGAACCGCTGGTCGGGTATCCAAGATTCTTTCACTGATAGATAGCTACAATGTTCCTGCTATAGGCTATAAAACATCACGCTACGATTAAATGGAGCCGAGCAGCGGGTGAAACCGCTTGAGAACAGCTAGTTATTTATAACTCAAGAACGGCTGAACCAATTTCGTTGAGATTTTGGGAATTAGTTTAAAACCGGAAGATGAACATGGGATAGGGTAAAGAAGGTAGGGTAGGGGGAGAAACACGACTCAAGATTTTAAACCTTATTTTTCTTTCCCTATCAGGTAACCCTGCTAATAGACCACCTATGGTCGAACGAGCCCGGTCTAACGGATGAGTTGGCGACCACTCTGAACGAGCTTACATCCCTACATCGCGCAGAGCATAGCCGAGTCGCTCTGAGGGCTAGACAGGTATGTGAAAACTCAACACTTTTATTTAATTACATCTTAGATTTTTTTTCTTTTTCTTTAATGAAATCTGACTGTCGAAGTGATCCGGAGGTTAAAGCGCCCGCTTCTCATGCATGAAGGTTCGAAACCTGGCAAGTTTCCGAGTTACATTATATCTCCATTTTATGTGTATGTTTTTTTATGTAATAGGTCGGCAAACGAGCAGACGGATTACCTGATGGTAAGCAATCAGCGCCGCCCATGGACACTCGCAACGGAGGAGTTACGAGTGCATTGCCGACCTTTAAGGGATTAGGGATTTGGAGATTTAGGGATTTAGGAGGGACTGGGGGAGGGGAAGGATTGGACCTCCGGTAACCTCACTCACACGGCGAAACAAAACATATCTACATTTTATGTGTACGTATTATTTTTTATTGGTGTCTACCACTGACAATAGCGAAGGAAAACATCGTGAGGGAAACTTGGACTTATAATTTGTAATATAAGTTATAAATCACCAATCCTCCTTGTGTAAGTGCGGTGATTAATACTCAATTTTTTTCCGTGTGAGAAGAGGCCTTTGCCCTTAACCTCCGGGCCACTGAACTTCGAAACTTTATATTAGTGTATTTTACTTAAAAAAACAAGCTAAGCTTTAAATATAATAGAATAAATATTTGCGATGAATGTAGGCACAGAGGTAAGCTGTTACAAATCTTGGATAATATATAGTTTTTTTATTTTATTATTCTGATAATTTATTAGGTAGTCATACAGGGAATAATAAACATTTAGGTAGTGGTAATTTTGAGGTATGGGTTTGACACTGTCCCTACCCTTCCCACTGGGTATAAAATACTCACAGCAGCTCGATGTTTAACCTGAACCTATTAAACTGCAATCTCCAACCCTTAAGCCAAGTGTGAAGATTAGTATAAATGTCATGTAGTAGAGGTCCTTTACATAATCCATTCTAAAAGTCTCCGTTTCTTGTAATTAAAATCTGACTTCAAAAACTCAAAAGTCAAAATCATTTATTCCAACTAAACCATAAATAGGTACTTTTGAAACTTCAAAATAGAATAGTAGTCTGTCAGTCTGTTCGTCAGTGAAGCTAGGTGCTCGTTCCAAATTGTAGTTTCGAATGGAGAAGAACGAGCAAGAAACTCCATCGTTGTTACTCTTTTTAATTAAAAAATAATATTTTTCAATTTCACTAAATGTATATTGACAATCCAACTCTTCCCTGTATCTCAGGTCCTCATAGCAGCCCACCAACCAGCGTACGAGCTCCGCCACAACCAGATGGAGTCCATCTTCCTGTCCGCAGTCGACATGTACGGACACGACTTCCACCCGGAGAACTTGCAGAAACTCATCCTCTCCGAGACGTCCATATTCGACATACTCCACGATTTCTTCTATCATACGAACGCTGCGGTAAGTACTTTTATTGTTTCCCACAGGGTGAAAGGACCTCTCCACAATTCCTAAGAACGGAATAGGAGGATCCTCCGAGCAGGCGAGTTGATCAGCCTGGCGAGCTACTGCCCAAAAGTTGTACATTGGTACTTTCAGCCAACTCGGCAAACACACACATACACAAACAAACACAAATACACGAACTCACGCAACCACGCACGCACACAAAAAAGCGCGCACACACACGAACGCACTCAAAAACACACACACACACACACGTACCCACACGCAAACACACATACGCTTACACACACACACAAACAAGCGCGCACTCATACAAACAGACACACACACGCGTACGCACATGCATACACACAAACACGCATAGACATATGCGCGCGCGCTCGCGCTTATTCAAACATACACACACGCACACGCACATATACGCAAGGTAGTTTTTTTTTTTTAAATAATTTATTCAGTAGTTACAGAAAAGTGTCCTTATCATCTAAACTCGCCAAACTTTAACGTTTGATGGCGAGAGGCGCTCTTTATACAATAACATATTTATACATAATCGTGAATTTAGTACCAAGGTGCAATTACTTGGGTTTTTTTTTATTTAAATATCCCTATTTTATGCATACTATGTACTTATAGCTAGGTATGACACAGTTTATATAATAATCATTATTGACTAACATAACAAACAAAACATAAAAACACACACAAACATAACATTCTTACTTCTTATTAATAATCTAATATAAAGCTTTTTAATTTTGACTTAAGAGATCCTTTGGGTAACTTTTTCCCTTCTTCTCTTAGCATCTCTATATTATTAAATATATTAGGAACTATGTATGCGGATGTTCTTTTGCCATAATAATTTTTTATCTCTGGCAATATTAGTTTTTTTTCTCTAACCCTACGCGTATTATATTTGTTAGTGTAAGGCGGATCTTAAAAAAAACACGAAATCAAATAAGTTTTGTTTTATATTTAATTTAAAGTGCTTTAGCGTTTATTTGTGAGCGATAGAGTAATTTTATCTTTCAAATCCAGTAGGGAATTGAACCCAAGTGAATCGTGCCTTTGACATTTATGACCGTAACAGCGTAAACATGGAATATGAGGTCTGCAATATCTGAAACAAATATTACAATTTCAATATTAATTCGTGCTAGCTATTCCCGCCACTGCTCGGCCCCTTTGTGATGTCGCGTGATGTTTTATACCTTATGACGTTCCTCTATAATTGGAGTGTCTACCACAAAAAATATTACTCAATTCCAATAATTTTCAATTGTGGGAAAGCCGTGCTTCGGCACGAATGAACCGACTCGACCGAACTATGATACCACGTTCTCACAGAAAACCAGTGTGAAGCGATACTTACGTTGTATTTCGTCGTCTGAGTGAGGTTACCGGAGGTCCAATCCTGCCCACCATCCTCTATTCTCAAATTCCCTATTCATAAACCTCTAACAACCAAAGGGCCGACCTTTTGGGGGATTTGGGATTTGGACATTTTGGCATTGGGAAGGGGAAGAATTGGGTCTCCGGTAACCTCACTCACACGGCGAAACACAACGCTGTGGTTGTTCGACGCCGATTTTCTGTGACGCCGTGGTATCACTTCGGTCGAGCCGACCCATTCGTGCCGAAGCATGGCTCTTACTTAACTTTTTTTGTTAACTTACCGATACAAACAATTCCATATCGAATGCCAACATGTTTAACGCCACGATCTCGTTCGGTACTTGCGCGCGCGCAACCATGAATAGAATCATCTTCCTGACCCTCTGGTCATCCACTTGTTCCCATCCACTGCTGTAGAAGCGGTTCGCAGTTTCCAGTGACTGCAATCATATGGTTTTTGTGAGGGAGAAAATATCAAATGACTTCTGGGAGGACGGGAGGGAGTGTCAAACTCTTTCTGACAAAAACCCCCCCGTTCCTTCTCCTGCTCTAGGCCGAGGTCGCGGTGCCTCATTGCACTTACCCCGCAACCCCGGCTGAACATCAGCCCTATAGGGTCCGTCTGTGGTGGTCTATTGGCTCTTTGAGACGCGCGCGGAAAATTCAAAATTCCAGGTTAACTTTTAAACTTTCGCGTTTCATATTTACAACATATAGTTATGCGGGTATTAACGCGGAAAATCATCAGCCTATAAGTGCCCACTGCTGAGCAAAGCCTCTTCTCCCTTGCACCCAGGGCGGAAGAAGTCATTTGATGTTTTTTCCTCCACAAAAAATAGCATTTATAATATAGCTTGACTCGCACGCGGCTCATGAATAAGAGTTCCGTTGAGACTTAAAACTAGTAGAGGTTTTCTCTATTAATTTGTGACTAATGCCCGGTTTCCGAAAGCCCGATCAATGTTAAAATCAACTAAATAGGTGTCAAATCTCTTGTCAAGTCATCTGATTGGTTGTTGATAATTCAGTCAACCAATCAGATGACTTGACAAGAGATTAAATTGATTTTAACATTGATCGGTGTTCGCGCGCCTGATGGTTTTTTCAGAGCATCAATTTACGCTCATGAAATGTATAAATTGTGAAGAATTCTGAAAATTACCCCACTTGCTATACTTAACTCTTGTAGTTAGCACCCATTAAAAGTTTATTAATTTAAAACCGTGTTCGAGTATATTTTTCCTGAAGTCCATCCACATTAACCCTGGTTCCGTACAATCGGCCTTTTGGAAACCGGGTGTAAGTCGGTGTTTTCAATAAATGCTATTCTAGTATCTCTGAACTTACCATAGCTTTGAGCTTAGCTGCATAGCGGCATGGTAGGTAGATGTGTATGACTGCGCCAGTCACAAATATCATATACCGAAGGTCAAAGCCGTAACCCTGCAAAAATAAATTAAATATAGTTAAACATAAATAGTATTTTATCAAATTAATTACGAATACAATTTTTCATTTCGAAAGAGCCATTCTTCGGCACAAATGGGTCGGCTCGATCAAGTCACACGGTCACACCACGGCCTCACAGAAAACCGGCGTAAAACAAGCACAGCGTTGTGTTTAGCCGTGTGACTGAGGTTACCGGAGGCCTAATCCTTCCTCTCCTTATCCCTAAATCTACAAATCCCTAAACCCCAAAAAGTTGGCAACGCATTCCTCACTTCACTGTTTAATAATTTTTCAACTTTGGGAGAGCTATGCTTCGGCACGAATGGGAAGGTCGACCGGAGTGACACCACAGCATCACAGAAAACCGTCGTAAATTAATCACAGCTTTGTGTTTCGCCGTGTGAATGAGGAGAGCAGACGGTACTCCATCTGCTCTGGCCATGGTAAGAAATTGGCGCCGCCCATATACAACCGCTATACTAGATGAGTTATGAGTGTATTACACGCCTTTTGGAGATTTAGGGATTAGGGGGCTATAAAAGGGAGGGGAAGGATTGGGCCTCTGGTTATCTCACTCATAAGTGTTACTTCACGCTGGTTTTCTGTGACGCCGTAATATTACTTCAGTCGTGCCAAAGCATGGTTCCCCAACACTTATAGATACGGTAACGAAATGAAGTAAGTAAGCTTAAAAATACCTCAGTAATATGATACAAACAGGTACATATTTGTATCATTGTCGCCAAGAATATAATGCCCAACCAAATGTTGAATGTATCCTGAATTAGATCGACGAATCTGAAATATAGAAACACTTATTTTTGAATAGTATCGTAGTACTTACTAACACTGCCTCATAAAGTGACTCTAAGTCCACGTCAATTAGGCACGTTTTTATTATAACTTTCGTGAGACATTCTAAATTATTTATTATGTTTTTCGGCTTACTCACGTAATAATTTGACGAGATACTCGACTAGTTTGAAGCCATGCTAGAGGCCAATATTCATGAGCATCATTCCGCGACACGCGACGAAAACATAATTAATAATTAGGCACGTAATGACACCTAGTCAAACTTTGACTTTTTCATTACTATTGTTCACGAGTGAGTAAAAGATTTTTAATATTGGTTGAGTTAAGCTTACATTTGCGATAAAACCTATCCACGATAAGTAAAAAAAAAAATTTAGTCTGTGTCCGATTCGCGCGCATTGGAAATCTGATTAATTTTTCCCGCCATTACTAAACATTTTTTTATCAACTATGTAAAATAGTTTTTTATTGAAGTATTTTTTTTTAATTTATTTAGTAAAACATGAGTAATTACAATGAAGGTGGTTTGTCATTCAGAAGGGCTCAATGCGCCTCAGCGTTAACACTAGTACCGCAATGTACTATTAACACCAACTTACTGAAACATTCGGCACTGCTCCTTAATAACTCCAATGACCCGACCGCAGACCTCTTCAGCATCAGCTTTGAAAGCCTCCTCCAAGGCCCTGCAGTACAGGTCCATCTTCAAACAAGCATGGTTGATAGCCAATCCATAGAAACCATCGTATCCAGTAAAATTTACCACGTAAAGTATTGAACAGTAGAACATGTATACGAAAATTATCTGTAAGAAAATAGTTGCATGGAGAATGACAAGATGTGAAATGATTTTTATTATAACTTTCGTGAGACATTCTAAAATATTTGTTATGTTTTCGGCTTACTCACGTGGTAATTTGACGAGATACTCGACTAGTTTCAAGCCATGCTAGAGGCCAGTAGCAGCGCGACGGTCGCCGAGTCGCGTGTCGCGGAATGCTGCTCATGAATATGGGCCTCTAGCATGGCTTGAAACTAGTCGAGTATCTCGTCAAATTATCACGTGAGTAAGCCGAAAACATAATAAATAATGTGAAATGATGTGTGGGAGAGCCATGGTTCGGCAAGAATGGGTTGGCTCGACCGGAGCCACGGCCTCACTGAATTCCGGAGTCAAACAAAACTTATGCTGTGTTTTGCTGTGTGAGGTAACGGAAGGCCCAATCATACCAAACTGACAAGTTTAGATAAAAAAGGTTTTTTCTATGTGATGGTCAGTAATTAGCGCCGCCCATGGTCACTTGTACCAAAGGAGTGCATTGCCGTTGCTTGTGGGTATTTGGGGATTTTAGGATAGAGGATTTGATGTGTAACCTCACTCATACAGCGAAACACAACCTAAGTATTGCCTTGGCGAGTAAGGGCAGCTCACCGCCCGACCAGACCTAGACCCGAGCGTACGGAGCGTAGCGTTCCGCGCGCGCCTCAAAGAGCCAATAGACCACTACAGACGGGGCCCTATAGAGCTAATGTTCAGCCGGGGTTGCGGGGTAAGCGCAATGAGGCACTTCGACCTCGGCCCAGAGCAGGAGAAGGAACAGGGGGTTTTTAGTCAGTAAGAGTCGGACACTCCCTCACAAAAAAAAAAGTAAAAGTATTGCTTCACGTCAGTTTTCTGTGAGGCCGTGGTATCACTCGGGTCGAGCCGACCCATTCGTGCTTCCAAAATTATTCCACTGATAGATAGGTACAATTTACTGAGTGCTGTATATTATACTTGATTTGCGTATTTTTGTCGAGCTTTCGACATAAACGCTGCTGTTTTTTAAATCCTGGAATAAGTTATTTCGCAACGGAGGAGTAACGAGTGCGTTGCCGAGTACGTACCTCAAAATAAGGCGACTCAAATCTGGCTTCGGGGTTATCAGAAAACGGTTTCTCCAAATCGTGTATCATATATTTCACTGGCTCAGATTTGAACGCGAAATTATAAATGTTCAAAGATATAGCCATCACTGGAAATGTCATTACGCAAGTGACAACGGTGATCGCCCAACCTCTCTCGCTGTATATTTGGCAGTTCTTGACGCTGGCTCGACCTATTTCTTTGTAGATTTCCGAATAGTTATTTAGGTTTTTATAATCTCTATTTATTTCGTCTAGAATCTGTTTAGCTTGTATTCGTTTGTGGTACATTAGGATCATCTGGAATTGGGATGGTAGGTTTTACTATTTTTATAATAATATTTGTTATTTCAATTAGACTCTATCGGGCAAAAAGTAGCCTATAAGTTGTTTGAGACTATTATGATCTATTTCTATGCCAACTTTAATTCAGATCCGTTGTATATTTCTACTTATATATAAAAAATTACAAACGTCCATCCAATCATACTTACTCGTGTAAAGTAATTTCTATAAATAATAAACTAAGGAAATTAATAATTCTTTTAGTTCAATGTCAAAAACGTTACTTTATTAACAATTTCAATGAAACCGCAAATATGACGTCATTATGTTCTTATGTCAAGCTGGGGTTGCTGGGTAAGCGCAATGGGGCACCGCGGCCTAGGCCCGGCGCAGGGGAAGGAATGGGGGGGTTTAGTCAGCAAGAGACTGACTCTCCATCCCGCACAACACTCCCTTCCTCTCACAAAAATAAAATTAGCTTAAGTCAAGAGGCACACTTATTGAAAAAAAATAGTTGAAATCTTCAATTAATTATTACCATTAATGTCAATGAAAACTATGATTATATATAACAATTCATTGTATTCAAAAGTATTGTTACGTGCCTGACGTCACGTTCCTGACTATGCGGGCTTGGGTAACGGGATTGGATGAAATGAAACACTAATACCGGTTTTCAGACTTTCTATTGCACTTAAGTTACAGCGTCCACGGAGTTAAGTTATCGGCGTTCCTCTCCAGCAGAGCCCGGCCGACTGACACAACTTTGCCGTTCACGCTGGCTTAACTCACTTAACTGACTGCACTTCACTATTTCACTGCACTTCACTATTTCACTCACTTTTCTTCTTTTTCACTTCTTCCTTTTCTTCCGAATCGCTTTAGACTTAGAACACAACTGCCAGCGGTGAGCCGCAGTTCCGCTTATATACCCCCGGTCAGGTTCTGGAACATTCAATTTCGTTATTCTTTTTGATTGTCATGACTCCAGAATCTTCCAATAATTTCGTTATTCATTTTTATTTATTCTCCTTCTCGCTCTTTGATTTTTCATTACTTTCACACCAAAAGCTTCCAGAAAGTTCCACAAAAACTTCCATCAACTAAAAAACTTCATGCTTACGGCGGGACTCGAACTCGGGGTCTCTCTGGTGTAATCCACATGCCTTACCGATTACACCAACTCGTGTTGACAATTCACGACGAAATTTACAATCTCTAGGCAACGTTTGACAACCATCCATTGACGTCATGATGTCAAAGAGTTTGAACCACTTTTCCGTCACACTGCCCCCCTCTTAGATTCGCTCGTCCCGAGCATCGTTGCTGCCGTAATACCTCGCCAACCTGTCTATATGGACAACTTTCAAAGGGCTCCTTGAAGTCTTCCGAATTCTGTAAGTAATGTCATTGATCTTCGTGACTATCTCATAAGGACCTTCCCAACTCGGTTGCAGCTTCGGAGATTTTCCCTTCCTTCTGACTGGATTATGAAGCCAGACCAGTGACCCCTCTTCAAACCCAACAGAATTGGCTCGTCGATCATAGCGCGTTTTTGCGCGATCACTAGCTTGAAGACCGGCCTCCCTGATCTGCTCGTAAATGTCCAACATTTTTGCCCTTAACTCGCTTATGTAATCGCTAAATTCGGTGCGAGTGTCGCCAGGTGGACAGCCCGATACAAGATCTGCCGGTAATCTCAATTCCCTTCCAAAATTTGCAAATGCAGGCGTCTTTGCGGTACTTTCATGTACAGCAGTCCGATAGGCAAGCAAGAAGAGAGGTATGTAAGTGTCCCAATCTCTCTGATGGCTGTCAACCACCTTTGCTAAGTGTCGCTCCAATGTTTGGTTGAAACGTTCGACCATTCCATCTGACTGTGGATGATAAGGGGTCGTTCGAGTCTTATGGATTCCCAAAAGTTTACAAGTTTCCTGAAAAACTTGAGATTCAAAGTTCCGTCCTTGATCACTGTGCATCTCCAAGGGCACTCCGAATCGGGTGAATACCTCGTTTACCAACTTCGTGGCTACAGTTACTGCCTCTTGATTCGGTATGGCAAAGACCTCCGGCCATTTTGTAAAATAATCCATAACCACTAAAACGTAGCGATTGCCCGAATCAGTGATTGGAAATGGTCCAGCGATGTCTAAGGCTATTCTCTCCCAAGGCATACCAACATTGTAGATTTTCATCGCCCCCCTGCTTCTTGTTTGTGGACCCTTGACAGCTGCACAACTAGTGCATTTCCGGCACCAATCTTCGACATCATATTTGCAATGCAACCAATAAAACCTCTCCTTGATCTTCACCAAAGTCCTCCTAATTCCCAAATGTCCTCCAGAAGATCCATCATGGAACGCTTTTAATACATCCCTTATTTTTGAACGAGGCACCACCAATTGCAAATGCTCGTCCTTGCCGTTTGTTGATTCCCATTTCCTGCACAGAAGTCCGTTATGCAGCGTAAGGCTTTTCCACTGTGCCCATAAACCTTTCGTTACCGCGCTATATTGGGCGATGTCACTCCAACTTGGCTTGTTACCACTTCGTAGCCACTCCAGTATTGGTTTGATATCCGCATCTCTTTCCTGTTCTAATTTCATCGCATCATCTCCCCATGCCTCGTCAACAGTATCAGTCCTTATCACCTTAAGAAAAGCAATTTCCTTCTTGGCACAATGCTTGCAATCTTCCACGCATGGGCGTCTCGATAATGCATCTGCGTTGCCATGAATTCTTCCGCCGCGATGTTCGATTTCAAAGTCAAATTCCTGAAGTTGTTCCAACCATCTGGCTACTTGGCCTTCGGGATCCTTAAACTGAAGCAGCCATTTCAAAGCAGCGTGATCAGTTCTGATCAAAAATTTCCGTCCCAGTAAATACTTCTTGAAATGGTGCAGAGTTTTGACTACGGCCAGCAATTCCCTCCTGGTCACGCAATAATTCCTCTCCGGCTTGGATAGTGACTTGCTGAAGTAAGCAATAACCTTCTCCTGCTCACCATCGCGTTGTGAAAGGACACCTCCTATTCCGATATTGCTGGCATCCGTATCAACTACGAATATTCCTTTCGCGCTGGGGTATCCGAGAATTGGTGTGTTACAAAGCCGTTCTTTTAGTTCTCGAAAGGCTTGCTCACAATCCTCGTCCCATATAAAGGCACGTTTCTCCTCTGTCAATCGATGCAATGGCTTGGCAATGTCTGAGAATCCTTTCACAAACCGCCGATAATACGAGCACAATCCAAGAAATGCTCGAACTTGCGTTTTGTCTTTAGGTGTTGGCCATTCCTTAACAGCGACAGTCTTGGCTGGATCAGTCTCAATTCCTCTCTCAGAAATAACATGTCCTAGATAATTCACTTCGCGCTTGAAGAAAGAGCATTTCTTTGGACTCAACTTTAAATTTGCTCCACGCAGCTTTTCGAGTACCCTTTCCAATTTCCTGAGATGATCATCAAAATCCCGTCCAACAATGATGATGTCATCGAGGTAAACTAGGCAGGTTTCGCCCAGTAGTCCCGCCAGCACCTGTTCCATCAAACGCTCAAAGGTTGCCGGTGCATTGCATAATCCAAATGGCATCACCTTAAATTGCCAGAGTCCCTTCCCAGTTGAGAATGCGGTCTTTTCCTTGTCCTTAGGATCCAAATCCACCTGCCAATAGCCGCTTTTCAGATCGAGCGTTGAAAACCATTTCATGCCACTCAGTGTGTCAAGTGTGTCATCGATTCTTGGTAACGGGTAGCTATCCTTCTTGGTTACATCATTCAATCGTCGATAGTCTACGCAAAACCTCGTTGAACCATCTTTCTTCTTGACAAGCACGACAGGTGAACACCAAGGGCTAGAAGAGGGCTCTATCACGTCATTTTTCCTCATATCGTCAATCATTTGTTCAACCTCTTTCTCACGAGCGAATGGTATACGTCTGGGCCTTTGACGAATTGGCATTGTATCACCTGTGTTTATTTTATGCTTCACCAAACCAGTTCGGCCAATATCACCATCGCTTCTTGAAAACACATCAGAGAATCGAAGAAGTAAATTTCTAGCTTTCATAGTCTCCACTTTTGTCAGACTTTTGTTTTCGTCTAAGATTTTCGTTACAAAGTCTATTCCCGCACTGTCCTTCTTCACAAGATTTTCCGAGCATTTTCTTATCCAGGCCACTTCTTCCAATACGCCCACAGGCTCTCCTTCTTCAATCGTAATTTTTGAATCACTGAAGTTGAATACCGGAATGCGGTTGACATCAGATGACCCCACGACAGTTCTTGCCGGTAGCCATGAGTTTACGTGTTCCGATTTATCAATCACAGCGCACCTTCGAGGTAAACTTCCTTCCCTCCTCCTAGGTAATGCAATTGGTACGAGAGTCTGTGATTTTGGTGCAAGAACAGTTCTTCTTAAACAGCAAACTTTTCCCAGGGTTCCACCCTTCATCGGAATTTCCTCAGTTCCACATAGTAATACTCCAGATTTTAAGTCGATGTTACACTGGTGCCCTTGCAGGAAATCAAGTCCCAGGATGCAGTCATCCAGAATTTTGGCCACAATAACCTCATGTCGATAAACACGTTCCCCAATTTTAATTGTTACATGCAATTTTCCACTTATCGGTATGCGCTGGCCGGTAGCTGATTTCATTTGTAGGCCAACAATTGGTTTAAGGTGTTTCCTGATGTTTTGCTCGAGCAGCCGAACATTTATCACCGTCCTTGAAGCTCCAGTATCTAATGTTAGCTGACTGTTTTTCCCATTTACTTGACCGTCTATCACCAGAGTATTTCCATCGTTGGTTTGCTTGATGTAGATTGTTGGGGTTGTTCCACTACCAGCCAGCGCCCACCCCGCAGCCCTGGCTGGATTTAAGTTTCCCTGCTGGTCAAAAGTTGAGACCGCCGCGTCCTGGCGGTTCATCTTCTTCGGGCAGTCGCTCCGTATGTGCCCACGCTCTCCACATCCATAGCACATGAAGTTCCGACGGCGTGGAGGTACCTGCTCCGTTGTCGTCATTTCCCGCAGACGTAAGGTACGGGAGTTGCCACGCACTGCTTCCACTTCCAATGCATGGGCCAGAGCTTCTTTCATGTTCTTGTGATGGCCCAGATAAACAGCAGCTCGTACTTCGGGGTCCCAAATACCGTCAATGAACGCTTGGAGAAGCGTGCCTTCAATCATTGACGGAGTCGACCGGAAAGCTCGACGCACAAGTTTCTCGATTTCCACGGACCATTGCTGTAGACTCTCATTAGCACGCTGAGTACGCTCTTTTAATTGCGCTCTGTACACGTGTTCGAGGTGGCTGTCTCCAAAACGTGCCTCAAGTGCGTCGAGGAGGGCACTAAAGCTGAGATCCCCGCTTGCGCCGATAGCTTCCAGCACTGAGAGCGCTTGATCACGGAGGGCCAGGGTGAGGGCTGACTGTGCTTCCTTCTGAGTCCAACCATAAGCCTCCATAAGTGTCTCAAACTGTAGCTTGAACGCGTTCCAGGATGTTGTTCCGTCGTAATGGGGAATCTTGAGCCCTTTCGTTACGCTTGAGGCCACATTTGGGGCGTCAAAAACGGCTGCAAGACGGCTTCGGCTCTTCAAAGGGCTTGGGCTTGTCACTTCCTGCTTGATTTTGGAGATCTCTTCTTTCACTCTCTCCTCTATCGCCATGACGCGATGTTCCAACTTGCCTAACCCTTCCTCCACTTCTTGTACCCGTTCGACAGCCTTTTGCAGTCCCTTCGTGAAATCCCTGTGCATCTCTTCCAAGCGACGCGCTTGCTCCTCTTGGCGGCGAGCTTGATCCTCTTGGCGACGAGCTTGATCTTCTTTCAGCTCCCGAAGCTGTTCTGCCTGACAGCGTGCTTGCTCTTCTTGGCGGCGCGCTTGCTCTTCTTGGCGGCGCGCTTGCTCTTCTTTCAGCTCCCGCAGCTGTTCTGCCTGACAGCGCGCTTGCTCTTCTTGGCGGCGCGCTTGCTCTTCTTGGCGGCGCGCTTGCTCTGCCATCATTTGCTGCAGCTGTAGCAGAAGATCCACCTGCACAGGCTTGGCTTCTGCATCGCTGGTTTGAGCTGCAGCACCCTCTTCCCTCACACGCTGCGCTTCTGACATAGCACGGGTACTCACTCCTCTTACGTCCTGCGGTACTAGCGGCATTTTTCTCCAATCCCACTTCTGACACCAAATGTTACGTGCCTGACGTCACGTTCCTGACTATGCGGGCTTGGGTAACGGGATTGGATGAAATGAAACACTAATACCGGTTTTCAGACTTTCTATTGCACTTAAGTTACAGCGTCCACGGAGTTAAGTTATCGGCGTTCCTCTCCAGCAGAGCCCGGCCGACTGACACAACTTTGCCGTTCACGCTGGCTTAACTCACTTAACTGACTGCACTTCACTATTTCACTGCACTTCACTATTTCACTCACTTTTCTTCTTTTTCACTTCTTCCTTTTCTTCCGAATCGCTTTAGACTTAGAACACAACTGCCAGCGGTGAGCCGCAGTTCCGCTTATATACCCCCGGTCAGGTTCTGGAACATTCAATTTCGTTATTCTTTTTGATTGTCATGACTCCAGAATCTTCCAATAATTTCGTTATTCATTTTTATTTATTCTCCTTCTCGCTCTTTGATTTTTCATTACTTTCACACCAAAAGCTTCCAGAAAGTTCCACAAAAACTTCCATCAACTAAAAAACTTCATGCTTACGGCGGGACTCGAACTCGGGGTCTCTCTGGTGTAATCCACATGCCTTACCGATTACACCAACTCGTGTTGACAATTCACGACGAAATTTACAATCTCTAGGCAACGTTTGACAACCATCCATTGACGTCATGATGTCAAAGAGTTTGAACCACTTTTCCGTCACAGTATTATCAATAATTTATGTATGACCTTGGAACCTACTCCATTCTTCACTTACCTTAAAAAAACCGCCAAGGAAAGGCCCGACGACGGTGCTGTGCCTTATAATGTTGACGATATCGTTGGCCATCCAGCATTTGTACATGTCAATGAAAATCATCGTGGCTAAAGGAGATATTGAAGCGATCAGGATAGCTGTTGTAAGAAATTGATCATTTAAAACATAAGTTTTAAGCTCGTAACTTTTCGACAGTTACTCGATTAGTTTCAAGCTACGCACAGAGCCTATAGCCATGCACATCATGCAGATGACGAATCCTGAATCCGTGATAAGAAAATCCCAAAATAAAAATTATCCCTATTTAGAGCCATGTGAAGACCACTTGTGAAGGTTCTCAGAATGGCCGCCATCATCACCTACTAGACAACTTCATATCCTCATCAACAACTGTGCGGTTTTTGCATAACTTTCTTCCTCGCACAAACTTTGGAATGGTCTTCCGTCGGGCGGTATTTCCGAACCTATGTATCCTTCAAGAAACGAACTTCCCCTCCCCCAATTCCTAAATCTCCAAATCCTAATAACCAAAAGTCGGCTACGCACGTAATTCCTCTGTTGTTGCGGAACTCCATGGGCAGCGCTGATCACTTACCATCAGGTCATCCGTATGCTCGTGGGCAGACCTATCACTTAAAAACAAAAAGTTAGACAAATATTACTTACGTATACTAGCGAGTCGCCATAATTCAGTTTTAGGATTCGGGTATATCATACCCACGCTCAATGCGAACGTTATCAATTTATAAGTTTCATGAAACGTCGTGAATTCTGGTTTTTCATCCATTTTTTTATACTGAGATCGACTTGTAACGAATTATGTCTATAATAACAGTAGCAAACCGTTTGAACCGGTGAAAACTCCGTTTCGCCACCAGATGTAGGTACTCGTATTTCAAAAAGTTGGCGGGGAAAATTTTTTTTTCATATACATATATGAAAAAAAAATTTTCCCCGCTTTTCTTTCGAAATTTTTCCTGAATTTTCTTTTATAAACCTCACGGAGCCTAAGACCAACAACGAATTAACAAAGAATGCAAAACCGTGGAAATCGGTTCGTGCGTTCTGGAGTTATCCGGAGAAGTTATAAAATGTTTTGGTGGCCTGGAGGTTAAGTAGCCCGCTTCTCATGCATGAGTTGATTCGAAACCTGGCAAGTACCAATGTGACTTTTTCCGAGTTATATGTACTTTCTACGATTATTTAGACACCACTGACATACGGTGAAAGTAAACATCGTGAGGAAACCTGGACTTATAATTTCTAAATATAATTTTAAAATCGCCAACCCCTATTGAGCAACCGTCGTAAATAATGCTCTAACCTTCTCTGTATGAGAAGAGGCCTCTGCTCAGCAGTGGACACTTATAGGCTGATGATGATGACGATGTTCTGGGAGTTATAGCGTCACGAAGAAAAACCCGACTTATTTTTTATTCAGAAATTTGTATTTTTTTAAAGTTATAGCGTTCAAATACAGAGGCGGTTACGACAGAAAACTTTGCACTGTAATATGTAGAAGTAATTCATTACTTCGCATAGAAAAATTAGCCTAAGGCGATAATTTACAATAACCGTACCTAATGCGGTAATTGATTGAATTATCACTCGATTTCTTCTTAGGACATCAATAATTCTTTTAAAGTTCTTTCCAATGATTGGCCTTGATTTTCTTTTAAGGAACTTCCTTTTGTAGTTTTATTCATTGATTGGATGATTTAGCTCTTTGATGTAGTGTTTTTAATTTGGTTATTAGGGATTTTTGTTCTGTGTTAGTGCGTTGGTTTAGTGGTTCCGTGTGTAACTGTTATGCTTAAGTATTGGGGTTTTATTATACTGTTAAGTGTTACTGTTAATAAGTGATATTATTTATTTATTTATTTATTATAAGCTTCATGCACAAGATATTGTACACAAGGTGGACTTAATGCTTTGAGCATTCTCTACCAGTCTGACCTGATATTAGTTTGTTTAAAACAATTATTTGGATGGTCTATAAAAGACACATAACTTTAACAAATAAAATGTTTGTTCTCGTCAGACTTGCTTGCGGTAGGTAACAAAATCGGTCCAGCCATTCCAAAGATTATTTAGGGGTTATTCATATGTTTGTGTACCTATACACTACACCACTTATTACTGCTATGTATTAAGTTCAGGGTCAATGATTTTGGGATTAAATAAATAAGCTGGCAATACGCGAAACACAGTAGATTTCCTACGTGCGCCTACGGTTTGGTGTTACAAGCGACTGGCTGACTGGCCCTCTAACTAGCATACTCAACGCAATTAGTAAAGTCAGCATTTGTGTCCCTACAATTAGCTCGAACAAAAAGACATACAAATATTGTTAAGTGTTATTTTTGGGTATGTATGTATCAGCGATCCGCCTCGACTTCGCAAAGGTGCTATGCTGATACTAAATTTCTCGAATATTACATACAGACAATATTAATATATTGATAAAACGTACACGTAACTTCCTAAATTGCTGTATATCACCTGCCACACATCTCTGCACTACCAAAAGGTTGACTGGCAGAAAATGCTTTTAGCATTAAGTCCTCCGATTTGCAATTGTATATAAAGAATAAATAAAAAAATAAATAAAAATATAATATGTGTACTTTTGTATGTGTATCATATTTTTATAGAAAATTAAATTAAGCTTAAACTTTTTCTGCAGGAGAAAAAATTGTCTAGGAATATGCAGAACCTCATTTGTTATAGTGTGTGTGTTATCGTGTTTAAATTTGTAGTATTTTTGTGCATAAATAATTAAATAATCGATACTAATATTACAAAGAGGTAAAATTTGTACGTTTTTATGTAGGGGGCAATCTTTGGAACCGCTGGTCGGATTGCCAAAATTCCTTCACTGATAGATAGCTACAATGTTCCTGAGTGCAATAGGCAATAAAACATCACGCTACGATTAAAAGGAGCCGAGCAGCGGGTGAAACCGCGCGAGAGTAGCTTGTAAATAATAAATTAAAAGATCAAGAAGAGAATCAATTTTTAAGTGTCATTTATTTTTCTACAGGTATGCAACGCCGCTCTCGAAGTGTATGTACGTCGAGCGTACACCTCATACGACATCACCTGTCTCCAACACCTCGCTCTATCAGGAGAACTGGGCGTCGTCCACTTCCAATTCATACTGCCGACTGGACATCCTAACAGGTAAGAAAGCTTAATAGATTTTAAAACCCAACAGTTGAGAGGGGTTAAAACCTCTTTTTCTCTTTAAAATATCGCCCGCTTATAAAGAGGTAAAATTTGTAAGTTTGCATGTAGGGGGTAATCTTTGGAACCACTGGTCGGATTCCCAAAATTCTTTCACTGATAGATAGCTACAATGTTCCCGAGTGCTATAGGCTATAAAACATCACACTACAATCGAATGGAGACGAGCAGCGGGTGAAACCAAGCGGAAATAGCTTGTATTAGTATACATGGAAGGCCTAAGCATGGCTCTTCCACACTCACAAGCCACTTGAGTAAATCATCATATAATTTTCTCCAACAGAATCCCAATCAGCCAATCAGAAATCGAGCTGGCCTCAGCTCAGGATCAGGAAGGTATACCAGCCGAGCTGTGCACTGCAGCAATGAGGAAGTGTCACCACCGCACTGGTGCCCTCGCCGCCTTCGAGTCCTTCGACCAGTTCGTACAGTACTCTGACGAGCTCCTGGACCTGGTGCATGACTTCGCCAGCTCCGCGACTGTTAGGAGAGAGGTGAGTTATACCCTGGTGCATGGATGGAAGAAGGGTTTTTGTTTTTGTTAGGGGCAAATCATCAAATGACTTCATGGACGGGAGGGTCAGGCTCTTACTGACTAAGCCCCCCCCCCCCCCCTTTCCCCCCGTTCCTTCTCCTGCTCTATGCCAAGGCTGCGATGCCTTATTGCGCTTACCCCGCAACCCCGGCTGAATATCAGCCCTATGGAGCCCCGTCTGTGGTGGTCTACACTTGTGACACTTTGTACTGCCGGCAAATCGTCACGGCATCGGCAGGGTTGCCAATACGGTAGTTTAGTCAAATTCAATACTTTTATTCAAACGTCAAAAACGATACTTTACTATGAACCTAATTGGTATGAAAAACTGAGTTATGACATCATAACATTTTTGCGTCAAATGGCTTACTTATTTCTTAATAATTAGCTAAGAAAATCTTAAGACTTAGAGTATCGATCGATCGATGAATAAAAGTTATTGTATTGAAACGTCTAAAATTTATTTTTGACCTAGGAAACTCCCCAATTGCCAAACTTGCCTCTTTATTTTCCTAAAATTTACTTTTATATCAATTTGAATAATGGGAATCAATGTAGCCGTTCAAGGATCATACTATCATACTAAAAGATAAGTATGATCGGAATAGATTTACAGAAATAAATGTCATTTCTTTTTAGACTATTCTCAATTTGTTTAATGTTGACTTCATTTTATATTCATATCATTATCATTATTTTTTATAATTTAGAAAATGCTTGTTACTAATATATTTTATTTTTATTGACACATTTTATTATTTGATTGGCTTATGCTTTATGCTTGAAAGGATTATGCTTTGATTAGCTACTTTAAAAAAAAACTTAGTTTTATATAATTTTGATTTCACTTCTTGTAATTAGACTTATTATAATATAGTGTTAAAATTTAATTTAATACTTACATCATTAAAAAATTGTATTCATGCTGTTACATTATATTTGCATGCTGAGGCTTCTTATAAGTGTAGAAGCACAAGAAAATATTTTGTTATGTATATTGTCTGGCATTTGAGGTGTTTTCTCTGTTGAAAGTCCAAATAAATAAATAAATCGTTCGAATTTACATTATTGATAAAATTGTATTGTTTCAGGATCTGGCCGCGTTGCAAGAGGGCAGTGAAAGTCGGGACAGTACTAGCATCAACGTTGGTCTAGATTATAAACCTAATGATCCAGATAATGAGGTAATCATGCATCATTATTATATGAATAACTAGCGACCCGCCCCGGCTTCGCACGGGTGCAATGTTAATGTTGGTACTAAATTTCTCCACTATTTAATGGATGTTATTATACATATGAACCTTCCTCTTCAATCACTAAGTGTGGCACTAACCATTAAGTGTGGGAGAGCCATGCTTCGGCACGAATGGGTCGGCTCGACCGGAGTTATACCACGGCCTCACAGAAAACCGGCGTGAAACAACCACAGCGTTGTGTTTCGCCGCGTGAGTGAGGTTACCGGAGGCCCAATCCTTCCCCTACCCCAATCCCTTCCCAATCCCTGAATCCCCAAAATCCCAATCCCTAAAAGGTCGACAACTCACTCGTAACTCCTTCTTTGTTGCCATCAGGTAATCCGTCTGCTTGTTTGCCGTCCTATCACATAAAAAAAACACTAAAATGGCTCTCGTTTCTAGCGTTTTTGCTTTTTTTGTGTCATATTAGTGTGAGTGCCTCACACTAATATTTTCTCCTGGATCGTGGGTGCGGTTACAAACATAAAATTTCACATACACATCAAACCCAGACCCGGAACAACAATTTGTGGACCACACAAATACATAAAAAAAATTTTAACCCTTAAATATTCTTAACATAGTTTAATCTCCCCACAGGCCCCTCTAGAACCGATTCACATCCTAATGATTGGCGTACGCGATTCCGGCGAGAACGATGATAGCGCGGTCTCGAGGCGTTTCGGTAACTTCTGCCGGGCGCACAGACATGAACTACACCAGAAGAGGATCAGAAGGATCACTTTTATGCTGCTTATCAAGTAAGTCATTATTGTAGTCACATTTGTATGGGACTATTTGTACTGCTGAGCTGGTTAAGAACTGTGGCCTCGGTAACGTAAGGTTCTCAGGCCAGGGTGAAAAAATCCTTTAAATTGTTGTTAATTGGCATCGATGAGTATCTCAGGGCGTCTACGGCATCAACTTATGGAACTTGCTTTGTGTACGGGGCGTCATATTTGTAATTGTAAATAAGCTCTTTTAAATAAAGATTGAAAAAAACCTTGATGAGACGCGCTCGCTAATATTCTATATCTGTGGTTGACTATAAATTACACCAACTTTCCGAGCGCCAATCGTCTAGTTTCAACTCAAACCGGGACTCGTAGTCATGAGTAGATTAGGTACGTCAAATTTCTTTCTTTCTTTCTTTCTATATTGGACTGAACCTTTTATGGTAACATGCGTTCTGTATTATAAAGCTGTGTTTACTACTGAGCCGGATAAATCTATCGATTTTTGGAGCTTAATTATAATAGACTTACCTTCATGTTATAAAACTATGTATATAAAAATAAATGACATCGATGATGTGGTGGTATGGCTTGAACCTTGGTTCAGCGGGGTCAGCAATAGACGCGTATGGTTAGATTTATGAGTCTCTAAGCGTAATAATTATCGTTGACTTTTTGAGTAACACTCGTCTAGTTTGAAGGCAGCCAGGGAATCATAATTATGACTAAAGCATATCGTGCAGCGACTTAGCGCAGTCAAATTTTTCCAATATTTGAACATCCACAACAAACACCAGGTTTCTGAAAGGCTTGTCAAAGCTAAAATTTACTAATCTTCTGTTAAATATCTTGTCAAGTCATCTGATTGGTTGAGTGAATTATCAACAACCGATCAGATGACTTGACAAGAGATTATTGATTTTAATATTGATCGGCCTTTCGGAAACCGGGGGTAAATCAACTTAATTACTTGAGCTTGTAGCTTTTAAAAAAATACTTAGTTGTCATTTTAGCTTTAATGGTAACTAATGGAAACAGAGTATCTATAATTATACTATTGTAAAGCTTTTCCTACTCCCCCCCCTTTCTCCCTCTCTCTCTTTCTTTTTGTCTCTTAATTGTCAATAAATCCATATTTTTCTTCTTCCAGACGTCAATTCCCCAAGTTCTTTACGTTCCGTGCTCGCAACGACTTTACAGAAGACACGATCTACCGTCACTTGGAACCGGCGTCCGCCTTCCAGCTGGAGCTGTACCGCATGAGGAGTTACGAGCTGGAGGCGCTCCCTACCAGCAACCAGAAGATGCATCTGTATCTTGGTAAAGCTAAGGTTTGTAATTATATGCTTCTTGTCTTCTATGTAAATATGTAAGTAATTAAAAATAGTTTATCCTCTTTTTCTCTCTTTATCTCTTACTCTGTTCACACACGGCCCCCTTTAACTTCTTCTCTTTCCGCCCTCTCTCTTCATATGAAAAGAGTGTAATTTCCCTTACCCCTCTATACCCATTCTTTTCCTCTTTCTGTGAGTATTGTCTAAGCTAGACTATATTTAAGTACCTTCTGAGGCACGGGAACAACCCTTCTTTCTTCTTCTATTCCCCTTCTTCCCTTATTTCTTGCCCTCTCTCTATCTCTCTTCTCCTCTTACTCCACACACAACCCCTCCATTTTCTTCTCTTACCCCCTCTATTTCTGTTCTTTTTCTATTTCTGAGTAGAAAGAGAATTATGGAAGATGGACATTGATTAAGTACCTATCTCCTGAAGCTTATAAGATTTTATAGTAGCCATATTGTTAAAATAAATTTAATTTGGACTTTTGAATATTAAAGACCTACCTTTGCAGGTAAAGAAGGGCCAGGAAGTGACAGACTTCCGATTCTTCATCCGCTCCATCATTAGGCATCAGGACCTCATCACCAAAGAGGCCAGCTTCGAGTATCTACAGAATGAAGGGGAAAGGTATGTATTTTTTTATTTTACGTGATACATTTTATAGCATGCCTGATGGTAAGCAATCGGCTAAGTTTAAGCTTCGGCACGAATGGGTCGGCTCCACCGGAGTGATACCAGCGTTGTGTTTCGCCGTGTGAGTGAGGTTACCGGAGGCCCAATCCTTCCCCTCCCCCGATCCCTCCCAATCCCTAAATCTCCAAAACCCTAATCCCTACAAGGTCGGCAACGCACTCGTTACTCCTCCCTTGCGGGTGTCCATTGGCGGCGCGATTACTTACCATCAGGTAATCCGTAAGCAACGAGCTTACGGATTGCCGACCTATTCCATAAAAAAAATCGGCACTGGCCATGGCGTCAGCAACTTCATAGGAGTTGCAAGTGCGTGGCCGATGTTATGGGGATTACGGATTTTGCAGAATCGAGGATCGGGGAAGGATGGGTGGAGAGGACGAACTCACTCACACGACGAAACACTAAGCTATGGTTGAATTTTTAGATTTGTAAACACACAGATGAAAATCCTACCATAAACAGCTAAAGATTTTCCGATTGCTTAAAAACCTTAAGTAAAATGGTTTCTTTCTCACCCAGGGTTCTCTTAGAAGCCATGGATGAGCTGGAGGTGGCCTTCTCCCACCCTCTCGCCAAGAGGACTGACTGCAATCACATCTTCCTCAACTTTGGACCCACCGTCATCATGGACCCGGCTAAGGTATTGAATATTTTTTTATAGATCAGAGGAGCAAATGAGATAATGGTTCCGGTAAGCAATCGGCGACAGTCGCAGTCTAGAGGTTGTAAGTGCATTGCCTGGTTTTTGAGGTGTTAGGGGTTGGGGGAGTTGAAAAGTGTTTCTTTTTTGTTGAACAGGTTGGCAAAAGAGCAGACTAATTACCTGATGGTAAGCAATCAGCGCGGCACGTGGACACCCGTAACAATAGATGAGCTACAAGTGCGTTGCCGACCTTTTGGAGATTGAGGTATTCGGGTGTGATTTGGAGGTTTAGGGATTTGGGGTGTAATTTGAAGATTTAGGGATTGCGGTGGTATTTTGAGATTTATGGATTGGAAGAGGGGAACGATTTGGAGATTTAGCGATTGGCGAGGGATTGGAAGAGGTGAAGGATTTGGAGATTTAGGGATTGGAAGAGGGGAAGGATTGGGCCTCCGGTTACCGCACTCACACGGTGAAACACAACGCTGTGGTTGTTTCACGCCAGTATTCTGTGAGGCCGTGGTATCACTCCGGTCGAGCCGACCCATTCGTGCCGAAGCATGGCTCTCCTACACTTGAACTTGAACATGTGGTGTTAATCATGGTGATCGTTTAATACTTTTGCCTGTTATATCTGGTGGTAATTTTAACATTTTGATATGTATCGCAGATCGAAGAATCCGTCCTCGGTATGGTGATGAGATACGGTCCACGTCTCTGGAAGCTGAGAGTTCTACAGGCCGAGATCAGGTTCACTCTGCGTATCGGTGAGTTTTTATCATAAAGTCATATGTTACATCGTGTGATGAGGATATATTTAGTAGTAGTCGGATATATTTTCACCACCACTATTCTTCACGCGGGTATAATATACCCGACTCGTTTGAGCAAATACAGTTTCTTATTATTCTTTGATCCAAATTTCCAAATCTGCTCGGTTGGCGCGGTGGCTAGGCAACTGGTTGCCGTGCAACGTGTCGCGGGTTCGATCCCCGCATGGAACAACTCTTTGTGTGATCCACAAATTGTTGTTCCGGGTGTGGGTGTGATGTGTATGTGTTTGTAAACGCACCCACAACACAGGAGAAAATCCTAAAGTGGGGCAACGTTTTTTAACTATATATACAGGAGGAGTGGGATATATTTTACCGCCCCATTCTTCACGCGGGTATAGCATACCCGACCCGTGTGAGCAAATCAAATTTCTTATCATTCTTTGATCTAAATATCCAAATCAATGAAAACTTTTAATTTCCGTTTCACCCCCAGGGTTAAAGTAAAACGAACTTACCCGGTTAACCTATTACTTAAACATGTGTTTGATAAGGGCTGTTCTTTCAACAGACAGATAAATGTTATCTAAAGAATAAAATTGTTGCTGTCACTGTCTTATACAAACATTCTGACGCGACAGCATCATAATTATTACCCAGGTAACTTATATCTAACCACTGAAAAATCAGCCCTAAAAGGTTTTCTTAAATATATATTTTTTCAATATTTTATTGTATTGCAACGTCGAATTCAAATAGTTTATGAGAATAAACAATAGGGATGATGACTAAAAAAATAATAATGAGTCCATCTTTTAGAACGTCAGAAAATAGTAGATAAGTATTTTTTCTTTTGCTTCTAAAACTTAAAATAACAAAGTTACAGAGCGGCGAAAGCTCGCGCTATGTCATTATTTCGTAAAATTTTTACGAAAGAGTGACGTCACGAGCCCCTACTCTTGAATTTGAATGTGCTGCATCTTTGTCAATATCATTCGTATGGACAAATAAAAAAATACGTATCGAGTATTTTTTATAATCTAACTAAGGGACTATTTAGAATCTTGTTGTTTTAACCCAGGAGACATCCCTATTATATTAATTTGTCCTCAGGTCCTGGAGCTCCGACAAAGAATGTGAGGCTCTGTCTGTCCAACGGGTCCGGGTACTCGCTCGATATCTACACTTACGAAGAGGTCTCGGACCCTAAGATTGGTGTGGTGAGTTTAATTTATATATAACAACCGATAACATTTTTAAAGGCCTTCAAGGCCTAAGTCATTCTGTTTCCTGCGTTAAATTTACTCAGCGAAGTGGAAAGTATTTCGTTTTTTCTTCTCCTCAAATAATATCTTCTGATTTATTTCGTTGCTGTATCCAAGACAGTCATTCATGTCCCTGGGACGCGCCGGACTTCAGTGTTCCGGTGTTTTCATGGTTGTATCTACTGTAGATCCTGGCTTACAGTACAGCTCTCGCCAAACTTTGTGACCGCCCTGAATATAGTCGCGAGTCCAAACTTGCGTAAGGTACAGTCGACTGGGCAATACGTAATCAACCAATATTAGTATATATGTCACCGGAAAATAACAAGATCCGTAAGTTTATCAATTTACTAGGAAGTTTATAAACTTTCGTAAGATTCTAAACGGGAGATAAATTGTAATATTTAACGTCCACATTTTCGTAAATTTATCAATTTCCGACGTCATACGGTAAATTTATAAACTAACGAATATCTATTCGTAAGATTTTATATGGTACGACCAATCACAGAAACTCTTTTAAATATACGATCTTTGAAATACGTAAAATAACACACTGCTCTCTGATTGGTCAATGTTCATAGTGGCAATGCTTGTGTCCATAGAAGTGACACGTGGCAGCCAACCAATCAGATCGCGCGTAGCGTTTGGTTACTGCTTACTTATTATTTTGCGAGTGAGTTCAGTAAGTTCAATTTACGAAAATGTGGACGTTAAATATTACAATTTATCTCCAGTTTAGAATCTTACGAAAGTTTATAAACTTCCTAGTAAATTGATAAGCTTACGGATCTTGTTATTTTCCGGTGACATATACGTAATCAACCAGTATTAAAAATGTTAGAAAATGAAAATTGGTTGATTACGTATTGCCCACTCGACTGTACCATGCGCAAGTTCGGATTCGCGACTATATTCAGGGTGGTCACAAAGTTTGGCGAGGGCTGTAGTTGCGGTGGGGTTGTCCCATTAAAAAAAGGTTTTTAAAGGATTAGCAAACTGAAGTGGCAGTAAGCAGGTCACATTTGTCGAAGAATCGATGACCGCTGGGGTAAACGTGTGCTAGAGCGGAGACCACGTCTAGGCAAACGTAGTGTAGGATATCTGAAGGGTGGCCGGCAGTGGTTGGGTGAGAAAAGCTGAACATCGAGCTCAGTGGCTTGCTATTGGGGAGGCCTATGTCCAGTAGTTGACGACATCAGGCTAATGATGAAGGTTTTTACAAGGCCTATTCGTTATTTCACAAAAATTTGAAGCTTCCTGAAGCTGAAAAGACTGGAAGTTGGCACTATTCAAAAGATTTAGCTCAACTTACTAGTGATAATGCAGTAGTTATGATAAAGAGTCTGTTTAGGCTCATGGCACATCTATGAGTATTGTGTCATTTTGTAGTTTGACAGTTGTAGTTGTCTAATTGTTGCCTCTAATAATACGGTAGTTTCCAACTAGTCAAATTCAATACATTTATCCAAACGTCAAAAACGATACTTTTCTATGAAATTTGTATGAAAAATTGAGCTATGACGTCATAACATTTTTGCGTCAAATAGCTTACTTATTTCAAAATAATTATCTAAAAAAAATCTAAAACTTAGTCTATCGATCGATCGATGAATAAAAGTATAGTTATTTTTCAAAATTGTATAGTATTGAAACATCGAATTAATTTATTTTTGACCTAGGAAACTACTCAATTATGGAACGGACACTAATGAAATTTTTGTTTCAGATAATGTTCCAATCGTTCGGACCCCGCCAAGGCCCGATGCACGGCCTGCCGATCTCCACGCCATACGTGACCAAGGATTATCTGCAGCAGAAGCGATTCTTGGTAAATATTCCTTATGCGATAACTCGGATTAAACCGTTTGCAAAAATAAATTCAATTAATTTAAATCAATTCACCCATACTGGGCGGCGACGATTGCTTTATCATTATAATCATCATCATCATCAGCCTATAAGTGCCCACTGCTGAGCAAAGGCCTCTTTTCATACGGAGAAGGTTTGAGCATTAATCACCACGCTTGCTGAATGCGCGTTGGCGATTTTAAACTTATAATTAGAAATTATAAGTCCAGGTTTCCTCACGATGTTTACCTTTACCGTATGTCAGAGTTGTCTAAATATTCATAGAAAGTATATATAAATTAAAATATTAGTATAGAAAACATTAATTATTTTATTCTTATTTTTTTTTCCTCCAGGCAACTTCTCAAGGCACGACATACGTTTACGACATCCCCGACATGTTCCGCCAGATGATTGAGAGGAGGTGGAGGGAGTGCATCGAGGAAGGCAGCGTTGATGGTAAGCACCGAGTTTCCCACCACCGGCACTCTTCCCGCAGGTGTGAGAAGCGTAGACATGCGCGAACCAATGACCTTTTTTGCAAACGGATTACCTGACCGCTTACCGCCTTTTATTATAAATATTATATATAATAAAAGGCGTCACGAGTGCGTTGCCCGCCTTTTAGGGTATCTGATATTGAAGGATTGGAAAGCGATGAGTTTGGGTTTTTGGGGAGGGGTTTGGGTCACCGGCCTTTGGGGTACGGAGAGAGTAAAGTTCCCTAAGATCGGAAAAGGAGGATTCCCCGATTAGGCTAGGTAATCAGCCTAGCGGGCCACTGCCCAACAGTTGGATTTTCTATCCGTGTTTATTCGTGAGCAAACGACCGTGAAATTCACTGCCGCAGTGTAGGATATATTATGTACTAGCGACCCGCCCCGCTTCACACGGGTACAACTATCTTGCTATCAAAGGGTCAATTTTTCCTAATCTTCCCCTCTACTTTTCTAATATTTCCTTTGATAAGAACCTTCTCCTGACAATAACGAACACAACAAAAAAGAATGATCAAAATTGGTCCAGGCGTTGTTGAGTTATGCGCTTACCAACACATTTTGCGATCCATTTTTATATATAAAGATGACGTCCTCTGTTGATTTACTATGTGCGTTGCTACAGACCTAGGTCTCCACGTCGAAAGATAATTCGCCATTGGCATCCTTTGACTCCCCGCGACTCTGACAAAGGATGAGTCGCCGGCTTTTTGTAAGTTGTTAGGAATTCAAACAATGGGGTATTTTGAGATTGAGGTTAGGAGGGAGATTAGGCCTCCGAGGACCTGGCTCACTCGCCGACAAATAGTTATTTCACGCCGGTTTCCTGTAAGGCCGTGGTATCATTACGATCGAGCCGTCCCATTTCTGCCAAAGCTATTCTCTCCCACATACATATAAATGGATGGTCTATATATGTTGGTAACTCTTTAATGTTTAAAACTACTGAACGAAATCGAATGAAATTTGACACAGAGATAGATTTTATAGTCTGGACTAACTTACATAGGCTGACTTTTATCCTTGCGCTGCGGTTTAATACAATTTTATAATTAATCACAGGGCCACCTCCAGACAACGTGATGAACGCAGTCGAGCTAGTCATCGAGCCAGACGGCGAGAGGCGTGTCGTCGAGGTCACCAGGCTGCCCGGACAGAATAATGTGAGTCTCATTTCTAACTAGCTACTTTAGCGCGGTTTTACTCGCTGCTTGGCTCCTACAGATATTTGCGTGATATTTTATTTTTTATAGCCTATTGGCTATGTGCGCGATAATGGCGTCGCATAGCGTTTTCATTTCCGGAAGCTGTCAAATAATAACAATGTAAACATAATTTTCTTTGCAAATATAAATAAAACCAAAGATTAAAATATTATTGTACAACTCTTTGTGTGATCCACAAGTTGTTGTTCCGGGTGTGGGTGTGATGTGTATGTGAAATTGTATGTTTGTAACCGCACCAACGAAACAGGAGAAAATTCTAGTGTGAGGCAACATTTAAAAAAAATTGATAAAGCATTTTCTTTTAATCCTAGGTCGGTATGGTAGCATGGCGTTTAACCCTGTACACGCCGGAATGCCCCGACGGCAGAGATATCATCCTGATTGCGAACGACCTCACATACTACATGGGGTCTTTTGGACCGCAAGAAGACTGGGTTTACTACAAGGCTTCGGCTTACGCGAGAGAACTGAAAATACCAAGAGTAAGTTTTAATGTTTTATTTGTCAATATTATGTACTCTTTGTTTTAAAGTTACTTAAATACAAATTTATTTATTTGTTAAGGTAGATATTATCTCTACTATAGATAGTAGCGTGATGTTTCATTACCTTATAACACTCAGGTTCATTTTAGCTTTCTATCAGTGAAAGCGTAAAATTTATGAGTGTTGCTCGTAATTTTTCAATCTTGCTGGACTAGTTTCGAGTACTACCGGGGCTCATAATTGACAGCTACGAACGGTTTTACCTAAGTTGACTGTTAATCTAAGATCAGAAGAAGACTAATGACATAATGACAATATGATATATGAATGTCTTACTTTTAAGTTGTGAAAAGAGGTTTTTTTCTTTTTGTTTTGGAAATTCCGTTAACAGATGATCTAACATAGTCATAAAATCAGTTAAATCATTGATTAACAAAATTACTCATTTAATTGGAGCACCCTATTTTAACCGTCGTCGTCGCCAACTTTGTTTTTCGTTCAAAAGTAATAATATATAATTAAATAACTTATCGAAATAAATGATTTGACTTTAATAATCTAAAAACACATCTTTTGACAGGTATACGTAAGTGTCAATTCGGGCGCGCGCATAGGAGTTGCAGAGGAAGTGAAATCGGAGTTCAATGTCGCCTGGATAGACTCTGAACGTCCGGAGAGAGGTTTCAAGTACCTCTACTTGACCCCCGAGTCGTACTCTAAGCTTGGACCCCTGGGGTCTGTGAAGACTACCCTCATTGAAGACGAGGGAGAGTCCAGATATAAAATTACCGATATCATTGGTGAGTTTTATTTACATTGTTATGATTATATATTTTTCCGTTAAGACTCCATTCGGGGTCTATATTTTGGGGTCATTTTTAGGCCTCTTATAATAAGACTTGCAAAATCTGGACCAGATATATAATTACTGATATCATTGGTGAGTTTTATGTAAATTATTATGATGTGATTTTTGCATAAGACCGCTATTGGCGTCTATATTATGGGGTCATAGGGGTCATTTGTTAGGCCCCGGATAGTAATACTTTTCCGGATTGTAAACCAGATATAAAATTACTAATATTATTGGTGAGTTTTATGTAGATTAATATGATGATATATTTAAAATAACCCCCTATTGTGGTCTTTAATTTGGAGAGATTGAGGTCATTGCGTAAGGAATCTCATCTTAAATTAAACTAAATTCTTTATTTCAGACTAGAGATCCGTAGAAAAAGTATTATAATTACTAATCCTTATGTTAGATATAAAACATAAGTTAATATTTATCAATTACTAGCTACTCTCGCGCCGTTTCACTCGCTGCTCGGCTCTATTTGATCGTAGCGTGATGTTTTATAGCCTATAGTACTTAGAAACATTGTAGCCATCTATCAGTGAAAGAATTTTGGCAATATAACACCCGGTTTCTGAAAGGCTTGTCGACGCTAAAATTAACTAATCTCCTGTTAAATCTCTTGTCAAGTCATCTGATTGGTTGTTGATAATTCAGTCAACCAATCAGATGACTTGACAAGAGATTAAATTGATTTTAACATTGATCGGTCTTTCGGAAACCGGGCGGGTTAGTCTTTAAACACTTTGACTTTGACTAAACATGATATCCCCCGACAGGTAAGGAGGACGGTCTTGGTGTGGAATGTCTCCGCGACGCTGGTCTCATTGCTGGTGAGACCGCACAGGCTTACGAAGACATTGTCACCATATCCATAGTTACTTGCCGTGCCATTGGTATCGGATCTTATGTTGTACGGTAAGTACCTATTGACTTTTTTCTATGTGATTGGACGGCAAACGAGCCGGACGACCTGATGGTAAGCAATCAGCGCCGCCCATGGACACAGCAGAGGAGTTGCAAGTGCGTTGCCGACCTTTAGGGGATTAGGGATTGGGGGAGGAGAAGGATTGGGCTGGTATGGGACAAGCCTGTCGACAGACAGACGGACAGATCGATAAATAAAATTATAGTTATTTTTCAGTATTTTATTGTATGGAAACGTCGAATTATTTTTTTTTTGTCCTAGGAATATGTCCAATTTTGAGACATAATAAACTTTGGAAAAATATTGTCAAACTAGCTACTCTCGCGCGGTTTCACCCTCTGCTCGGGACCATTTAATCAAGGCGTGATGTTTTATAGCCTATAGCACTCAGGAATATTGTAGCTATCTACCAGTGAAAGAATTTTGCTAATCCGACCAGCGGTTCCAAAGATTACCCCCAACATACAAGCTTACACATTTTACCTCTTTATAATATTAGTATAGATAATACAATGAAAACTCCGTTTTCTCCAGATTGGGTCACCGTGTCATCCAAGTGGAATCTTCGTACATCATCCTGACTGGATACGTCGCTCTCAACAAGGTGCTGGGCAGATCTGTATACGCCAGCAACAACCAACTCGGGGGTCAACAGATCATGCACCACAACGGGGTCTCCTCCGCTGTAGCCCCCACTGATTTGGAGGCTGTGAGAACTGCGCTACGGTGGCTGTCGTTCGTACCTAAGGTGAGGGGATTTTTATAATAGGTCGACATACTAGCAGACGGATTACCTGATGGTAAGCAATCAGCCATGAAAACCCGCAACAACGCCCAAAAGAATTATGGCACCTATAATCAAACTGTAATTTTCATTACTATTATTCACGAGTTTTAAATAGATTTTCATTATGTCATAGATAAATTTTTATTACTATTATTCATGAGTTTTTTAATAGAGTTTTTTGCGCTATTATTGGTTGAGTTACGCTTATATCTACTTGCGCTAAAATGCTATCCGCGCATAGGAAAACCTTATTAATTTATCCCACCATTACGAAACATTTTGCACAACTCGTCTCGTTTTGTCTTTTGATGTTTTTTTATTTAAGTATTATTTTATTCAGAAGTGTGTTGAAAAACGTCACATGATACACGTTTGATTGCACGGTTGGCGCGGTGGCTGGGCAACTGGCTGCAGCGCAATGTGCCGCGGGTTCGATTCCCGCACGTAACGACTCTTTGTGTGATCCACAAATTGCTGTTCCGGGTCTAGGTGTGATGTCTATTGTATGTTTGTAAACGCACCCCATTGACGACGTTGCAGCAAGGCAATGTTTTTTTAAAAAGAAAAAGTGTATTGATACTTACCGTCCTCGGTTCATTATACACTATAGTGTTATATAATTAAAAGTTATAATACCCTAATGCTCTATAACCCCCAGGACAAGATGAGCCTGGTCCCCATAATGCGTCCTGCGGACCCGGTGGATCGTCCCGTGGAGTGGGTCCCGCCCCGCGCGGCGCACGACCCGCGCCTGATGCTGGCCGGGGACGCGGCGCGGCCTGGCTTCTTCGACGCCGGCAGCTGGGACGAGGTCATGCAGCCCTGGGCACAGACTGTCATCACTGGTAAGCCGCATTACAACTGACCGGAGTGATACCACGGCCTCACACAAAACCGGCGTGAAACAACCACAGCGTTGTGTTTCGCCGTGTGAGTGAGTTTACTCGATGCCCAATCTCTACCCCTCCCCTATCCCTTCCCAATCCTTATATCCTCTACCCCCATCCCCAAAAGGCCGGCAACGCACTCGTAACTCCTTTGGTGTTGCGAGTGTCCATGGGCGGCGCCGATTGCTTACCATCAGGTAATCCGTCTGCTAGCTTGCCGAGTTCTACCATAAAAAAAATTAATAATTCTCCTCCCCCACAGAATAAAAGCCAGTAAAAATTAAACTTGATCGACTCCTGCAGTGTGATTCTGTAAGACTTCATTCTAAACTTCGAATCTGAATCCGCTGTGAGTAGTAGTACACTAGCGCTACACTTGCGAGTTGAACTAAATTGACCGCAACATTTTGATAGATAAAGTATGAGATGACGTTAAAAGTGACATTCTATAATGTAATTTTCACGTCACTTCGACGCTCACTTCACACTCGACCAACATTCAGAATCAAACAAAATTTTATAGAATACGGTAGTTTCCAACTAGTCAAATACAATACTTTTATCTAAATGTCAAAAACTATACTTTTCTATGAAATTTGTATGAAAAACTGAGGTATGACGTCATAGTATGTTTGCGTCAAATAGCTTACTTATTTCTTAATAATTAGCCACAAAATATCTAAAACTTAGTATTTCGATCGATCGATGAATAAAAGTATAGTTATTTTTTAATATTTTATTGAATTGAAACGTCAAATTAATTTATTTTTGACCTAGGAAACTACCCAATTGACGTGTTGTATTTGAAATGTCCCCCAGGTCGCGCCCGCCTCGGTGGTATCCCCGTAGGAGTGGTGGCGGTGGAAACCAGGACGGTGGAGATCACGTTGCCTGCCGACCCCGCCAACTTGGACTCCGAAGCCAAGACCTTGCAGCAAGCTGGACAGGTTCGTCAGTCTTAATAATGTTAATGTTTGAAAGTTTGTAAGTTTTGAAAGATGGTAGCAATACTTAGAAATAACACTATGTGACGTTGTAATAAATCATTAGTTTTAAATTAGGAGGTATTAATTTTGACTGCACGGTTGGTGCGGTGGCTGGGCAACTGGCTGCCGTGCAACGTGTCGCGGGTTCGATTCCCGCACGGAACAACTCTGGTCTGGGTGTCATGTGTATGTGAAATTGTATGTTTGTAACCGCACCCACGACACAGGAGAAAACCCCAATGTGAATCCAGAAGAAAACATTTCTGTTTTATTTGTCATGTTCCTTCATGATCACATTTTTTATTAATTTCACACACAATTACAAAAGAAAAGTCTCAGATCGTTAATTAATTGTCAAAACTAAATTATCGGTTCACAAATATTTTATTTCCTGATAAACTTAGTTTAGGAGAGTAAATTAATAAACGAAAGGAATCGATTCAGAAATATTAGATTTCCATATCGAATAATTTGGCAACGTCACTATTTAGTACGTGTCATAACGTTGCAACACTGAAATTGTCAAATCTGGAATGGAATTAAAATTCTGAGTATAGTATATAAAATTCTCGTGTCACATTTTCCGTTGCCATACTCCTCCGAAACGGCTTGACCGATTTTGATGATTTATTTTTTGTGTTTATCCGGTATCTATGAGAATCGGCCAACATCTATTTTTCATCCCCCTAAATGTTATTTTTTTGTTATTTTTGTCAAAATTTTTAATTTTTATTTTTTTTATGATACAACATACAATCCTCAATTTTCACCCTTCCACGATCAACCCTTATTTTATAATAGCCATTTTAGTAATTTAATCATTTTTCCTCTCCGGTCGAAAACTGATCAATCATCATTTAATTAGTTATCCCCGCCAGATGCCTACAGGTGTCACCTCTGACCCAGTAATTGCGCCCGTGTGAAGCCGGGACGGGTCGCTAGTGTTTGTATGATATTGACCATCTTTTATATACCAGGTTTGGTTCCCGGACTCCGCGTATAAGACGGCGCAGGCCATCAACGACTTCTCCCGCGAAGGTCTGCCCATCATGATCTTCGCCAACTGGAGAGGTTTCAGTGGAGGACAGAAAGGTACAATATTTTTTTAATGCTATGTACACTAAGATCTCTTTTTTTTATACATTATTAATCATCTAAATATTATATTATATAATACTAGCGGTCGTACGAGTATATGTCGATTTTACACTTTTCAAGTTTTTTGTTTTTATTTGTCTACGTTCAAACCTTTCCTGGACTTCCAAGAACAATTAAAAAAAAAGTCTTAAAAATTAGCTAAATCCGTAAAGCCTATAAAACCTTTTCTGTGCTTGTAAGGCCTAAGTCATTCTGTCTCCTGCATTAACTGTACCGAGGGAAGTGGAAAGTATTTCGTCCTTTTTTCTTCTCAAATAATATCTTCTGATTTATTTTGTTGCGGGATCCAAGACAGTCATTCATGTCCCTGGGACGCGGCGGACTTCAGTGTTCCGGTGTTTTCATAGTTGTATCTACTTTAGATCCTGGTGCACAGATTTGGCAGGCTTGTCCCATAAAAGTAATACCTAAATACTTTTATTTTCTCCGCAGACATGTACGAGCAGATCCTTAAGTTTGGAGCGGAGATAGTCCGCGCCCTGCGCGGGGCGTCGGCCCCCGTCCTAGTGTACATCCCCCCCGGGGCAGAGCTCCGTGGAGGTGCCTGGGCCGTCGTCGACCCCTCTGTCAACAACCTCAGGATGGAGATGTACGCCGACCCCGAAGCTAGGTGAGTGTTTGAGTATTTCATACTTTGACACCAACACTGCTCGTCACGCGGGTGTCCCCACATGTCAATTGAATCTCCTGGAAAGATAGGTAAGAAAATTTTTGAAGAAGTTGGTTGAAGAAAGAGCAGGCTTTACTTACGTGACGGTAAGCAATCAGCGCCGCAGTTAGGAGTGCGTTGCCAATCTTTTGGGGATTAGGGATTTGAAGATTTAGGGATTGGGGGAGGGAAAGTCTTGGGCCTCCGGTGCGGAAATTTATATGAAGCTGGTTGACTAAAGAGCAGATTTTACCTATGTGATGGTAAGCAATCAGCGCTACCAGTAACGCTTAAGTCAGTGCGTTGCCGGCCTTTTCAAGGTTAGGCATTTGGAAGTGGAAGGGAAAGGGAAAGCATTGGAATACCGATATAATCAAGCAGTGTAGCTTGCAGTAGCAACTACTTAGACAAACTTTTAAACTTTCGCGTTTCATATTAACTACATATATTTATTTATGCGGGTATTAACGCGTAAAACAACATGGCAACCGGGTCGAAACGTCAAGCCTACCAAGGTATTCTAATAATAATTTTCCGCGTTAAAGTAAATATATGTTGTTAGTTAGACAAATTCAATATTTTTTTTTTCGAAATGTCAAATACTAAATTTTGCTTTGAGTATTGTATGAAATAGGACGTTGTGACGTCATATTTTTTACGTCAAATAGCATGCTTATTTCTCTTAAATCATATATAAAACGCCAATATTGAGTATGTGTGTGTGTGTACCTGTGACTATTTTTAAGTATTTTTATTAAGTCTTTTCGTCGTGTCTTTTTGACTAATTAATCTGAATCTGAAAAATGTACAGTTTTCCATACGAGATCTTTACATAAAGTTATCAGATGAATTTCTAATATTATAATATTGTGTTTACCAGGGGCGGTGTGCTAGAAGCTGAAGCTATAGTGGAGGTGAAGTTCAAGCAGCGCGACATCTTGAAGACCATGCACCGACTCGACCCCGAGCTGCAGAGGGTCGGCGCTAGGATCTCAGGTACAAACATAATAATACATTACATTTAGATAGAAACTGTTCAAAGGACTTCAGCGAGTTGGCTTCGGCCCCTCGTATGCCTTCCAAAGTTCCAGGATCCTAAAGGAAAAACATACATAATAATCATTATGTAATGGCAAACGAGCAGACGGATTACCTGATGGTAAGCAATCAGAGCCGCCCATGGACACCCGTAACACCAACGGAGTTACGAGTGCGTTGCCAGCCTTTTGAAGATTCAGAATTTTTTTTATTTGATTGGTCTTCAAACGAGCCCAGGGATTATGGTAAGCAAACATCGCCGCCCATGGACACCCGCAACAACAGAGGAGTTACGAATGCGTTGCCAAACTTGAGATTTAAGGATTAGGGAGAGGAAGAAGGATTGGGTCTCCGATAACCGCACTCACACGGTGAAACACAACGCTGTAGTTATCTCACGCCGGTTTTCTGTGAAGCCGTTATATCACTCTGGTCGAGCCGACCCATGCATGCCGAAGCTTGGCTCTCCCACTTAAGAATGATGATGTAAGGAAATAGTAAAGTGGTATACTGACTTGTCCATGACGATGACTCGGTCGTAGTCCATGACTGTGTTGAGTCGATGCGCGATGGTCAGCACTGTAGCGATTCACTACTAGATGTGAAAATAAACCGATTTCTTTTTGTTACAGAGCTGAAGGAACAAATCAAGGAGATATCCAAAGGACTGGACCGCAGAGGATCCGTCGACGAGAGCCTCATCAGGACTGATGCTGGGCGCGCTGGTAAATTATATTTATCTACTAATTAATAATATTATAAAGACGTAAAATTCGTAAGGGTTAATCTTTGGAACCGTTGGACGGATTTCCAAAATTCTCTCGCTGATAAATAGCTACAATGTTTTTGAGTGCTATCCAAACTAATATTATAAATGTGAAAGTAACTCTGTCTGTCTGTCTGTCTTTTCTTCACGCCTATACTACTGAACCGATTTCTCTAAAATTTGGTACAGATAGTTTGGAACTCGAGAAAGGATATAGGATAGTTTTTATACCAAAAATCTGCAGGAAGTCACTATTCCACACGAACTAAGTTGCGGGCAAAAGCTAGTATAATATAGTATATCAAGTATTATACGTGTAATAACATTTATTACCATGTATGTTTATGAATTATATGAAATTGGTTACAGCCGAAACTCGCGTGCGTGAGCTAGAAACAGAACTGTTAGCCGCTGAGAAAACTGCGAAGGCTCGTGAAAAGGAACTCAGTCCTATATATCACCAGGTTTGTCGAACCCTACACAATAACCGTAACATCCTTAAAAATATGCATTCATTGTGTCAAAGTTCTAGTCAGAAAACATTTTTTTAACTAATATTTAAACAAACTCTTCGCTTTTGAAATTTCAAAATATTTTTGTTTTGTTTGGTAACTATTGTTACCTAGTTAATACAGTAGTTTCTAACTAGTCAAATTCAATACTTTTATCGAAATGTCAAAAACTGAGGCACCGCGACCTCGGCCTAGAGCAGGAGATGGAACGGGGGGGTTTTTAGTCAGTAAGAGTCTGACACTCTCTCTCGCCGCACCCTGGGCGAGAGAAGTAATTGATGGTTTTCCCCTCACAAAAAATAACGTGGAACTGCGACTGATATAGTGGATAACATTTTATTGATATTTAATGTTTTGTTTGATTACAGATCGCAGTACAATTTGCTGAACTACACGACACAGCCGAAAGGATGTTGGAAAAAGGATGCATATTTGTAAGTATACATAATGTTATTAAAACTCTGATAATTCATAGTTTTTGTTAGACCATAGAATTCGTTGTGTGCGCGATGACAGCGCCCCTAGTGGCCGCAACTATTCAGGACTTGTCATCTGTCAAATCATGTCAACTAGATGATAAGATATTGATTTTCGACTAGTTTTACAAAAAAATTGAAAAAAGTGAGTGTATATTATACCTAGCGATTTTCTTCCTCGTGAAAAATATGGATATTAAATCTCAGAATACAGAACAAACCAGAAGGCGCGTTCACTCATAATTACATGTTGTCAAATGTGTCCAAAAACAATACGTCAATCCCCCCGCCAGCCGCACTTCCCACCCGCGTAGTGTTGCCGAGTGCCGACAGTGGAACAATTCCCTTGGTTTGGGGTAATTTTACAACAGGAGGGTAAGATACGAGTAAACCCAACAAAATAGGTAAACTTACGATAAATGCAACAGACTAGTTGTTCACACATTGCATGCAGGTGTAATAAAGGTTGATGACTTCTGACTGTGTTAATTTTAGTTACACCTACTATAGACAACAAATAAAACAAAGGTTCAATATGTAAAAAGGTTTTATTACGTTCCCTTTTGCTGATTAAGCTTTTTATAATATTGTCTTTTAGACTCTGAACTGATTTGAAGAGTTTTACGCTTAGACAAATAATGTAACCTTATATCCAGATATTTCTCAATTACCGCCCTTACAAGATTATTTCTGTGGCTTTGTCCATTTACGTGGTCATTGATGACAGGAAATATGTTATTTTTGCCTATAAACTGTTTGAAAATTGACAGTACGATGGTTAAACGTTGAATATTTGAATTTATTATTAAATTGTCATTTGAAATCTTTCTCACATGTGCTTCACAAATACAACATATATCATAAATACTCTGAGACGGAAAGTACAATCCACCCCTATTTTTTAAACCAATAAGTTTATGAAACCATAAAACATTGGATGCCAGCATTGCGTCTACACAAAATGAACACTTTATTGATCTTGACAAATAATAAGCAACAGATCCTGATATGTATCCTACGATATATTTAGTCAAATCATGTAGCTGAGGCAATTCAGTAGACAATAATTTTGCAATACTGCCACCGTTTTCGGTAATAGCTAATAATCCTTCATTATTGATCTGTTCATCATCTTCAAATCTCCGTAAATATGCCGAGGAGTTTATTGATTTGGTCGAGGATGAGCAATTTAATATGCCTATGTTTTCCAAAGGTATACAGTTTCCGCTGTCGGAAACTTTAAGTTCCAGGTGGCATAAAACTTTGCGATATATACCTTTGAACTGTTTCACATTTGGGTTGTCGTTATGACCTCCATGCATTCGAATCATGCCAAACAGCAATTCTAAATGATCCTGGCTAAATTTATAAGTTGGCAGAAATACCAACTGATTGTCAACCTCAACTAAACTCGCGTATAGTGATTTTAAACTTTCAATGCCTATTAGAATTCCTAGAAAACCCGTTTTACAATTACACTCCAAAATTGGTTTATATGTTTTCATTATAACTTGAACTTTTCGTCCATCGCGATTTACTTTTCGTTTAGTTATATTTTTTATTTTTAAATTCAAAATATACGTTTTAATTTTACCTAAAAAATTAAATACCATATCTTTATTGCTGCTATTTAAAGGTTGCTTTAAATCAAATTGTTTCATGTTACGCGAGTTGAATATATCGAATAGATCATTCATATTACTTACAAAAACTTCGGTAGCTTTCGATTTCCTAAATGCGAGCAATTTAACATCTTCCCGACAAAATTTCAATGATGTAGCTACACTTTTACTTAAAGTTTGGCTAGCAAGCTTCACTTTCATAATATTATTTCTGAACATAATATGTCTACGTGTCAGCTTGTTTGCTATATGAAGTCCTTCATTTTCTTGAAGTTTATTTAATTCACACAACAAGTTCCAATTTATTTCTTCCTCGTTTTCATCTAAAATTGTTCGCTTAGATTCCCAATTATTTCGTATAAGCTTAAACATCTGAACGGGGTCCAAGAATACAGCTATATCGTATTGGTCTACGGGGTGTTTAAAAGTAGTCTTTAACTCATTTTCGTAGTCCAATTTACATCCTAACAGCTTCATTGTCGTTATATTGGTAGAATGTCCATCAAAGGTTAAGGAGACTACTTTCACACCAGCGTCATGACACTTTATTAAGCATAGTTTAATCAAATTTACTTTTTGTTCTGCATTCAAACCATGGACCAAAAAATATCCAAGAGGTAACTTAAAATTGTCATTAACCGCGTTCAACAAAAACACGTAAGCCTCAGAGGCTAAAGTCTTGCAATCTTCAGATGTTCCGGTGCCCATGTCTACATATCCGCAATTTTTTTGGCCGTCCCATATGCTTTGCTGTCTGATAGACATTTCATCGGCACTAAGAGCACAAATAAGTTTTCGCTCCAACGATTTAGCTTTTTCCTTTAAAGCGACAAATGATTCATCTGAGAAGCCAGGTTCTCCACTGACGTTGGAATACCATTTTGACAATGTTTTTGGATGCGGAAGACAAGTGTTAAAAGTGGCTCTCACGTACCTATATGCTGACGGTGAAAGAAAATTTAAAGTAAGGCAAAACTTTTTTATGTTCGTAGTGTACTTGAGTTTCTTTTTATTCAAAACGCTTATATTATACGCGTTATTAAATAGATCAGCTGCAACTACATCGGTTGAAAGAAGATCGTAAACATCATCGTTAATGAAACGGTTGTTTTTTAAATTCCTTAATACGCATTTTAGGGATTCGTACTTCTTGGCAAGACGTTTGTGTTTTTGTTGTAAAGTTTTCAGTTGCCGAACATGTCGCTCACAAGTAATTTGTTTTCGTCGTAATTGAGATTTAAGTTTCACTTTTCTCGGAGAATCGAATATCGATTCCATATCCGAAATATCAACAATCGCTGTAGGTGATTGTGGCAGCGCAACCTGAAATTGAAACCCTGAAGTTTATCACGATATATAATTTTTGACGTCAGTGAATGGCATCTCTATAATATAAATGTTCTAGCTGACCTGGCGAACTCCGCACTACCTTAAATATAAATACTATTTGTTTTGGCCTTTCCTGCACTTCCACGAATAATTCGAGACCAAAATTAGTCAAATCGGTAAAGGCATTATTGAGTTATAATATTACAACGAAAAGTAGCATTGATTCAGTTTAAAATCTTATAGGTACCCACATTGTCTGATATTGAAGACTCCATTTGTAACTCAGCAAATTCTGGTGACAATGCCAAATACTGCAATAAAAGGTACTGTTAGAATACTCATAAGTTTTTTTCAGCAAAACCACGGTTATAAGGAACTAGCGACCCGCCCCGGCTTCGCACGAGTGTATTTTATTTTAACTCATCTATAAAATAGCATAAAAATCCGTGCTATAGCTAATTTCAAAGATTCAAGCATACATAGTTACACAGAAAGCGACTTTGATTAATACTGTGTAGTGATAGAAAACATATAAATTGAATAAATGAATATTATTATAAAATTTGCGGCCCTCCCTGGCTTTGCCCGTGGTAGGTACATACCTACATAGCCTTTAGCACTGAGGGTCACCTTAGCTAACTGTTGGTGGAGAATTTTGGAAAACTGACCAGTACTTTGTTCCTGAGATCAGCGCGTTCAAGAAAACAAACAAACTCTTAAACGTTTCTAATATTATTATAGATATACCTTAGTAGGAGTTGCTGTTTTCTTCAGTCTTTTCAAACCACCTTTTGTGTCATAAATATATTGCTCTTCGAAGTGAATTGAGCATATTACGCTGCGGCTACATGGTTTCCAAAATTCATCTAACCGTGCCCTTTGAATTATTTTCATCCATTTAGATTTTCTCTGTTCATCAGCAGGAAAACTAAAATGACAAAGGTTCCATAATAGACAAAAATAATACTCACAACAAATAAATAAGTGGGTAAAATTTTCACTAAATATGACAACACTCACAAAATGGACGCCACATTGTCATAGAAAAATAAATCGAAAAATTAAATTCAATAATTAATTAAATATACTATTGCAGACGATGCTTACAGGTGAAATGTAATCCCATCAGCTTTCTTCATAAATCCAGCTGCATTTTTACACGTAGGAACAACACAAGACGGCATAATTAAATTAAAATTGACACTCGTAAATACGTCACGACATGCCACGTGCCAAAATTGACTAATCGTAGAAATTTCATACTATTATATTAAAGAGTGGTTTTAGTTGCTTTAGTTTGAAGCGCGATGACGCCTTCTGGTTTGTTCTGTATTCTGAGTATTAAATACGTATTATTTACGGGTTTTGAATTTTAATCCTCTTCACAGCAGCTAGCCATTTTTCTCTTTGCTGTAATGTCCACTTTGATGTTGGAAACGAATAAAACTTGCACGAATTGTTTTTCCCATTGTTTTTACAATTTACGACACAGCTTGTACTATGACAATTATTTTTACATTTAAATTTGTACGTTTTTACTTAAATTACAAAGGAAGTTATGAAAATAAAGCAATTTGACACATGATAGCCCAGAATTAATTTACAATTCTGCCACGTCTTGCGCTACGATCGATTTGCCGTTCCCCACCACCCACTTCGCACATAGCGAATATGCAAAAGTTTTAGCCGTCCATAGATGTATTTTATTTTCTGTAAACGAGTACTTATTTGTGTGATAGATGAGGCCTTCTTTATCTTCTATCTATCTTTCCTATCTTATTTCTTTGAGAAGAAGCTGTCACGTGTCGCGGGTTCAATTCCCGCCCGGAATAATTCTTTGTGTGTTATACCGGGGTCTGGGTATGTGTGTGTATTTTTTGTTTGTAAATGAGTGGGGCAAAGTTCTTCAAAAGAGAGAAGAGAGAAAATTTGTTAAAAACTGATAACCCCTATTCTTTCAAAATATGTCTTACTAGCTCGCCAATAAAGGTGATTATCGCAAACCCTTCGATTACTTAAAACCTACAGTCCAGCTATAGTCAGCCAATAAAAGTGTTAACTTGTGATTAATAATAAAATACTCTGTTTTCCTTCAGGATATAATCCCCTGGCGTGATTCCCGACGTCTATTCTACTGGCGTCTCAAGCGCTTACTGAGACAGAACGAGCAAGAGAGACGAGTCCAGGAAGCCGTCAAACCAGCAGACAGGATGGAACAGGGTCCTGCTGCAGCAACCCTCAGGAGGTGGTTCACTGAGGACCGGGGAGAGACACAGGTAATATCACTATCTTTAGTACAAAACAAAGTCGCTTTCTCTGTCCCTATATCTCTATGTATCCTTATAATATTACTTTTTATGTAATGGGTCGGCAAACGAGCAAACGCATTACCTGATGGTAAGCGATCAGCGCCGCCCATGGACAACGACGGAGGAGTTCCCAATGCGTTGCCGACCTTTTGGGGATTACGGATTTGGAGATTTTGGGAAGAGGGATTATGGGTGGGGGGAAGGATTAGGCCTCCGATAACCTCACTCACACGGTGAAACACAATGCTGTGGTAGATTCAGTGGAAGTGTTGTTTTGCGCCAGTTTTCTGTGAGGCCGTGGTATCACTCCGGTCGAGCCGCGTGGTATCGCTAGTGGTAGTAGGTTCTCGCGCATGAGAGTTCGGGTTCGGAACTTGGCAAGTACCAATGTGACTTTTCTCGAGTCTTATATACTTTCTATGATTATTTAGATACCACTGACATTAATGGTCAAGGAAAACATCGTGAGGAAACCTGGACTTATAATTTCTAATTATAAGTGTGAAATCGCCAATCCGCCTTGAGGGAGCGTATGAATGCTCAAACCTTCTCCGTGTGAGAAGAGGCCTTTGCTCAGCAATGGGCACTTATAGGCTAATGATGATGATGATGATGATGATGATGATGATGATGATGATGATGATGATGATGATGATGATGATGATGATGATGATGATGATTGGTCAATAATGTAAATTTTATTTCAGTCGCACCAATGGGAGCACGATAATGAGGCAGTCTGTAAGTGGCTGGAAGCCCAGGCCGGAGACGATAACTCAGTGCTGGAGAGGAACCTCAAGGCCATACATCAGGACGCGCTCATGCAGGCTGTCAACAACCTCGTATTGGTGAGTCCATTTTTTTTTACTAGCAGACGGACTGATGGTAAGCAAAGATGGGTGCTCGCAACACTAAAGAAAGTTGCAGTGTTTTGCCGGGTTTTTAAGATAATGGGGGGGTAAGGGATTTAGAGATTTTGGAATTAGGGAGACATTGCGCCTCCGGTGACCTTAGTCACACGACGAAACAAAACGTAAGCGTTGCTTCACGCTGGTATTCTGTGAGGCCGTGGTATCACTCCGGTCGAGCCGACCCATTCATGCCGAAGCATGGCTCTCCCACACTTAATAAAGTACTACACTAAATAATGAATTATTTTTCTCCTTACAGAAACTAACGCCATCACAACGCGGCGAGTTCATAAGAAAACTGTCAGCCTTGGAGATGGAGCAATAATTGTAATGTTTAGGTAATGTTTTAATTACTAGGTCGAACAAATTCTAGGGTACATGATAATTTATTGTTGGGGGCTTCTAGCGTATGCAAGCTGTTTTTCTGTAATGGCGGGATGATAACGGTAATTTAGTACTTGAAAATTTAATATAATAATTGTCAATATGTTTATTTTTTTATATATGTATGTTTAAGTTATTGAATATTAAAGACCCGTCCTATCCTCGCACGGATGTTATTATGCGTATAAACCTTCCGCATCAATCATTATATCTATTACTAGCTACTCTCGCGTGGTTTCACCCGCTGTTCAACTCCATTTAATCGTACCGTGATGTTTTATAGCCTATAGCACTCAGGAACATTGTAGCTATCTATCAGTGAAAGAATTTTGGCAATCCGACCAACGGTTCCAAAGATTACCCCCTACTACAAACTTACAAATTTTACCTCTTTATAATATTAGTATAGATAAAAAACCACATCAAAATCCGTTGCGTAATTTTGCAGATTTAAGCATACATATACTCAAGAGAATTTATGATTTTTTCGAAAAACGCTCGACTAATTTCAAGTCACTCCGGGACTTATATCAGCATTGTTGATGTTATCTTCTCCATCCTATACTGTGCTAGAGTGAGATAGATATACGTTCGTTAGTCTCGCCCTTTAGTAAAACAGACTTGTAAGTTAAGTTAACGAATTTGTAATGTAATATAAAAGTTTTGGAATCGTGTGAAAGTATTTTTTTTAAAACATGATATCTCTATATTTAGTCTTCATATCAACAGCCAATAAGTGTCCACTGCTGAGCAAAGGCCTCTTCTCACACGGAGAAGGTTTGAGCATTAATCACAACGCTCGCTAAAGGCGGATTGGCGATTTCAAACTTATAATTTGAATAAGTCCAGGTTTCCTTACGATGTTTTCCTTCACTGTATGTCAGTGGTGTCTAAATAATCATAGAAACTACATGTTACTCGGAAAAAGAGATTTCGAACCCGTCAAGGAACAATCTACAACGCCCTAAGCCAGACTCTTTCAACAAATTAACTACTATATTGCTCTGAAAAAAAAAAATACGTAAAAATATTTTCATACGATTCTAAAAATCGTTAAAACATGACAATTTTTTTTCGTAGTTTCCAATTGTATATTTATTTATTATATTGAATATTTATAAATGTATATATATGTCAATATATGTACAAACATACAAATATATAATGTAGTTTACTAATGGTTATATATGCTAGATGTTGGTCCTAAACGCTTTGTTAACTTTTTGACCGTCAGTTAAAAATTAACTGCTTTTTTTAACAGAGAGTAGGCATCCTTAACCAGCTTGGATGATACGCTCGTGAGTTGGAGATTGTAGATTCGGGTTTGTGCTATTAGTTAGTTTTAGCAAATTAGGGAAAAGTCATGCAAATATAGATTTTACGTATATTTTCGCTTAAAAAGCTTTAAAAGCGTAAAACGTTAAGTACACACTGGTAGATAAATAAAATTTATATTAACACCCTGTATATACTAAGTGTTGACTCAAACAGCCTGTACATATAACGCTAATCTTACAAACATCACTTTTAATGTTAAACTTGACATTATACATGGTGTTATCATTATAAAGGAGGCTATATTTTTAAAAACAACCTGTATAATGTCAATACGTTTAGTTTTGTCTGACGGTCATCAAGTGCAATTATGAATTTCATTATTTTTGTAAAAGTTGGAGTTTCAAGGCATATTTTGATATTGGCTCGATCCCTATTATATGGGACTATCCCTATTATATAAATTATGTGTTAAATTGTTTATAGGCGTTTTTGTTTACCCATTTGACTGTTAAAAGGCGTTAAGTTTTTTGGTTTGTGAGTCTTTTAACGAGTTGGGTTATGCTTTATAGTGAAATTCAACAATTCGAATTGTTACAATCTATACGGTAGTTTCCAACTAGTCAAATTCAATACTTTTATCCAAATGTCAAAAACGATACTTTTCTATGGAATTTGTATGAAACTTTGAGTTATGACGTCATAGTATTTTTGCGTCAAATAGCTTACTTATTTCTTAATAATTAGCTAAAAAATATCTAAAACTTAGTGTATCGATGGATCGATGAATAAAAGTACCTATAGTTATTTTTCAATATTTTATTGTATTGAAACGTCCAATTTATTTATTTTTGACCTAGGAAACTACCTAATAGTATGTACCGGATTTTGTGTTGAGTTAAATGTTTTCTTGGCGCCAAATGGACTTCAGCTGGGGTTTCGGGTCAAGCGCCTTAATGCGCCAGGTATCCCCCCTCCCCCAACCCTTGGGCACCCTTACAAGTGTACTCTTGTCATTAAAATAACAAAATAACTATTCCATACTTTTGCCTCAGATACCTTCAAAAATCCGGAAATATTACTATTAAAAATAACACACACTACTAAATTATCTAATTTGATACGAAAAGCCTAATACATTCCCGATATACCCGACCCAACAAAATGTTTTGTCAAATATATATTTATGTGAAAATGCTATGTAATTCTTTTAAGAATTTGTGTCTTGTTTCCGTTATTTTAAAGCATGGTTTAGCTTGTAGTTGATATAGCGCTTACGTCTTTTTCACATGTAAGCCCCTTCCTCATAACGAAGGTCAACGAAAATGTTACTCCTCTACTGATGCGGGTGTCCATGGACGGCGCTGATCGCTTATCATCAGGTCGTCTACTTGTTGATTTTATAAGCTAAACCAAGTTTTAAAATTATATTTAATTTTAACCATAATTGTTATACGCGTGTAGTGATATTAATTGAGAACGCGTCCGTATTTATTATTTAATTAATGTTATGTTATGTTTAAAATGGGACCAAATAAATAAATGGTGTATATTATTTATTTTGTTTTTTATTTTTAATGTTTTCCCAATGTTTCTAGGTCATTTAGTTAGAAAAGCTGGCACAAGCACAAGTCTAACTAATAAAACTAAAGATTTTTTTATTTAGACCACTCATACCTGAGCTATCATTACAGGCTACTTACTCCAATAATCCATTATTAGTTATTACCTAACAACATATACATAATGATCTCTTCATTATAAAATCCTATACTCAGCTATAAAATAAAGTTGATAATAGTTGTTGAAAGGGCCTCTGCGAGTTGTCTTCGGCCCCTCGTACGAAAAAAAAGTCCGGGTGGTCCCGTGAATGGAATGGAACATAAAAATCTAAATCTTATCGACATCGACTGCACAGGATAAAAATTGTTAATGTTAAGAGGAATTTTGATCTCAATTATTAAATTATGGGCTGGGCCACCGCCCACGGCCTCGCGGTACAGGGGGCCTCGCGCCTCAATAATTTTTATCTTTCGTCTTCAGGTCGCCACAAAAAAGGGCCTCGCAAAATCTGTCTTGCTCACATCAAAATTAGGTCTTGACCCGCCACTATGTATGCCTTCCTGCAGATCTTACAAATATGCTCCCGAAAGGTCAATTCCGGACTACCCCTAAATCCTGTGACACTTGTACGTATCGGCTCGTCCTCCACCTGGTATTGGTGATATAAAGGAGCCCTAGCACGAGTTAATGACATCACCTAGCATTTAGCTGCATTGGACTAAAGCCTGTTGACGTTACCGAATGACGTAGGATTGAGTTAAAATAAACAATTAGGAAAATAGGAGGACTGCCAGGTGTGGGGTCCCGGGTTCAATTGCTAGGACGTGTAAAGTAGGTATTATTATTGGTGTAAGTAATTGGATCAAATCCGTGTGATATGCATCTGTCTAAAGATCTAGGGAGAAATCTTGAGCAATAAAACAAAGAATGATAATTAAAATATATATTTATTTAGTATAATATATCACATTAAGTACCACTGGATCGCCGCCGACGAGTTTGTACAATAACAGGGAATATCGACATATTTTCAAACAAAAATATACGAAACTATGTTGAAAAATGTGTTCACTGCTTGCAGTTATAGTAACATTTGGATAATGCACCTTCGGTAATTTGAAATAGAGTTTCTTTTAAAGGCAAACTAGTTTAAATTGTATGAAGATAAATTTTTGAAACCTATCTATCTCTAGTTTGCTTACATGGCGTATAATTTTGATATAATCCAACTCAAAAAGTGCCAAAAATTAAGACTATATTTGAGGTACAAGGAACAAATGAGCAGACGGATTACCTCATGGTAAGCTGTTAGTAGCTATGGACAGCCACAACACCAGGGACCTTGCCAATATTAATATTACTTTCTTAAACGTTTTTAAAGAGAATTAACTTGAAACAAGGGATGTGGGTGTAAGCGGAATAATGCACTGAGACCTCGGCCTAGAGCAGGAGAAGGAACTGGGGGGGTTTTAGTCAGTAAGAGTCTGATTCTTTTACCCTACACAGGGCAGGAGAAGTCATTTGATGATTTTACAACCGTTAAAAATATAAGGATAATTCCTATAATACACACATTCCAACACAATCTCATATATTTTTATGACACAAATTATAAATTACAAGATTATAATTACATATTACGCTAATAATAATAATATTTCACATTGAACATTACTATAATGGAAAAATTAACAAAACTATTATAATTACATTTTTCACAATAATTGACTACCTAAGTACAATTTTTATTTTCGTTTCTACGCTATATATCAATAAGCTATAATTAAACCTGTAGATTTGATTACCAAGAAGATATATAGGTACAATATCAAGAATATTTATGGAGTTTATGATCAAAGGAGATTAATGTACATATGGTCACTTAAGAAAATCAATATTTTTTTTTATGTGATAAGTCGGCAAATGCGCTTACGGATTACCTGATGGTAAGCAATCAGCGCCGCTTATGGACAACCGCAAATACAGAGGAGTTACGAGTGCATTGCCGACTTTTTGGATATTAGGGATTGGGGAAGAGGAAGGATTGGGCCTCAGGTGACCTCATCACACTGTGACACACAAAAGGTGACCCCCAGAGGTTAAGTCATCTGATTCTCAAGCGTGAGGATGCAAAACCGGTACAGTACCAATGTGACTTTATCCGAGTTATATGTACTTTCTACGATTATTTAGATACCACTGACATACGGTGAAGGAAAACATCGTGAGGAAACCTGGACTTATAATTTCTAATTATAAGTTTGATATCACCAATCCGCCTTGAGCAAGTGTGGTAATTAATGCTCAAACCTTCACCGTGTGAGAAGAGGCCTTTGCTCAGCAGTGGTGACTTATAGGCTGATGATGCAACTGAGGAACTGAATATTTTTAATTTTCGCATCCTGTCATTATCCTCTTGGTAAGCAAATCTACAGTTTTCATTCTTGGAAATGACCGTATATCATGCATTTTATTAAATGGCAAAGAATCTTCCACATTATATCAATGGAACATATTTTAAAAAGGTTTTTATAACTTCGAAGTATGACATCGTGTGATGACGAAAGAGATAAAATATCGCACCACCACCCCTACTCTTCACGTGGGTATAAGATACCCGGCTAAGGGGACTACATGATTAGGCAGACCGGACAGCATCGCTCTCTGATAAACCTGAACCTTTAAAACTGCGATCTCCAACCTGCTTGCTAGCGTGGAGATATAGACACCCCCTTATGAGGAGAAGGCCTATTACCCTAGTAGTGGACTACCACGGATAGTTGATTATAATCATTGTAAAATTGACCTTTCAAAATATATTTCCTTTATAAACAATACTTTGTCTTTGATTTGTCAATAGTCAGATAAATGTTATCTGAGGAATAAAATTGTTGCTGTCACTGTCTTATACAAACATTGTGACGCGACAGCATCATAATTATTCCCCGGGTAACTTTTATCTAACCATTGAAAAATCAGCCCTATGTAAAATAGTTTGACATTACCGGCCGTATTACTAAATAAGACTAATCTGTAGTCTCACTTTAAACCATTGAGTCAGGTTTTGTATTTTGAACCTTATTCTCACCTACCTTAAATTTGAAATACAAAAACAGGCTCAAAGGTTTAGACCTAGACTGAAAAAATAACCTTTTTAATAAGGTCGTACAAGACTTTTCAAATAATCGTTGTAACAATGAGAAACGCGACTCTATAAACAAGAGAATAGAGCTCACAATTCTTAATGTTCCACCACAAGCTAGTGTTGTTCTTACAAGTAGTTTTTATCGACATTTCCAGTATCGACACTCTATAGTGTTGTGCTAACATTATCGACATTATTTTGTTCTAGTTTTTTTAACCTATGCACGGGCGGAATGTGGAATAGGGACCCTGGGCTGCAATCTGCAATAATTTAGGGGCCCGCTAACTACTGACTTAGCCCAAAAAAAAAGACCTTCGGTAGATTTCACCTTGATCCTATGGCAATACAAAGGACGTATTTTTATTTTTTACTAGATCGTGTAATAATTAATTAAAAATATACAGTAATAAAAGGAAGTGTCGCTTCTCATGCATGAGGTTGCGGGTTCAAAACCTGGCAAGTACCAATGTGACTTTTTCCGAGTTATATGTACTTTCTATGATCATATAGACCCCACTTACATACGGTGAAGGTAAACATCGTGAGGAAACCTGGACTTATTCGAAATATAAGTGAAATCGCCATTCCGCCTTGAGCAAGCGTGGTGATTAATGCTCAAAACTTCTCCGTGTGAGAAGAGGCCTTTGCTTAGCAGTGAGCACTTATAGCCTGATGATGATGATGATGACGAAAAATATAAAGTATAGAACGGAGTCTACCAATTTCGGTAATTCTCGAATATTTGCATATACAATGAAATTTTGCATTTATGACAAAGTTATATTGGTATGATTCAAATGGTTTAATAAACGTTATGGAATGGTAGTTTAGGTTTGGTAAGACCTGCGACCCGCACACAAATCGAATTCCAATCAGGAACCACAACCAGAATGGAACGAACAAATAGCTTTACTAGAGGACTGACCAGACAGACTAATACTTTTTATTATAAAAAATGTATTATTTTGTTTGACGGTCAAATGTGCGTAAATTGGCTTAATTGAAATTGACTTAGTGTGTGATTGGGATATATTTTACTAATACATCGTTAATTCACAGTTAATAATTAATAAATTAATATTGGATTAATAAATCCAATTGGCTACGAAATGGCTTCCAAATTGACAATATTAATTGACAAATATAAATACAGATTTGGTGAGCTTGTAAAACATATTTCTTTTTCTTTCGTTCTTCTCTACTCGAAACTACCTAGCTTCACTGACGAACAGACTGACAGACTACTATTCTATTTTGACGTTTCAAAAGTACCTATTTATAATGGTTTAGTTGGAATAAATTATTTTAACATTGACCGACACAATTGAAATATCTCCTTTGAATAGAACAGTTCCAATATTACTATAGTATTATCCCAAATGTCTTGATGAGCTAAAAGTCAGGCCTTTCAAGTATTTAAAATCTGACTAGTATCCGCCTTGAGCAAGCGTGATGAAAACTCAAACCTCACCGTTTGAGTTCTCACCGTGTGAGAAGAGGCCTTTGCTTAGCAGTGGGCACTTATAGGTTGATGATGATTTTTCCGTTTTGTTTATATACATACATATAATATGCATTATTTTACATAAACCGTTTAATTAAAACAAATATTATTTTTGTGCTTTCTCTTTCTTTCACATCAGGCACGTTAAGAATTCCTCTTCAAGAGATTATGAATTCCCGTATTTTGCATTCCATATCTATACTAATATTATAAAGAGGTAAAATTTGTAAAATTGTACGTAGGGGGTATTTCGCGGGTCGGATTTCTGAAATTCTTTCACTGATAAATAGCTACAATGTTCCTGAGTGCTATAGGCTATAAAACATCACGCTACGATCAAATGGAGCCGAGTAGCGGTTGAAACCGTGCGAGAGTACCTAGTTTTGGATAAAGTAAGTACATATTTTAAGTACATTAATACGTTTGTAAGTAGATCGAATAGTCTTCGAACGAATTCTATGCTAAAAGGAATTTCTAGAATTTCTTTATACAATAAAAATCAAACGAGTTTGCGAAACCTTCATTCTGAAAAATGTCATGTCAGATTGTGGGATGGGGGAGGGTGTTGAACCTAATCTCACGATACGACACTCACCAAGGGGATAGGGAGGGACAGAAAAATAAAAATAATACTCATATATGGACAATCCCTCATTAAATAAGTAAAACAAGTCACAGAAATTCCCGCGTTTCCCGTACGATAGAGAGTAGTTAGGATCACCTTTATAACAATTCAATTACATAAAATCAAATGTAAATCTCCATAAATCACATATTCAGGAACAGATAATATGCTACCATCGATATTGTTTTGCCTACTAGAGGGCGCTCATGTAACGTTAAGTCCAAAAAAATCTTAGTGTCAAAACATATAGGAAATAAATTTTTGACAGCAACAATAATAAGTCAAAAAGACCTAACGCTACGCCAACGCCATCTAGCGTGCACAAACACTTTGTATTTAGGACTGATTTTTCAGTGGTTAGATAAAAGTTAGCTGGTGAATAATTATGATGCTGTCGCGTCAGAATGTTTGTATAAGACAGTGACAGCAACAATTTTATTCCTCAGATAACATTTAAAATCTGGCTATTGAAATATCAGCCCTTAGTGTATTAAATATGAATTCTTGCAATACACATGTTAAGGAGGAATTCTGTAATTCTTAATAGAATATATTAAATGCGTTTAACAACAAATTCCAACCTTTTTTTGAATACAAACTATCGTGAGACATACTAAATATATTGATAATAACGACTTACAATTGTAAATTTACTGAGAAGAGCTCGACTATTTTCAAGTCACAACGGGACTCTTATTGATGACTTGAAACTAGTCGAGCTTTACTCAGTTATTTTTTTTCTTTTTTAAAAAAACATTGCCCCACACTAAGATTTCTTCCTGTGTCGTGGGTGCGGTTAGAAACATACAATTTCACATACACATTACACCCAGACTCGGAACAACAATTTGTGGATCACACAAGGAGTTGTTCCGTGCGGGAATCGAACACGCGATACGTTGCACGACAGCCAGTTGTCCAGCCACAGCGCCAACCGTGCAGTCAAAAAAATTCACGCGAATAATTTGTTATTTCCAATAAATTCCAACCTTACATATATATTAAAAGCGTAAGTAAGTATGTCTGTCACATCTTAACGCTTTCTCTTCTCAAGCAATCTTCTTGTAATTTTACATACATACAGTTGGGAGTACTGAGATAAGAATGAAGACTAATTGACACAGGCAAAGCCGGGGCTAAAGCTACTAGTCTTTTATAAACTTTACATGAAAATTCCCATATATATAAAAGCGGGAATTTTTCGGGAATGTTTGACACGAAAATTCCCGTACATATAGTAGGTGTATGTATATCTAGATGGCTATATCTACATTACGCTACCGTCGCATTAAGGCACTGGGCAGGAATGTATCGAGACAGTACAGTTTCTGTGTAAACTCAAGAATTCTTCTTCGATTCCAACATTTTGTTGTAGCTCTGTAAAGAAAAAAAAAATATTAAATCGGCGCGTTGATAATGTAGTCGGCAATCGAGCAGACGGATTTACCTGATGGTAAGCAATCAGCGCCGCTCATGGACACTTGTTATATCAAAGTGACTACAAGTGCGTTACCGACCTCTTGTGGGTTATTGGGGATTTAAGGATAGGGGATTTGAAGATTGGAGGGCAGGAAAAGATTGGGCATCCGGTAACCTCACTCACACGGAAACGCAACGCAGTGGTTGTTTCGCGAGGCCTTGGTATCACTCCACTAAAAATAATTCTAATTGTGCTTTTATTTGATCGTTTTCGCTGTTACGATTTCCACTATGGTTTGTGAGCTAAGGCCGCCATTACGCTACTATCGACGCTCTTAAAATACAAATATAGATACGATAAATAAGTAAATATTTTGTTTACCTCTTCAGCCATTTTGTAAAGCAATGCGGCAGTCTCCTGCCCAGTCTGTTCCACCAGCGCCTTGAAGATACCGCCGCCCTCGCTCTCTGATACCTCCGATCTACAATATCACATACAAAATATATAGTATTATTTGTATTACAACTTTCGTAAGACTGAGTTGATTGCTCATGATTATGGACCCGTAGTGTAGCTTGAAACTAGTCGAGTAACTTCGAACAATTTCGTGGGTAGTGTCTTCACTCACCGTCCCGAATAAGTCCGTATCCTGTCTCTAGCTAAGACGACAGTTTCGTTCTGGTCACTCTGTGCTGTGCTCGGCTCGAACGTGAAATTCTCGGGAATGGCCAGCGGCGCCTGCAGGTGGGAATGGAGAGAATTGTTATAATTAATTATTGTAAAGTGAGAATTTATACATGTAATATATACAACTAAAGGATTTGTTTGTTTGAATTTTTGATTTCAAGATGTATTTAAGTATACTAAAGATATTTTCTAATAAAATATTTTTCAGAAATAAGTATGTTTTTTTACGTAGAACTTGGTAGTTTCCAACTAGTCAAATTCAATACTTTTATCCAAATGTCAAAAACGATACTATTTTATGAAAATGCTATAGAAAAACTGAGTTATGACGTCATAGAATTTTTGTGTCAAATAGCTTATAATATAAATATAATCTAAGCTTATAATAATAGCTTTCTTATTTCTTAAAAAATATCTAAAATTTTGTGTATCAATCGATCGATGAATGAATGTATAGTTATTTTTCAATAATTTATTGTATTTAAACGTCAAATTAATTTATTTTTGACCTAGGAAACTACCCAATTATTCTGACGTCATTTATTGCGATCTCATCTTAAATCTAAAGAAAAATATCCGGTTTTGAGATTTCAATAAAAGTATTGAATTTTGCTAGTTGGAAACTACTGGATAACTGGTTCATGTTAAGGAATTATTTTTGTGTTGCATATACTTATCCAAGATGGCTATGAAACATCAGCTACGATCAAAAGGAGCCGAACAGCGTAAGTAACGCGCGGGACTAGATAGTCTTTTATTTTACTATAGTTCATATTAAAATTGAAATTAAATTCAAAGTAAAAAAGGATTATCATGTTAAGGGCTGATATTTCAATATTCAGATAAATTTTATCTGAGGAATAAAATTGTTGCTGTCACTGTCTTATACAAACATTCTGACGCGACAGCATCATAGTTATTGCCCAGGTAACTTTTATCTAACCATTGAAAAATCAGTCCTAAATGTAAAAAAAAATCTTGAAAATATCAGACACTGTTTTTTAAGGAATTTTAGTTTTATTATACCGGAACCGGAATCCAAAGTTTTGAGTCAAACTAAAGATCCATATCATAAAATATATAAAATATTATATTACTAACCTGACTCTTGGACAGGATCCTATTTCTGGGCACCGCATCATCCTTCCGCTGCCCGCCTGACTGAGTCAGCAGCTCGAATGGATGACCTGACTCCACCACGCGACCCCTGGAACATACACAGAGTTGGGACCAAAGGGGGGGAGGAGGGGGGGTTCATTGAACGACCGTTTCACCATCTCCATATAAGTCCCCGATAAACTTATGTAGCACATAGTGCTAACAATATTCTGTGTTCAAATTTATCAGGAACAGGTAAGTATCCCGATATTCTGAAGCAGTCTGGAGTCCACTACTGAATATTGAGCTTCCTCTACGAAGGAGAACGGGTTGGAGATAACAGTCGCCTCCCCCTTTCTAAAATCTCCAGATTAGACATTTGAAGATTTTGAGATTGGGCCTCCGTGGTTGTTTCACGCCGGTTTTCTGTAAGGTCGTGGTATAACACCGGTCGATCCAACCCATTCGTGCCGAAGAATGACTCTCCCACACTTCACTTATATCAATAAGTTTGAAATCCGCTTAGAGCGAGCGTGGTGATGATTGATCAAACCTTCTCCGTACGAGAAGGGGCCTTTGCTCAGCAATAAGCACTTATAGGGTGACGATGTGAGGAAGTAGTAAAGTGGCATACTGACTTGTCCATGACGATGACTCGGTCGTAGTCCATGACTGTGTTGAGTCGATGCGCGATGGTCAGCACTGTGGAGTTCGCGAACTTGGTCCTTATTGTTCGCTGGATGTGCTTGTCCGTGCTGGGGATGAGGGGGTTAGTTCATTAATCGTTACTCTGTCATTGATTTACGTCACAATATACATAAGGCCGTTATCCCATCGGCGTTTTACGAGCGTCGGCGTCTCTCAAACGTCTGCGCAGCGTCAACGTTGCGCGGCCGCGACGTTTACGTCGCGTTTTTTGGCCAAATATCAAATGTTGACTTGCAAATATGGATAAAATTCTAATTAACTATTTTTATAATCATTAGAATACGGTGCGAAATATTCACTTTCTTGTGATCGATTGGACAATAAAGGGATTTCCCAAAACTGACGATGAGATTAACTTTTTCTTCTAAGTAATTTTCGTGGAAATAATATATAAAGTCAACAGTAATGTTTCCTCGTCGGAATCCATCAAGTTTCTGTTTGTACAGGTTAACGTTGCGTACAGCAAACGTTAATGTTTACCACGCGACGACGCGACGTCAACGTCACGTCTACGCGGCGTCGACGGTGCGCAAACGCGAGGATGACTTCAAAGCTAGTAAAACGCCAGAGGAATAGCGGCCTAAACATTATTTTCCTACCAAATTTTCAAAAAATATGTATGGTAGGTATTTGATTAAAACAAAACCAATCGAATTCGAAATTCGATAATCGATTTTGAATTTGACCAGCTATAAAGCGGATCCAATTATAAATTATAAAGGGGTGGACAGACCCACCCCCCCCCCCGTCTTCGGGGATCAAATTAATGTCCATGAAATAGTAGACTCACTCAGTATCGACGTTGGCAGTGGCCTCATCCAGTACGAGCACCTTGCAGCCGGCCAGCGCCGCGCGAGCGAGACAGATGAGCTGTCTCTGTCCCGCGGACAGGTTGCCCCCCCCGTCCCCCACTTTGGTGTTCAGCCCCGCCGGCATCTTGCTTACCATTTCGCGCAGCTCCACCTGGTACATTAATAAGCGTGAGTAAAGAAAATGTGCTTCAAAATATTGTAAAAATTGCGCCAAAAGTGTCGAGATCTCCAAATTTACTGCATGGTTAGCGCGGTGGCTGGGCTACTGGCTGCCGTGCAAAATATCGCATCTCCAATTCCTGCACGGAACAACTCTTTGTGTGATTCACAAATTGATGTTGAGGGACGCACCCACGACACAGGAGAAAATCCAAGTATGTGTCTATAAAAAAATTGCTATGTAAAATGCAAGACTGTTAGTAGGTATTGAGCAAACGCAATCAAGTTTTGCAGATGACTAGCACAATCCTTTTATGAGTTATCGTGAACTTCTAGAACAATATTAAGCGCAATTGCGCAATAAAATGTATTTTACGCAAAAAATTGCGCATAATAAACAAAACGTTGCCCTACTCTATGTATTTCTCCTGTGTCGTGAATGCGTTTACAAACATACAATATCACATACACATCACACCTAGGCCCGGAACCACAATTTGTGGATCACAAAAAGAATTTTTCCCCGCGACACGTTGCACTACAACCGGTTTCCCAGCCACTAAACCAATCGTGCAGTAATTTGTTTAAATCAATTTATATTAGATTATAATAATATTACATGTAGAATACTAGAAGTCGCCCCCGCGGCTCCCCCGGCCTGTCGATTCTATACTTTTTCAAGTGTTTTTTTAATTCAAGACCAAAATAAGCCAAATCGGTGAAGGCATTGTTGAGTTATAGTGTCGAAGAACCGAAGACTGACGATGTTCTAGAGCGGAGACCACGTCTAGGCAAATGTAATTTAGGACGCCCTCCAGCTAGATGGACTGACGATCTGACGATATACGAGGCTGGTTGGATGAGAAGAGCTGAACATCGAGCTCAGTGGCGTGCTATTGGGGAGGCCTATGTCCAGCAGTGGACGACATCAGACTAATGATTGGCATTGATTCAGAAATAGAATGAGAGAGCTGTGTGCACCTGGTCCAAGGCCTTGTAGATGTCGGCGTCGGAGTAGAGCCCCTCCGGGTCGAGGTTGTCCCGCAGCGCGGCGGCGAACAGCGCGGGCCGCTGCGGCAGCGCGCACAGCCGGCCGCGCCACGCGCGCAGCCCCGCGCTCGCCGCCGACACCCCGTCCACGCGGACACCACCCGTCACGCGGGCCAGTCTGCGGACAAGGCGACTCTATGTCATACATCGGCAAGCGACCAGACGGATTACCTCATGGTCAGCAATCAGCGCCGCCCATGGACACCGCAAATAGTCCAGGTTACCGGGGGCCCAATCCTTCCCCTTCCCCAATCCCTCCCCAGTCCCTAATTCTCCAAGTCCCTAATTCATTAAAGGGCGGCAACGCACTCGTAACTTCCCCTTTACGGGTGTCCGATCGTTTGCCAACCTATTACATAAAAAAAAAAGGCGGTTTTATTGTGCCCTGATTTTTCAATGGTTGGATAAAAGTTACCTGGGGCATAATTTTATTATAATGCTGTCGCGTCAGAATGTTAGTATAAGGCAGTGGCAGCAACAATTTTATTCCTCAGAAATCAATTATATGAGTATTGAAAAATCAGCCCTAAATGGAGTAAGACTATTGATATGAATTCAACTTCTATTAGCAACCTAGATGTTCCTGCAATGTTATGGACCTGGACTATACATATTTTGTGGGACCATTTTAAGGACCTGGATTATTTGTTGTGGGACTATGTTAAGGACCTGGATTATTTGTTGTTGGGGTAAGTTAAATACCTGGATTATTTTTTGTGGGACTATGTTAAGAACCTGCATTATTTGCTGTGGGTCTATGTTAAGGACCTGGATATAGCACTCACTTTTAGTATGTCCTATTTTTTTACAATAATAACCCTTTTTAACCGGTCTTTTGTCCTGTTCCGAACCCGAACTCTTGTTTTGATTACACTCACTTTGATAGTGTCCCAGCTTATTACACTTATAACACTTAATGTTTTTCTTAGCTACAAACGCTGATGCTGACGAATTTTGAGGCTCCTTGTCATTAATACGTTCTTCTTCGATCAGTAATCTCGCGACAAGATTTTCTAGCGTTTGTTTATCGTCGGGCGCCGACTCCCACGCCGATACAAAATGTTTATAGGCATCTGGAAGAGACATTAGCACTTTTGTTATTACGAATTTTTCTGAAATGTCTTCTCCCATCTGTTTAAGCTGGTTTCTTAATTCTTCTATTTTAGATAAGAACGTAGACATCGCCGTGCCCTCCTCGTACTTGTATTGGAAGAAACGTTGTTGTACGATATGTATGCTTGTTTCAGATTTTTGCTCGTACACACTCGCCAGTTTTCGCCACATTTCGGCTGACGTAGTACATGTTATGATATGCATCATCACGCTTTCTGACATTCTTGTTACGAGCCATGATTGAGCCTTCGCGTCTTTCTTTTCCCATGCGGCCTTTTCAACCGGCTCCTCTGGTTTCACACTGCTTCCGTCTGTCACTTCTAGTAAGCCTTGACTCCGTAACAAAACGATGGTTTGGAATTTCCAAATATTCCAGTTGGATTTTAACGAATTGTCCTCCGTCATCTTCCTGTCTGTTCGTCCCGACCTTGCTTCAATAACTCGCAAGTATTTTTTCTTGCCGCCGCCGGCCGGTTTCTAACCTCAACCACACGCGGACAATTTTCACTTTTGTTTTTTTGACAAAAATAGTTTCGATTGTTTTACTTTTTCTCTGGATTATGTGCCTGGGCCCATAACCTGTAGTTATGTAAGTAAAACAATCTTTAAACAACAAGAAGACTTTTATTTAGACAATAGACGCTCTTACAAAGGCAGACCATATACGCCATGACAGTAGAAGGAAGAACTCGGAAGAAGTGTTACCAACGCAATAAAAAAATAGAAAAATATTACATTGCTACCAACACTGGATTATTTGTAGTTGGGCTATGTTAAAGACCTGGATTATTTGTTGCTGGGCTATGTTAAGGACCTGGATTATTTGTTGTGGGACTATGTTAAGGACCTGGATTATTTGTTGTGGGACTATGTTGGACCTGGATTATTTGTTGTTGGGCTATGTTAAGGACCTGGATTATTTGTTGTGGGACTATGTTAAGGACCTGGATTATTTGTTGTTGGGCTATGTTAAGGACCTGGATTATTTGTTGTGGGACTATGTTAAATACCTGGATTATTTGTTGTGGGACTATGTTAAATACCTGGATTATTTGTTGTGGGACTATGTTAAGGACCTGGATTATTTGTAGTTGGGCTATGTTAAAGACCTGGATTATTTGTTGCTGGGCTATGTTAAGGACCTGGATTATTTGTTGTGGGACTATGTTAAGGACCTGGATTATTTGTTGTAGGACTATGTTGGACCTGGATTATTTGTTGTTGGGCTATGTTAAGGACCTGGATTATTTGTTGTGGGACTTTGTTAAGGACCTGGATTATTTGTTGTTGGGCTATGTTAAGGACCTGGATTATTTGTTGTGGGACTATGTTAAATACCTGGATTATTTGTTGTGGGACTATGTTAAATACCTGGATTATTTGTTGTGGGACTATGTTAAGGACCTGGATTATTTGTTGTTGGGCTATGTTAAGGACCTGGATTATTTGTTGTTGGGCTATGTTAAGGACCTGGATTATTTGTTGTGGGACTATGTTAAGGACCTGGATTATTTTTTGTTGGGCTATGTTAAGGACCTGGATTATTTGTTGTGGGGCTATGTTAAGGACCTGGATTATTTGTTGTGGGACTATGTTATGGACATGGATTATTTGTTGTTGGACTATGTAAAGGACCTGGATTATTTTTTGTGGGACTATATTAAGGACCTAAATTATTTATTGTAGGACTATGTCAAGGACCTATACTACTTGTTGTGTGACTATGTTAAGGACCCGGATTATTTGTTGTGGGACTATGTTAAGGACCCGGATTATTTGTTGTGGGACTATGTTAAGGACCCGGATTATTTGTTGTGGGGCTATGTTAAGGACCTGGATTATTTATTGTAGGACTATGTTAAGGACGTGGATTATCTGTTGTGTGACTATGTTAAGGAACTGGATTATTTGTTGTGGGACTATGTTAAGGACCTGGATTATTTGTTGTGTGACTATGTTAAGGACCTGGATTATTTGTTGTGGTACTATGTTAAAGACCTGGATTATTTTTGCGGGCTAAGGTTATCTATACTAATATTATAAAAAGGTAAAATTTATAAGTTTGTATGTTTGTAAGTTTGTATGTAGGGAAGAATCTTTGGAACCGCTGATCGGCTTGCCAAAATTCTTTCACTGATATGAATGCTGTAGGCTATAAAACATCACGATACGATTAAAAGGAGCCGAGCAGCGGTTGAAACCACGGGAGAGTCGCTAGTGCTAAATAATAGAATGTACAATTATAATAATTCTCACCTAAACAGCGCACTTAAAAGCGAGCTCTTCCCTGCCCCAGTCCTGCCCACGACGGCGACTTTCTCAGCCGGGTTGACGGTGAAGTTGACGCCTTTGATAGCGTACGCAGGCTCTCCGCCGGCGCCCGGGGGCTTCTCATACTCTAGGGATACGTCCTCAAATACTATTTCACCTGAAAAATATTCAAATCTTGGTAATCAAAGGTAGGATATACAATGAATGGTAGACTAATCTTACTTCATACTTATATTATAATTATGCGAAGGTTACGATGTATGGATGTTTGTTACTCAATCACGCCAAAATGGCTGGACGGATCTGAATAAAATTTGGCACAGGTATAGGATACACTCCGGAATAAGACATTGGGTACATTTTATCAACGTATTACGCGGGCGAAGCCGCAAGTGGAAGCTAGTAATAGAACAAACGACCTCACAGAAAACCTGATGGTAAGCAATCGGCGCCGCCCACTAGCAACGGAGGAGTTACGTACGAATGCGTTACCGGTCTTTTGGGGAGTAGGATTTCGGAGTTTTTAAGAATTGAGAATGAATGGGGAAGGGAAAGGTTTGGGCCTCCAGAATACCATGGCCTTAAAGAATACCGTCATGAAACAACTACAGCGTTGTGTTTCGCCTTGTGAGTGAGGTGACTGGGAGCCCAATCCCTCTTCCCATCCCCTAATACCTAAATCTCGAATTCCATAGTCTCCAAAAGGCCAGGAACGCACTCTCGTTTTACAAATGTCTATGGACGGCGCTGATTGCTTACCATCAGGAGATCCGTCTGCTCGTTTGCCGACCTATTACAAAGAATTAAAGTTCCTAAATTTTTAGACGTATGAGCACCAAGTTTTATTAATAAAATCTGTTTTGTAAGTTTCATTATTAAAGACTTTATGGAAAGACTTGCATATACGTGATGAAAAAAAAGGATAAATACGGTCGAAATGAAAAACTTTCCCTTTTGGAAGTCGGTTTAAAATATTATTTAGGGTTGATTTTTCAATAGTCAAGTAAATGTTACCTGAGCATCGATCACTAATAAAGAACTAGATACACAACCCCATACAAAAGTTCGCTTCAAAACTGTCGCCAACTGTATTTAGGTACTTATACTTGAAATAAAAATGCATTAATGTAAATTAAACCTTAAATGCAACTCATAGAGTTGTTTTTACAAAGTGATGTACAAAATCTTAATACTTTTTGCGACCGAAGCTCTTGACAAACACAAATCATAAGAAATTGAACCATATTCGCATGTTTTTAAGTCGAATTTACAAAGTGTCAAAAATAAGCAATAAAATTTAACGACTTCGGCTCACCGCTAGGACAAAGAATGATTGGAGTCGAAATGTCTCGTAAGAAATATATTTCTTTCGTATTTTATAATTGATCAAAAAAAGAAAATACGCAAATTAGAACGCATTACTTATAGTATTCTTTTCTATAGGTTTGTTCATTTATTTACCAATGAAACTAATGCATATAGTTATAATTCTTTTTTTTTATTTTCCTCCTCCTTAATCCTTTCTATTCGAAGTCAAATAAAAAAGATGTAAAATAATAAAAAGAATATATATCTAAAGTAAGTACTGAAAATGTTGGCGTTATTGTTGTCAATTTTTCATATCGAACGGGTCTTGATGAAAGCTAAAAAAAAATTTCTTTACTGCAGTTAAAATTAAATCCATTACATCTGCCTATTCCACATTTTAATAAACACAGTAAAGAAGTATAATATTAAATAAAAACTATTTTTTAATAAAAAAAAAACAATAAATAAAATTAGAAACAATAGCGTCTCCACTAAACGGAACAGAATCAATCCACGTAAACCGAACAACTTAAGTGGTCATGCTAGAGAATGATTTTAAGTTTAATATAAGTGTCTTTATAAACTGTATGCATTATAACCCCGGTTTTTGAATACGATTTCATTTGGAAAAAGTTTTAAAGTTGATTTCTTAATAAAATATCAATATTTAAAATAGAATGATGACAATTATATAATGATAATATTATTACTTAACGAAAATATGAAATTCCATCCTTTTTTGCATCTTAGATGTGTGTTTTTTGCAGTTTTTTAACGAGCACTGAGGCGTGTTTACCGTCGGAGCATTCGAGTGGTACTAAACTAAAACTACACCGCGATGTTGAGTTTGGTGGACTTTCAGTTGGGACATTTTTTTGCCACTGATTGTGTATCTAGTTCTTTATTAGTGATCGATGTACCTGAGGAATAAAATTGTTGCTGTCACTGTCTTATACAAACATTCCGACGCGACAGCATCATAATTATACCCCAGGTAACTTTTATCTAACCATTGAAAAATCTGCCTTTAGGGCCGTACCTTTTGTCGGCCACTTGTCAAAGTCGAGCGCGGGTTGTTCCCTCTTCAGCGCTTCTTTGTCGACATCGACAGGCATTTCAGGCGGCAGATTTGTATATTCCAATATTCTTTCAACCTGAAAACAAAAATTAAATTGAAAAAAGAAATATACGTATCCGTATTTTCTATACTAATATTATAAAGAGATAAAATTAGTAAGTTTGTATGTTTGTATAAGCGTTGCAACCGCTGATCGGATTGCCAAAATTCTTTCACTGATAGATAGCAACAATGCTCCTGAGTGCTATAGGCTATAAAACATCACGCTACGATTATATAGATCTGAGCAGCGAGTGAAACCGCGCGAGAGTAGCTAGTTTTTCATATTTATAAAACTTTGCTCGACGATGGATTTTTTTTCTTGTCGTGGGTACGTTTACAAACTTACACACGAGACCCAGACTCGAAACAACAATTTGTGGATCACACAAAAAGTGTTCCGTGCGGGAATCGAACCCCTGACAAGTTGCACAACAGCCAGCTGTGGGGCCACTTCGTTCTTAAATTAATGTATGAAAAACTATTTCATAATAAAGGAAAAAGTCAAAAGTCAAAATCATTTATTTAAATTAGACCCTTACATGCACTTTTGAACGTCAAACAAAGCTTATTTAAAGATAAAAACTCTGTCGGTATGTCCTCTGAGGGCAGATTTTTCAATAGTCAGATAAAAGTTAGCTGGGGAATAATTATGATGCTGTCGCGTCAGAATGTTTGTATAAGACAGTGACAGCAACAATTTTATAGGCCAGGTAACTTCTACCTAACCATTTATTTATTTATTTATTCATTAAAAAATCAGCCCTTTGTATAATAATTCACTGCATAAAATATACTTTTACTTACGGAAGTCATTTGGTTTTCTACTTCGGCAGTCTGTCGCATGCCGTACTGGCACATACCAACCAGACCTATTACTTGGGTTATCGCTAGACCCACGTTACCGCCAAGAGTGTCTGGAAATAAATTTCAATATCTATACTAATACTATAAAGCTGCAGAGATTGTTTGTATAGATATACATACATATATAATATTAACTAGATTGAAAACTACGATTTTTTTTGTGAGCGGAAAATCATCAAATGACTTCTCCCGCCCAGGGCCGGGCGGGAGGGAGTGTCAGACTCTTACTGACTAAAAACCCCCATGTTCCTTCTCCTGCTCTGTGCCGAGGTCGCGGTGCCTCATTGCGCTTACCCCGCAACCCCGGCTGGAAAACTTAACGAGGTGTATAAGTGGTGTCTAAATAATCTAAGAGAGTACATATGACTTGGAAGAAGTCACTTTTGTACTTGCCAGGTTTCACAACCTTATGCATGAGAAGCGGGATAAAGATCAAATTACTTTCAAAGAGAAACTGATAAGGAGTCTTCTTTAAATAAGAAACTAAAAAATCAGTAGTGAATGCACATACACATATAATAAGGTAATGATGCAGTGTACTCCATCTATTTGTAACATCTTCTATACCTCTATTATGCAAATGAATGTTTGATTTGATTTGAATGTTTGATCTTAATCACAGGCAAAATTGAAATCCACCAAAAAACACCGGAGTAATACCACGGCCTCACAGAAAACGGCGTGAAATAACTACAGCGTTGTGTCTCGCCGAATGAGTGAGGTAACCGGAGGCCAAATCCTTCCCCTCCCCCAATCCCTAAATCTCCAAATCCATAATCCCAAAAAGGTCGGCAACGCACTCGTAACTCCTCCGTTGCGAGTGTCCATGGGCGGCGCTGATTGCTTACCATCAGGTAATCCGTCTGCGCCTTTGGCGACCTATTACATAAAAAAACCAAAAAATACAAAACTCACCTTCAGAAGCGAAAAGGAAGAAGCTGAAGGTCACAAAGGCGAGATATAAACAGCATATCATGTCCATCCAGAATCCGAAGGCCCTGTTCGTGTTCAGGACCAAGGTCCACGCTGACGAGTGAAGGTCTTGTTGCTTGTCGAATTCCCTCGCCAGGGTGCGCTGGTGTTGCCTGGCTGCACGGATCGTCGTCAGACCTGATACCGTCGCTTGCAAGTGGTTCAAGGATTGACTTCGAGCTGGTGGCAGAAACAAAAAAACAATGTAACAAAAATTAATAGGTACGGTAGTTTCCAACTAGTCAAATTCAATACTTTTTTATCCAAATGTCAAGAACGACACTTTTCTATGAAATTTGTATGAAAAACTGAATGATGACTTACTTAAGCTTACTTATTTCTTAAAAAATTAGCTAAAACATATCTAAAATTCAGTGTATCGATCGATAGATGAATAAAAGTATAATAATTTTTCAATATTTCATTGTATTGAAACGTCAAATTAATTTATTTTTGACCTAGAAAACTACCCAATTGTGGAATTTATTGAAAAAGAGTAACCATGGAGTTTCTTGCTCGTTCTAGTCCTAGAGTCTACTTTTTGGATCGAGCAAATAGCTTCACTAAGAGGACTGACCAACAGACTGAATTATTTTATCGTTAATCTTTATTTGTTTGACTTTCTAAACTGCACATAATGGTGTTGCTGCACTCTTCTGGTATTGCAGATTTCCATGGGAGGCGCCGATTGCTTACCATCAGATAATCAGTCTGAAGAAAAGACATCACTCACCGATAGCCTCTATCCTCTTCAACTCCCGACTGGTATTGAGGAAGAGGTCCCTGAGCAGGAACAGTAGGACGGCCACCACGCCCGTCGGCAGCAGGAGCCACCAGTTCACTAGGCATACCACTATGAGGATAGCTATCACTTCCAAGAAGAACTGGTGAAAGAAAGAGAACGAAGATGTTTTATTTTGGACCAGAACTATGTACAATATACACCTTTTTTTGTGAGGGGAAAATCATCAAATGACGTCTCACACCCAGGGCCGGGCAGGAGGGAGTGTCACTCTTACTGACTAAAACCCCCCCCCCCCGTTCCTTCTCCTGCTCTGGGCCGAGGTCGCGGTGCCTCATTGCGCTTACCCCGCAACCCTGGCTGAACATCAGCCCTGTAGGGCCCCGTCTGTGGTGGTCTATTGGCACTTTGAGGTACAACTTACCCCTAGGCAATCAACGAGAGCGACGGGAAGTAACGTGTCCACCTGCCCCATGTCCTTGGAGAACCGGTTGAGGATACGGCCCGAAGGGTTGTGGTGGAAGAACCACATCGGAGCACTCGTCACTCCCCTGTATGAGGGAAAATACATTAAAAAGCTACATATCGATTTAGAAAGTCAAAGTAAAAGTAAATGTCAAAATCAAAGTCAAAGAGAAAGTCACATTTATTCCAACTAACCTACATGGAGAAAACTTTGCAACTGATTTCCAAAATGGTTTTTTAACCTTGAATGTAACTGTTTTTATATTAAAGTTGATGCACAAAGAGAACCATTTAAGAAAAACTTTTAAAAGTAAAAAACTTTTATTTGATAAGTAAAAAAAATAATGTATACTATTTGACTTTAAAAGGTCGAGTGGTGAGTTTTGACAATTTTACCTTTTGGTTATTAATTGTCTTTCAGCTTTAGACTATTCGATCTTTGCTTATATGACCTTTGACATTTGATTTTGACTATTTGACTTTTAACCATTAGACTAACACCCAGTTTCGTAAAGGCCGATCAATGTTAAAATCAATTTAATCTCTTGTCAAGTCATCTGATTGGTTGACTGAATCATCAACAACCAATCAGATGACTTGACAAGAGATTTGATACCTATACTCGGAATTTTAATTCCATTCCAGATTTGACAATTTCAGTGTTGTCGTTGCGAAATTATTCGATATGGAAATCGAATATTTCTGAATCGATTCCTCTCGTTTATAAATTTACTCTAGTAAACTAAGTTTATCAGGAAATAAAATATTTCTGAACCGATAACTTAGTTTTGACAATTAATTAACGATCTGAGACTTTTCTTTTGTAATTGTTTGTGAAATTAATAAAAAATGTGATCATGAAGGAACGTGACAAATAAAACAGACATTTTATAAATTGTCGCCGTCATCGCTATCGCTATCGCTGTTACTCTATGTAACATTTATTATGAATTGTATCTTTGATATTTATTGTCAATTAACATATCTAGCTTACTCATTTTTTCCTCTTCTTTGAAAACATGGGATACACATTTAGACCATTCGGTAGCCGTAATTTTTTGAATGCCTTCCTGAAACTGATTCACTGATTGTTTATCGATTTTTGTGTTCATCACTACACTGTTATATGTGGTATCATTATTTCACAAAATGACAGTGGTCAATGTCAAATCAGGAATCGAATTAAAAGTCTGACTATAGTTAGTTGATTTTAACATTGATCGGGCTTTCGGAGACCGGGCATTAATATGACTTTTGACTGTTTTTGCTTACGAAAATACCTGAACATGTTATCGTGAAGAGTGACGGATGCCCTGATGCAGGTGTTGTAGAATATGACCAGCTTGTTCCACGTGAACACTATGCAGATTCCTATCAACCCTCCATAGATGTACAGGCACTGCTCCCGGGTCAGGTGGAAGCGGTTCGATGGTATATCTTCAAAGTTCGTTGCTGTGGAGTAAAGAGGGCGGGATGAAGTTGTAAGGACTGAATTTGGTTCATTTTTTTCTTTTTTTTAAGGGATACTCAACCAATAGGTCGTGGTAAAAAATACAGTTGTTTCCAACTAGTCAAATTCAATACTTTTATACAAATGTCAAAAACGATACTTTTCTATGAAAATTGTATGAAACATTGAATTATGACTTCATAGCACTTTTGCGTCAAAGAGCTTACTTATTTTTAAAAAATTAGCTAAAAATACCTAAAACTGAGTGTATCGATCGATCGATGAGTAAAAGTATAGTTATTTTTCAATATTTTATCGTATTAAAACGTCGAATTAATTTATTTTTGACCTAAGAAACTACCCAATTAAAGAGTATTTATACTTTAAATAGAAGTTTCATTTAGAAAGCGCGGCAACCTGAATTTTTTACAAAGACAAATTACCAAAGAAAACAAAAAATGGCACCATCCATAGACAAAAAATATATTCTACTTGCGTTCCTAGTCACTAACAGGTCAACATATCAATTACACGGAACTCATAACTGTAAAAAAGTGATCGTTATATTATATTTAACGTACATCTCTGCTAAACTCCTGAAATAACCATAGCGTTGTGTTTCGCCGTATGATTGAGGATACCGGAGGCCCAATCCCTCCCCCTCCCCCATCCCTTCCCAATCCTTAAATATCAAAAAACCCTTATCCCTAAAAGACCGGTAACGCAATCGAAACTCCTTTGAAGTTGCGGGTGTCCATGGGCGGCGCTGATTGCTTACCATCAGGTAATCCATCTGCTGGTTTACCGATCTATACCATAAAAAAAATAACTTAGTATCACTTACGTGGAGGTACTATGGGAGCCTCTCCGGTACTGTTAGACGTTTGCGTAGCATTCGCTGCACGAGCTACCGAAATAGCGCTGTTTGCTTCTTCTAAGTTCACCCTGGAAAAATGAGTCTTATTACTTTGTGTTAAGAGCGAATACGTGGCGCAGGTTTTTTACTTAGAATTTACTAAAAGGATTTTAATAAAATTAGGTCCTTATTACTACATAGTATAAAACAAAGTCGCTTCGTCTGTCCCTATATCCCTATGTATGCTTAAATCTTTTAAACTACGCAACGGATTTTGATGCGGTTTTTCAATAGATAAGAGTGATTGAAGATGAAGGTTTATATGGATAATAATACCCATTAAATGGTGAAGACATTTTATATTAGCCGGAGTATGAAGCCGGGACGGGTCGCTAGTATGCAATACAGTATATATAGATTATGACTGCACGGTTGGTGCGGTGGCTGGGCAACTGGCTGCCGTGCAACGTGTCGCGGGTTCGATTCCCGCACGAAACAACTCTTTGTGTGTTCCACAAATTGTTGTTCCGGATCTGGGTGTCTTGTGTATGTCAAAATGTATGTTTGTAACAGAACCCACGACACAGGAGAAAAATCCTAATGTGGGACGTTTTTTTTTAAAAAAAAAATGATTTAATATTTTCGAAAAATAGTTTAGAGTGACAGAAAGAAACAATTTCAAGTATCCATCAAATTGATTAAAGATTTCCTCACTTTGAATCTTAACTAAAAAAGTCACGTTAAATGTACTTTCTAAGCTTACTTAGACACCACTGAATACGGTGAAGAAAAACATCGTGAGGAAACCTGGACTTGTAATTTCTAATTATAAGTTCGAAATCCTACATGAGAAGCGGTATCCTTAACCTCGCTACCACGACAAACTTTATTGTTTTGTGGTGTACAATAAAGTTTATTTATTTATTATTTATATATTTTAAGTGTGGGAGAGCCATGCTTCGGCACGAATGGGTCGGCTCGACCGGAGTGATACCACGGCCTCACTGAAAACCGCCGTGAAACAACCACAGCGTTGTGTTTCGCCTTGTGAGTGAGGTTACCGGAGGCCCAATCCTTCCCCTCCCCCAATCCCTTCCTAAATCCCTAAATCTCCAAATCCCTAATCCCTAAAAGGTCGGTAACGCACTCGTAACTCCTCCGTTGCGGGTTTCCATGGGCGGCGCTGATTGCTTACCATCAGGTAATCCGTCTGCTCGTTACATAAAAAAAAATTGACTTACCATTCTTTAAGCCACACGTCGGTTGAGGAGTAAAAGAATTGAGCCAACAAGAACAGTAGGATAAGCAGAGCCATTGATAGCGTGCTGCCCCCACTGCGTATGTAAGCCACATACACGCTGTTATCCACTGAACCCTTCTTTTGACTTTCACCTGCAAGACACATCAATAATAAATTAATATCATTTGAAAAAAGTAAACAAGTATATTTGGTTAAACGTTTTAAGGGTCAATTGGGTAGTTTTCCTAGGTCAAAAATAAATTAATTCGACGTTTCAATACAATAAAATATTGAAAAATAACTATGTTTTTATTCATCGATCGACCGATACACTAAATTTTAGATATACATTAACTATTTTTTAATGAATAAGTAAGCTATTTGACGCTCAATTCTATGACGTCATAACTCAGTTTTTCATACAAATTTCATAGAAAAGTATCGTTTTTGACGTTTGGATAAAAGTATTGAATTTGACTAGTTGGAAACTACGGTATTGCTCTACACTGTATCTTTTTTGTAAATGATTATTTTTTCTATGATCGATTTAGGTTTGTGTTGCGAAATAAATAGTTTAAATAATAGTCTGTCAGTATATTCATGAATTAGGCTAAAGGTGTTCGTAAGTGTAGATTCGAATGGATAAATAGAAAAAATGAGAAAGAAAAATATATAATTATGTTATAATATCTCACCAAAAAATAATGCATCTACATTATTTTTTACACATTATTTAATAAAAGGTAGACGATTTTTAGAAAATAATATTTAAATATTATTTTCTGGTTACAAAATTGTAACTTTATTCCTCCACATATTTTACTATTTTATTAGATTAAGTATCCTAATAAAGATTTTGTACGCCTGATATACTCGTAGCAAAACATATTGAAACTGTAATTAATATTGTACCAACTATATGTATATCTAAGTATATATATAAAAATCAATGCCACTTTTCGTTGTAATGTTATAACTCAACAATGCCTTTACCAATTTGGCTAATTTTGGTCTTGAATTATTTGTGGAAGTCCAAAGAAGGTTTGTTCGATGACCAAATTAAAAAAAATCTTGAAATAGTGTCAAATCGACATCCAGGCGGGCGGAGCCGCGAGCGACCGCTAGTATAACATAAATTTATAACAAATGAAATTGTCTTTATATTTAATGGAATAAAAGTTTTTTCAAATTAAAATATTTCCATACTCATGTCAATACCCAATTTCACAATGCAACCAAAAAGCAACTTTAATCAAAAACAGATTGAGTTTAAAATTGCTTTTCGGTAAGCATTGGATAGATAGTATAAAGCATTTTCCTTACATAATATGTGTAAGTAGGTAAACTTACCTTCGTATTTCGGATCTAGATTATTGTCTAGATCTAGATTGAAAGACAACTGGGACGCTTCAGACATGGACCGTTGAGATCGGAGCTTGTAACTATGTTCCTAAACAGAAATAATTATAAATTAGAACTCAAATAAATTAATAATACTAATGTATCAATATTGGTCAGAGACAGGGGCCATAGTATTTCCATAGTTATCATATCGACCAGTCCATAGCAACCCATACCCATAACCCATACCCATAAATTTTTACCACATTTCGCAATGGTCCTGCATCAACCGGGGATTGTCCTTGGGTGCACTTTCATAGTGCATACAGGGATGATTGCCGGCTGATGTCCCATCACATTTAGATTAAAATTGTTCAACGGGCCTCTGCGAGTTGGCTTCGGCTCCTCGTATGCCTTCCAAAGGTCCGGGACCCTGTGGTCCCGTGAAAGGAAAGAACAAACAATAATACTACTATACTCATCTACACTATCTATATCTATACTAATATTATATAATTATATAATATTATAAGTGCGAAAGTAACTCTATCTGTCTTTTCTTCACGCCTAAACTAATGAACCGATTTCTGTGAATTTTGGTACAGTTATAGTTTGGAACTCGAGAAAGGACATAGTATTTTACATTAGGAGTTTTTATATCAAAAATCTGCAGGAAGTCACTATTCCACGCGAACGGATTCGCGGGCATAAACTAGTAATATTATAAACGTGAAAGTTTTGAAATACGGATGGATGTTTTTTAGTCTTTAACGTAAATACTACTGAACGGATCTGAATGAAATTTGACACAGTGATAGATTATATTCTGGAATAGAATATAAACTATAAGCCACCTTTTTACACTGGTAATGCGAACGAAGCCGCTGGGAGAAACTAGTTTATTAAATGAATTACTTAAGTAATATTTCTTTATTTTATGATGATGATGGTGTGGTAGCTGGGCTATTGGTCGCCGACCAACGTATCGCAGGTTCGGTTCCCGCTCGGAGCAAGTTTTCGTGTTATCCATAAATTGTTGTTTTGGGTCTGGGTGTGATGTGTTTGTAAACGCACCCAGGACACAGGAGAAAATCCTAGTATATGGCAATGACTAGACCCGGAGTTATAATTTGTAGATCACATAAAGACTTGACCCGCGCGGGTATCGAACCCGCGAAATGTTACTCCACAGCCGGTTGCCAACCATACAATAAATACCCATCAGCGGCGCTGATTGCTTACCATCAGGTAATCAGACGGCTCCTTTACCATTCTATCTCATATAAAAAGAAAAAAGAATATGTCAACTAGACTAAAAAAGCAAATGATAAAGTACTAAAAACTAAAACAATATGGTGGACTACTGAAATAATAATAAAAACTAACACTTCGTATGGGATCCGGCTTTTCAGATTTGACGATAACGTTATATACCTAGTAGAAACAAATGATATTAATATCTTATTATAAAAGGGATAAGACTGAAAATAGACTAGCATGGTGACGTTGGACACACCTTTTTTTGAAAACCAAAGGAACTAATAATACAAAAATATAAGACTTTTAACCTTATGCCTGTGTTATTAGATACAAATCTAATAACACAGGCATAAGGTTAAAAGTCTATAAAATTCGAACGAAATTCCAAAACACACCAATTTTTTTAAAACCAAAGAAGATTGTATCTGATATTACATGCATAGGGTTACAAAACTATAAGTTTTTTTTTTCATAAAATCAAACGTCCAAAGCGAGATACTGAGAAATTTATTAAAAAAACAATAATTTCAATAATACTTTTTTAAATCTTAATTTAAAAACTAGATCTGATTTTCGATTCCATTTCTACCTAGAATACTAAACAAATAGTTAAGCCTACACGGACAATTGTTTATATGGCACGGTTCCACAGAGCGTCCATATTCAAAAATATTTTCGAAAAATATCTTACCACGCTTTCGGTGTTCTCGTAATTCTTCTGCTTCTGTTTCTCTTCTTCCACCTTCTCCCCCATCTCTATCAATTTCTCAAACTCTGCTACTCCGTTCTTCAACTCGTGGTATGTGCCTTGTGCTACGATCTGAGAGAAAAAAAAACAATACAAATTATTCAAAATACAGGCTAGGAATTCACAGAAAAACCTTGATTTCAAGATGGAAATAATTGTTGATTGAATAGGGTTGAAATATTTAAATTTTAGTGTCAAATGACCCCACGGGGTCTATAGACATCTAAGGGGGTCAATAGACACAAGAGATTATGATTGGATGATTATAAAACTTTGATTATAATAACATCGGATAATATAATACCGGCGTTCGCTTGGGATTTGACGAATTAAGGAAGAAAAAGAGAAATATTCTGATAGCACTTACTCTGCCGGACCTCATGACGCAGACGTTGTGAGCATGTTTTGCGTACTGCACGTGATGTGTGACTAAAACTGTCGCCTTGTCGCGGAGGAAATTACGGATACAATCTTCGTATATCGCTTGGGCTACCTATAAAGCCAAAATAAAACTAAGTTGCTGATTTTCATATTATATTACATAGTATAAAACGAAGTCGCTTTCCCAGTCCCTATATCCCTATGTATGCTTAAATCTTTAAAATTACGCAACGGATTTTTATACAGTTCTTTCAATAGATAGAGTGATTGAAAAGGAAACTTTATATGTATAATAACATCCGTAAAATAGTGGAAAATTTAGTAACAGTATTGGACCCGTGCGAAGCCAGGGCTGGTCGCGAAGTGCGTTTTTTATATATATTTAAAATATATAAAAAACGTATAAGTAATCAGACACTATCCAATCAATTCCCTTTAATTACAAGCAACGTCACAAGAAAAACAATTGAGTATTATTAAATCCTCGGTCAAAAATAAATTTGATTCAAGATTTTAATACAACTAAATATTCAAAAATAATCGTACTTCATTTGAAGATTTGACGATATAATTAATTTTAGATATTTATGAGTTACATTTTAAAATAAAACTACGCTGTTTGATCCAAAAATATGATGACATCACATTTCTGTTTTCTACACCATTTTCATAGAGCAGTTTCGTTTTTAACATTACAATAAAAGTATTGAATTTGACTAGTTCTCAAATACTGTATTACACTTGTTTTGCATTGAATGGTGACGCACCTTAGCATCGACAGCTGCGAGTGGGTCGTCCAGTAGATAGACATCAGCGTTCTGGTAGACACATCGAGCTAACGATATCCTCGCGCGCTGACCGCCGGAGAGAGAGGCACCTGGACAACACAGTTAGATGAAATAAAATTCACGTACATTGATTTTTTGGAGGAATGGGGTGAATATGTGTCGAGCGTACAGGGCGTTGATTCCGCGCGCGCCTCAAAGAGCTTAATGACTACCACGGACGGGGCCCTATAGGGCTGATGTTCAGCCGGGGTTGCGGGGCAAGCGCAATGAGGCACCGCGGCCTCGGACTAGAGAAGGAAAAGGAACGAGAGTGTTTTTTAATCAGCAAGACTCTGACACGCCCTCCCGCCCTACCCTGGGCGGGAGAAGTCGTTTAATGATTTTCCCCCTCACAAGAAAAGGGTGAATAAGTGTAGGAGATCCAAGCTTCGGCATGAATGGGTCGTTACTTGATGGTGAGCAATCACACCGCCCATGGACACCCGCAACGGAGGAGTTACGAGTGCGTTGCCGTCCTTTAAGGAATTAGTGTTTTGGAGATTTAGGGATTGGGGAGGGATCGGGGGAGGGGAAGAATTGGGCCTCCGGTAACCTCACTCACACGGCGAAACACAACGCTGTGGTTGTTTCACGCCGGTTTTCTGTGAGGCTGTGGTATCAGTTCGGTCGAGCCGACCCATTCGTGCTGAAGCATAGCTCTCCCACACTTCTATATTCTATTATTTTCTGTATTAACTCACCTCTTTCCCCCACGACCGTCTTATCTCCATGTGGAAGTATCTCCAGATCAGTCTTCAGCTGACAGCACTTGATCACCTGTTTATACCTTCGCAGGTCCATATCCTGACCGAATAGGATATTTTGACGGACCTAAAACGAGAAAACAAGGATGATTGTAGAACTCAGATCAAATTTTCTTGTTATTGATACGAATAAACTCCTACTAAGCGAGGGCGGGGCAACACTAATCTTACGCCAGTTTGAAGCGCGCGTCCCGTCACTAGGTCGAGGCTGTCAGAGAAGAAAACTGTTTCGAAAGAATTATTTTTTATTATTATATTAGAATAAAAATTCAGAAAGCGCTTTGTACTGTGAAGCCGATTTATCTATATTAATATTATAAAGAGGTAAAATTTGTAAGTTTGTATGTACTATAAGTGTCATAAGTGCATGGATGATTCTAAATCAAAATCGTTTGTACGGCGTTTCATCGCCTTAATTATATACCATGGACGACATAGATGGCGCTAGTATACTAGTGGTATTGAAAAATATACATTTATAGTTTTTATCAGATACAAAGTTATTAACTTAATAATTTTTTATACAAATTAATGCTACGATATTCCAAACCTTTTTAAAGCAAAGCACGCAATAACCAGGATTCGAACTCGGTAGCATAAAATTAACCGATGCCACTAGCCATTAGGCCATTACATAACCTTGAAATGTATTGAAATTATCCTACTCTTTATTATATTGAAGTTGTTTAGCAACTATAACCCGATCATAAATCTCAAAACAGTTGAGGGTAATTTAAAATTAACTGTATAAAAATTAAACCTTTTTGTTCAATCATAACATTCTTTACTATCTTTGAGTGAGTTCAGTCACGATTTGTTTAACAAGTTTTTAATATTTATTTTTATTATGAATTTGCGTACTAATGTTGATATGGCTACGAGGGCCCAAATAATAGCATTGCATAATCAAAGCTTAAATTATACTGGAATTTCTAGAGAAACTGGCTTAAACGTAAGTATTCTTATAAATGACCGTTTGTTATTTATTTTATTATCCATGGTTATCGATACATGAAAATAATAAATAATACACGTCCCTTACAGGTAAAGACTGCCACTTTATGGATATCTAAAGCTGTTTCAAGAAGAGGGTTCATTGGAGCACCGTAGTGGATCTGGCAGAAGACGTGATATTGACTCAGACCAGTTTCAACTTATGGGGCAAGGTTATGAGGAAAATTACTGGAGCATTGTCATCTTCAGTGATGCAAACAGTGAAAACTACATAGATGTGCTGAATGACGTCATGAAGATGTGCTAGTGATAACGTTCGTGCAGGACAATTGTCCTATGTGTAATGTTCCATAGTTGTGCAAGTGTTTAGTCATCAATCAGACATACGGATTATTCCTTGGCCAGCGAGATAGGAGAAATAGGATCGATAGAAATGGCGGCTACACTAGTTCTTAAAAGAAAATACATTGTTGACTATAGGATAAAGCAATTACAAGACCGGGGTAGCTATAATTTATTTAATAGATAAATGTTCAAACTTAGTGTTAGTAGGATAAATTTATTGACTACTTTATAACCATCGACTGTTATACAGTAATGATTTTAATGTTTTACTAAATATGAGAAATAAAAATAAAAGCAATATTAATATTTACAGATGCTATTGATTGCAAAATAATAAATTATTTATTTATTAATTACTATGAACAATTCGTCCCATATCTAGTGAATGCTATATCCCGGTCTTAGAAATGTTATTGATTTAAGGTCTAGCTTCAATTTCTTCCTTGTTCTGGAACGAATACTTAAGCTATGAGCCTTTGTCATAACATGATGCACAAAATGAATCACTTTAGTCAATACTTTAATTAAATTTTATGGGGAGGTAAAATAGTTGCAGAAGTAAGGTTGTATATTATATAGAATCGTAGATATTATAACATTGTGTTTAAAACTAACTAATAAATGACTAGCACAACACAATTTTGATTTAAAATACTTATTAATCTTATAAAAAGTGTAATAAATAATGTGTCAGTTACCTGAAAAGTTATTAGGTAAGAGTATACACTATATAAGAAAGAAATAAATATTATGTTTTAAGAAATAAATGTCTGAAATTATAATGTCACTAAAATAGTTTTATTTGTTATCCTTTATGAGAATTAAACTTAGTATTAGTCTTAATCTGTAAGAAAAATATGTTACTTTTACATTAATAGTTAGCACATATTATAAAAGTTATTTATATATATTTATTAAAATAATTTTATTCTAAAATAATATATTTATTTATTTTTGTTATCTTTTATAAATATTAAACGTCAAATATTTTATTTATATATAATTATTATTGATTTTATATAAAAAATTTAAAAAAACCATTGTTAAAAAACCTGAATTTAAAAATGATAAACCCGGAATTGAACCGCTGCCCTTCGACTTCATTATACTATCATTCTTATTTACCCGAGCTACCGATCGCATTTTTATGACATCGAAAATGCGGGTTAGTTTATAACTTTTATTATTGTCTATTATAAATTATTGACGCCATCTTTTAATTGGTTTGCTTGACTTGACTTAGATGGCGCTATATTAAGTCCTCGGAAATGTGAAAATTAACACAATTTATGTGTATTTGAATATAAATATATTATTGTTTCTTAATTATTATTTTAACCATTAAAAACCTTATTGTGTGCCTCTGCAGTGTTAAGCATTCAAGCTTTGCAGGGTTATTTTCATTTAAAAGCAGCGCCATCTAGTTATCAATGGTAGCGTTATGCAAAACCTGTCAGTCAATAGTCGACCTTAAGCTCTCCATGCATTTTTGTCACCCTTAGTACGGGGTAATCTTTGGAACCGCTGGTCGGATTTACAAAAATCTTTCACTGATAGATAGCTACAATGTTCCTGAGTGCTATAGGCTATAAAACCTATCACGCTACGATTAAAGGAGTCGAGCAGCGGGTGAAACCGCGCGACAGTAGCTAGTTTAATTATATGTTTATTTATTAGTATTGTGTACCTTGTCCTATAATCGAAGAAAAAATAAATATTTGAATAAAAAAATTATAAAAATTAATGAAAAACATTTTTTGTCATTATCCCTGTTGATATACATATTACAAGTCTACTTACGGAAGCCTCAAACAGCCACGGTTCTTGTGACGCGTAAGCCACGATAGCGTGGACGTGAAGGTGTCCAGAGGTGGGCGTGAGTTCCCTCAACATGGCCTGCAGGAGCGTGGACTTGCCTGACCCTACTGTGCCTACTACTGTCGTTAGGGTGTCCGGTTTTATCTGTGGGGAAATGTAAAAAAATATCATAACGCTTAATAAGTCGCGAAAAATGATTTTTACTGCAGTCGCAAACAAGACTAAGTGTGTAAAGTGTGGGAGAGCCAAGCTTCGGCACGAATGGGTCGGCTCGACCGGAGTGATACCATGGCCTCACAGAATACCGGCTTAAAACAACCACAGTGTTGTGTTTCGCCGTGTGAGTGAGGTTCCGGAGGCCCAATCCCTCCCCCTTCCCAATCCTTAAATATCCGCAAGGCTGGCAACGCACTCGTAACTCCTTTAGTGTTGCGGATGTCGATGGGCGACGCCGATTGCTTACCATCAGGTAATCCGCCTGCTCGTTTGCCGACTTATCCCATTAAGACAAGACAGTAACTCACAGTTAAATTGATATCTTCAAGAGCTGGTATCTTTCCATCGATGCCTTCATCGTCGACGTTTTTCCAGTGAGCTGTGTAATCCTTCATTGCTATTAGCACGGGCGGCTTTATCTGTTCTAGGTTGGTTTCCGACTTGATATACGCTTGCTGTCTGGAATTCAAAGGTTTTGAATATTAAAAGAAATAACAACTACTGGACAGGTTTTTGTACGATTATCATCGGTGTATGGTCTGATTCCTAGGAAAAGTTTAAGTGTGAAATATATTAATATTTTGACCAAGTAAGATTTTAATTTTAAAATCTGCATGCATTTTTAAATTACAATTACACGCCACAAGATCTAAATTTGGGTGGGCAGGCTCCATCGTAGGTCGCATTATCATCGTTTACCACAAGGCGTGATAGCGGCCAAATGTCTGCTAATTCCGAAATAAAAAAGAAAAAAATAATTGTGCGGAAAACTTTTTTGGATTTTGTTATAACTTTATTTTACTGTTTTAATATTGTAACATCTGTAAGTTACCTAAAGAACAATACTAAATGAAAAATAAAAATTAATCGATTTGTAATCTCTATATTGCGTACCTAGGTATTATTTTCACGAAACTAAATAAACAGAATCTTATCATAAAACTATTAAAAAAAAATTATTTGAAACAAGAAACCAGAAAAGCCTAAAAAATAGCAAAACCAACTCACCCGTTACCAATCTTCTCAAAAACTCCATTTGATTGCACCAACTTCTCTTCAATAGTCAACAGGTCGACCCCATCCTGATTATCCACCTCAGGAAGCAACAAAAACTCTTGCATCCTTTTCACACTCACATAAGCTTCCAATGTAAAAGTAATTGCAAGAGGGAGAAAGTCAACAAGCGTGTATTTCAAAATTTCATAGTACGAGAAAATAACGAATACTTTAGCCGCTGTCAATTCATTTTGGAATGATATGTAAGACATTATGCTTAACAAAATGGCCACTTTCGTGTTTAATTTGACACAGGATATCATAACGGCTCGAAGCCATGACATTTTCTTTATAACGTTCATTTCTTTCCTGTGGACAATGAAAGAGAGGATTTAATAATAAAATAACACTGGGAAAACTGGGGTCATGCATAATCGAAATGTTTATTGACCCCTTAAAGAATTTATCTCAAATCAATTTTAAATGATAAATACAGATCAAATAAAAAAAAATTTTACAAAATAAAAAAACCGCCTTCAAAAAAAGTCAAGCAATAAAAGTTCCTACACTAAAAAGTAAAAAATAACAATTTGAATTACTGTAAAAAAACTTAATTTATAGGTAAACTTATTTGACATTAATATTTTGCAAATATTCAAAATTTATTACTTATTTTTGGAGTCGGTGCCAGCATTTTGATGTTGAAACTTAATGTTAGTTAGGTTTTTAATATCCGATGCCATTTTTCGTAGATAATGCTTAAACATTTTCAATGTACTTAAAATGTTTTTGTAAGTACATATTTTTTATTTAAAAAAATGTGCAAATCGGACATTTTTTGTAGAGAAGTCTAATCTGTATTTATGTCTTAATTAATATACCTATATTTGAGTATGCAAATAGGTATTAAGTAGTTTTATAATTAAGTAAGAGGTAGTTTTTCAAGGGATTGTTGCCCATTTGTATTTCCTTGCATGGGCTGGCACCGACTCCAAAAATAAGTAATAAATTTTGAATATTTGCAAAATATTAATGTCAAATAAGTTTACCTATAAATTAAGTTTTTTTACAGTAATTCAAATTGTTATTTTTTACTTTTTAGTGTAGGAACTTTTATTGCTTGACTTTTTTTGAAGGCGGTTTTTTTATTTTGTAAAATTTTTTTTTATTTGTAGCCGTTTAGTGTTTTTTTTTTTATTATAATGTGTTATGGCAAAGAAGTCAATATCGTTCCTACATTTCTTTTGAAAAAGTTACCAATGTCATACTTATACGTAGAAATACATATCATAGTACATTATTACTGTGTAATCGTTTTGATCTCGAGGAGAGATGATATGATGCATGAGATACTTATGACTTATAGTTAAAATAAAATAATAATCTTATCATAAATTCATATTAGTTCTCGCCAAATAACAAAAAACTAGATATTTTCATCAACAGACAGATAAAGTTCAAAGATACCAAATACAATCTAATTTAGTATCTATGATTAAATACATTCGTACATAGAAAAAAGACCGATGCAATTATTGTTTTGTATCAATTGTAACCCATTAAATGAAGAATACTATTTTGTTATTACTAAGAACATTCATATATAGACAAGTTGGTAAAAATATAAAAGACCATCGCTATTGTAAATATACATTTATGACTCATTCAATGTATGAACCTTTTTTAAGTAAGTATTATCTACATATGTGCACACAAAAGAAACACAATTATTGTTTTGTACGACGCAATTATTGTTTTGTAACCCATTTAAAACGACTGTTTTGTTAAAAATGCCAATTAATTCTCTTAGCCTATTACCAGGAAAACGATAAGAACACAATGACGCATTTCACCACTAATGTGTAAACGCAGTCCACGTGGACTAATGCAAAATAGCCAATACTAGGCCAAACTCCGCCCCCAAAGGTGTGCGGTCCCGCTCTAGAACCTTTCGGCCCCATCGGCCATCTGTTCTACGAGCAATGTGCCGTGCCCACTGTCACTTAAGTTTGGCATTTCTTCGGGCTATGTCGGTGACGCTGGTTCTTCTGCGGATTTCTTCATTTCTGATTCGAACATGCACGGAAACTATGAGCATAGCCCTTTCCATTGCTCTTGACAGCTCTAATAAGCTTACACAATACTAGGCCCCATGCCAACCTTCCAGCTTCATCATCACATCAGTTCAATAGTACCTTACAGCCAAAGTGCATCTTATAACAATTCTAACAAGCCCAAACACGGCTAGGATATATTAATTAGGTACGCAGTTCCAGTGCCTACCTTCCAGCTCCATAATCATCATTAAATCAGTTCGATGATAACATTTCCAACATAATTATTTAAGATCATTGGTTTACAGTGCATTTTCATAGTTGCTGAACTACCTTGATTGTGATATCTATGCGAGTGTCAAGTTTCATCATCCATTTCTGATCTTCTTCACCAGTTCCACCTCATCAAACATTACTTTTTGACTGTAAATGCTTGAGTGCTCTATGAAAATATTAAAATTACTATATAGTTGCCTATAATATTTGAGGAGTTCCCTCGATTTCTCATGGATCCCATCATCAAAACTTGATTTTGAAAAGAATGGGACCAATCTGGAAGCATATCCTTTCAATCATAAAAAAAATTTTGCAAATCCGTCCATAAACGACGGAGTTCTGAGGTAACAAACATAAAAAAAAAAAATAAAAAAAAAAAAAAAAAAAAAAATACAATCGAATTGAGAACCTCCTCCTTTTTTTGAAGTCGGTTAAAAAGAGACTTACACCCGGTTTCTGAAAGGCTTGTCAACGCTAAAATTAACTAATCTCCTGTTAAATCTCTTGTCAAGTCATCTGATTGGTTGTTGATAATTCAGTCAACCAATCAGGTGACTTGACAAGAGATTAAATTTATTTTAGCATTGTTCGGCCTTTCGGAAGCCGGGTGTTAAAGCAATATTGACTAACAATAATTAATGCAATAATGTAGAAAAAAGACGATGGACGATGTCATAGGGTCATTAGACACTAGAAAGTATAGTAGCCTTAACAATAATTTAAGCAAACGCGTTCTACCACGCGTACATATTCATCTCAATACTCTGTATCACTTACAATATACAAACGCCGGCGTTCGCTTGGAGTTCGGCAAATTAATAACACAATAACACTTGAAAAACTGGGGTAATTTATTATAAAAATGTTTATTGACCCTTTCAACAAAAATGAAGTCCTTTTTTGATAATGAAGAACTAATTGTACAGATTTGCTTAGTCAATAATTAATATAATTATGTAGTAATAATACGATGGGGTCATGGGGTCATTAGACACTTACTTTCTAGCCTTCCCGATAATTTTAGCGAAGGCATTCTCCCACGCGTACATCTTAATAGCCTCAATGCTCTGTATAACTTCATTCATCAGTCTAATTCGATTGTCTGTCCGTATCGCCGTTTGGTGACGTAATTTACTAGATATTTTTCCTAAGTAACCTGTAACAAAAAATTCAAGTTCATGTAAAATTTGATATAAAAAAATAAAAGTGCGACGATCTCAAGGTTATCTAAATAATTTTTTACGAGACCATTATGTTGTTTCACGCCTGCTTTCCCCACAGGAAGCAGGCTTGAAACAACGACGACGTTGACGACATTGCTCCCCAATCCTCATATCTTCGAAACCCATAATCTCCAAAAGACCAGCATCGCACTTGTAACTCCTTTGGTGTGTATGTTGCAGGTGTCCATGGGCGGCAACGATTGCTTACCATCAGCTAACCGTTTGCTCGTTTGCCATCCTTTTACAACAAGAATAGAACGGAAGCAATTTTAGAAAACACATCAAAAGCCCCACTACAACTTTTTCAATAATTATTGAAAGAAAACTTGTTAGATTTTTCTTTCGTTGCGCATATAGTGTGTGGTGATACCACGGCCCCTCAGAAAACAGGCGTGAAACAACCACAGCGTTGTGTTTCGCCGTGTGACTGAATTTACCGGAGGCCCCATCTCTCCCCTCCCTCAATCCCTTAATCCCCAAAAGGCCAGCAACGCACTCGGAACTCTTCCGTTGTTGCCATCCGTGGATATCCTTCATGGGCGGCGCTGATTGCATACCACCAGGTAATCCGTGAGATCTCTTGCCGTCATATCGTATAAAAAAACCTAGGGGTCAATAGTCACAAAAACTCACCTTGTAACGGAATGAACATGAGTAGGAAAGCGACCCCAAAGAATGTCGCGACCCCAATCTGCCTGTACATTAGGTAGACTATGAGGGCGCTCTCTATTGGGGTCCTGACGAGATCGACCATGAAGAGACTGGCCATGTCGAACCGTTGGGCATCTGTCGTAAGGAGGTTCACTACGTGACCAGCTAAACCTTCGGAAGCTTTACCTCCTTTGGTTAAATCTAGACGAAGTAGCTGTAAGGATGAAAAAATTAAATACACACTACATAGTATAAAACAAAGTCGCTCTCTCTGTCCCTACATATCCCTATGTATGCTTACATCTTTAAAACTACGGTACTTAAATAGATAGAGTGAGTGAAGAAGTCGGTTTATCTATAATTTAAAAATGAATCGCAAAATGTGTTGGTAAGCGCATAACTCAAAAACCGCTGGACCAATTTTGCCAAATCCTTTTGTTTTGTAATGGTTTTGTATTTATCATTGTCAGGAGAAGGTTCTTATGAAAGAAAATATTAGAAAAATAAAGGGGAACATTGGGGAATTAGGACTGGTCAGCTCCGGACTGTCTGTTGTCCTTAAGGTTATTTTCTTTTTATGTTTCTCTGTGTATTTGCGTTACACTGTTCTCACATAATCAAACCAACTAAATAATGTATCAAAGAATCTTTATGTGACACCTATTTTAAAAGAGTAACCATGGAGTTTCTTGCTCGTTCTTCTTCATCGGGATCTACACTTTGGAACGAGCGAATAGCTTCACTAAGAGGACTGACCTACACCGACACTAATTGAAATAAATGAATTTCACTTTTGACTTTTTGAAAAGGGACCCTTTCATTGTTAGCAAGATGGTTGGACCGGTGCGAAGCGGGGGTGGGCCGCTTGTATGGTATAATAATATCCATTAAATAGTGGAGAAATTTTGTAAGTAGCATTGCACATAACTCGACGAGTTCAGAACTAATTTTGTCGATTTAAAATTAAGCCGTTTGCTTGCTTCTTGCACCGACCATTGGCTCATCTCTGCATCACCCAAGGTTCGACTGGTAGAAAATGCCTTAGGCATTAAGTCGGCCTATGTACCCATTGTTAACAAGTTTAAATAAATAAAAAAAATCCTTTTGATGTGTATTTCCTTTCCTTTCCTTTGTTATTGTCAGGAAAAAGATTTTAATTTTCATAGGAAAAAATAAGTAGCGATGTAAGTAATTTGGGATATAGCGTCTTTTTCGTCGTAAGTGAAGACAAGAAAATCTCCTCAACGTAAAAACTAATGAACGGATCCGGATGAAATTTGGCACAGAGATATTTTTTTTAATAGCTTGTAATGTCCCACTGCTGGGCAAAGGCCTCCCCATCTCGCTTCCACACCTCCCGATCCTTCGACCGTGTCCACCAGTCTCGACGATAGGCGTCTAGATCGTCACGCCATCTTTTCCGGGGCCTACCCCGCCTGCGGCTTCCATCCTGAGGTGTCCACTGGGTGACAATAGTGGCCCATCTCTCCGGATGCATTCGGCTGACGTGTCCGGCCCAGTCCCATTTTAATTTTAATTAAAAATAGATTATAGTCTGGAATAACATTTAGGCAACTTCTAACCGTGGTACTGAGCGAAGCCGCTGACTGGTCTAATAGACGTCGATCGTACCGTTCAACAATATGTGCGCGAACGCCGGCGTTCGCTTGGGGTTTGATTAATTAATTGTGTTATTATAATATTTAAAATCGTATGTTATTAATTACCTTTCTATAAATGAGTGATCCGCAAGCGACGCGTACTTTCATAGCCATGTCCAGTAACCATAGCAACATGGGATGCACTAAGCTAGCACTCAGCGCCATTAGACTGAAACATAACATTACAATTTTATTACTGTTAAATTCATTGAAAACTTACATTTAGGCTTGCGTGTTTTAGGTGACGAATTGATATAATCCATTCCTTCCCCTCCCCTAACCTAATCCTTCACCAATTCCAAAATCTCCAAATCCCTAACCCACAAAAGTTCGGCAACGCACTCGTCACAACGACCAGAGCGATACCTATACCACGGCCTCACTAGCGTGAAACAACTACAGCTTTACCGGCGTGTCACTGAGGTTACCGGAGGCCCAATCCTTACTACCCTCCCGCAGCCCTCCTCATTCCTTATATCTGTACTAATATTATAAAGAGTTAAAATTTGTACGTTTGTATGTAGGGGGTAATCTTTAGAACCACTGGTCGGATGCCCAAAATTCTTTCACTTGTAGATAGCTACAATGTTCCCGAGTGCCATAGGCTATAAAAAATCACGCTACAATCAAATGGAGCTGAGCAGCGAGTGAAACCGCGCGGAAGCAGCTAGTAATATTATAAAGAGGTAATATTTGTAAGTTTGAATGTAGAAAGAAAGAAAGAAAGTAGCTAGTTGGCCCCTAAAAGGCTGTAGAAGGCTGCAGTCGTAACTCCTCCAGTGGTGTCTATGGGAGACACCGATTGCTTACCATCAGGTAATCCGTATGCTCGTTTGACGACATATAACAAATAAATATACATTGTATAACTTACCCCACAACACCGAGAGCGTATAGATACGCCTCGCTAGCTGTGACGCCGGCGTGGGACGGAGAGAAGTAGTTGATTAGACCTTCTAAGCACATCGGTATTGACAATCTGAGGAAAAAATATATACGTGTTCTTTGAAATATAAAAAACAAGATGTAATAATAGGTATACCAAGTAGATTTTTTTTTTCCTTCGTTGAAAACCATAGAGATTAGTCCTATAATCGTTTAAAATCGGATCGGAAAAAATATATACAAAGTTAAAAAAAAAATTGATATCGCCTGAAAACTGAAAATAAATACAAAGAAACCTAATAGAAAATTTATTTTTGTACTGTCGTGGTGGGTCGGAGGTTAAGGCGCCTGCTTCTCATGCATGAGGGTGAGGGTTCGAAACCGGGCAAGTACCAATGTGACTTTTTCCGAGTTATATGTACATTCTATGACGATCTAGACACCACTGACATACGGTGAAGGAAAACATCGTGAGGAAACCGCCAATTTGAAATCGCGAATCGGCCTTGAGCAAGAGTGGTGATTAATGTTAAAACCTTCTCCTATGCTCAGCTTACTTAAGTTCCTATATCCCCTAGGTGGGGCAGAGGGCTTCCACAGTATTTTTCCATTTGGACCTATCTTGGGCTATGTGCTTAATTTCGGACCAGGACAGTCCTATCCTCTTTATTTCCACCGCCACGATTGCTTAGGACGGCCAAATTTTCGCCTGCCTTGTGGTGTCCACTCTAGAGCTTGTCTCGGTATGTGTGTGGGACCTCTCCTGAGAGTGTGCCCTATCCATGACCACTTTCGGCGTGTAATTTGCTTATCTATTGGCATTTCCCGGCACGCCTCCCACAAGCGTTCGTTCGAGATCTTCTTTGGCCAGAGAATGCCAATGCCTTGGCTTAGCAGTGGGCACTTATAGGCTGATGATGGTGATAGAAAATTTACTGGGTCTTTGATTAGGTTTACTGGAACTATTACGCTCCCCGCCACGCCACCGCCTACGCTTAAACATTATTCCGGTTCCCGTAAAAGTCTTTCGACTTTGAAATAGTCATGAAGGAAATGATAATCATGGGTGCGGAAGGCGAAGACTCTTGTGATGTGGCGCTACATGCAAGAGGCTTATCCTCTAAACTCCTTTGGTGTTGCAGGAGGCCATGAGCGTCTTTGATCGCTTACCATCAGGTGATCCTAATACAACTGGCTTTTTTGGGGGAGAGATAATGGTCAAATGACTTTTCTTACCGAGGGTGGGGTAAGAGTGTGAGTTTTACCTATTGACTAAATACCCCACGTTCTTTCTCCTGCTTTAGGCCAAGGTCGCGGTGCCACATTGCGCTTACCCCGAAACCCCGGCTGAATATCAGCCCTATAGGGCCCCGTCTGTGGTGGTCTATTGGCTCTTAGAAGCGCGCGGGGAACGCTACGCGCCCTACGCTCGGGTCCGGTTCTAGTCGGGCAGCGAGCTATCCTTGCTCGCCGTGGATTAGAATTTGGGTTCGACTTACCTTATAGATGCATCTAAAATGGCGTATATAATATTTCCTATGATAAATTTGTGCCCGTGGGTGCGTATTATCGCACGCAGCAGCGATGGTTGCTTGCCTTTTTCTGGAAAAGAAATAAGTTTAGATTAAAAATCTTTTTAAAAACAAGCTTCTATCAAGTTGCCCGGACTACGCGTTTAAGAGATTTTTATGGATACAGTTTTATAGCTTAGCACTTATGGTTATATAAATTAAACGTTTATCGTTCACACATTTTCAACTTAATCGGTCAAGTATATCTGTTTAAAAATTTCGTTTTGAAATTCCACATTGTGTTGGATTTAATAAAATATTGTATTTTGTTAACAAAATATAATATTTTTAATGTTGATACAATATCTATTTTTTTATTATAACTTTCGTGAGACATACTATTTTAATTATTTTGTAGCAGCGCGACAGTCGCCGCGTCGCGTGTCGCGGAATGCTGCTCATGAATATGAGCCTCTAGCATGGCTTGAAACTAGTCGAGTATCTCGTCAAAACAATTACGTGAGTAAGCCGAAAACATAATAATTAATATCTATTTTATTCAATCCAACACAAGTTGGAATTTCCAAAAGGAATTTTGAATCAGATATACTTGATATACAGTCTTTAATTCACAATATACAATTACGGACAAATCGGATTTCTTAAAAAAAGCAATAATGACAATCACCTTTTTTCTGCAACTGTTTCTTCCACTGTACGCCCATAGTGTCGCCGCGCGGCGCCGCCTTGTGACCCGGTGTACATCTATTTAACACAATAAAATCTAATTTAAAATGCTAGATAACAATAAATAATCTACAATTAATAGTAAAATAGGTAAGAAAAGTTCCTTCCTCAAGAAGAACATGCTTCATCAAAATCAATTGATAAGAGGGAATAGGAGTCCATTCCATAAAAAACCCCCGACAAGAAATCTTATATTCCTTTAAAAAGTAATAATTAAAAGAAAACGCGGCGTTGGGACCGATCCATACATTTTATTATCAACTACATATTTCTATTTTGTCGGGGGTCTAACTTTTTTATTTTATACTTTTTATATCATTTTCTCTCGATTAATTCATCAACATTTCCTTTCAGTGCGCTTTCATTTGAGACCCCACTCGAGTATATTTGCAGACCTTCGGTTACCCTTCCCCGCTTACCCCCCCTTAACTTCTAAACGGCTCAACCGATTTTCTTCAAACATGTCTAAGAACACTCGCAAGTTAGTCACCTTTAATACAAAAATTACTAAATTGAAATCGCTTCACCCGTTCAGGCTACAGGATGCCACAGACAGACAGACAGACACGTCAAACTTATAACACGCCTCTTTTTGCGTCGGTGGTTAAAAAGAGGGAGAGAAGACCACCCCGTTCTTTCTTCTGACCCGAGCTGGAGCCGCGGTATATTAATGCGTTAGCGTTCAGAGCCCCGGCTGGTTAGGAACGGGCTGACAGACTTTCCAGGTCAGGTTATGTGATGTGAAAGTCTATGATTATAAGCATAGATAAAGTTCATCTTCTTGATTCTTCTCTTCTATACAAAAATAATTATGATACTAACCTATAAACATCTGATATGCTCAGCTGACCTTTCCTGCCTTTCGCGAATATCGGCTTTGTGTACCTGTAAATAGATAATAGATTTGTTTAATAGGTCGTTCATTAAATGCGCTATCAGGATTAAAGTACCGTATTTCTTGAGAATAGACCTCTTAGATATATCAAGAGATTCATTATGTTTCGCTTTGTGAGTGCTTTTCGAAGGAGAAATCCTTCCCATCCCAAAATCGGGTGATTTCGGAATACTGAAATCCATAAACCTCGAAACAACGAATTGGCCTATAGGCAGCATACTTGTCACTCCTCGACCATCACCTGGCCAGCTGGTTTTCCGACCTATCCCATAAAAAATGTTGTAGTACCTTTAGCGATGTTCAGGATTGTGCTTACTGGTAGATCCTGCCTTCAGGAGTTGCAGCAGTTTTAGAGGTTGTTGCGGAGTTGTCCTAAAGTGCTTTAAGCAACTTAAATTAAAGATGTATCCGTTTCTACGCGCTTGCTCAGGCTCACAATGTATTTCCTTCATCGTAGGCCAGGTGTAAAGTAATAGAATTAAAAAAATAAACTCACCAAAAACAACACTTCGAAATGAAGCTGGCCGTCTCCCTCGGATTCTGTTTCCTCTCGATATCAAAATATCCGGGATCCATTATTAATTAGCTTATTTATTAATTAATTAATTTATTTATCTATTAATATATTTGGCACTTATCGTGACTGTATATCACAGTTACATATACATATAATTAAATACATTTAGGAATCTCTTCGCCTTTTAGGATACCTGTAACAATGAAATAAAATATTTATTAATAACATGTAAGATAACTTAACTATAACATAACAATAAAATAACAACGAGATACGTTTACTTTTTATTAATAAACTAGCTAGTCTCGCTCGGTTTCACTCGATGCTCAGCTCCATTTGATCGTAGCGTGATGTTTTATAGCCTATAGCACTCAGGAATATTGTAGCTATCTATCAGTCGAAACATAATTTTGGCAATCCGACCAGCGGTTCCAACGATTACCCTCTACATACAAACTTACACACATACAAACTTGCAAAGGAGAATGCCTATTTTGTAAAGGAATATTATAGTAAAATCTCTTTATAATATTATAGTATGGATTATCTAAGCATTTATCTTAAGTTTTCGAAGTAGCTCGACAGATTTCAAGCGTAAACAGGGGCCCGAAATATTGACTGATTGCTCTACAGTTTTAGTAAAATAATGTATTAATTGAGTTTTGGGAAACTTCTCAGCGTGTAATTGCGACTACGTTGAATTAGGTTATTTGACTTTTTATAAGAAATCTCCTATATTATAATTAATTGTTCTATTTAAAATACAATATAATTTAATTTATTGTTTTGTCATAGAAAAACAGACATTCTTCGTCGATGTCTAGGTATCCAAATTACACATTGGCCCGCACTAATCAAAAATTAACCAAGTATCTCTATAAATAGAATCTAAATAGCTTTGACGAAAAAAAGGTTATTTGCAAAGGTGCCCCGACCTATTCAAGTAGGTCACATTTTGCACGCAACGTCGTAGATTGACACGGGGGCGTGGAGTATGTAGCGGACAGAGTCTAAGGTTTAATATAATATATAATAGTTAAGGTTTAGCTGAGACCTTTTGCTAAAGAATTAAAGAATCAATTTCGAAATTCGAATAGTTGTTGCTTTTTTTTAACTTACCCTGTAGATTATATTATTTTTGTTTTTGACGGCCAAGTCAATAGCAATAGCAATAGCCCGCAATAAATATAAATCAGAAGATTAAAGGAGAATTAAATTCTCCTTTAACTTAAGAAGAAGGAGAGGGAAAACGTCCACGTAATTACCAAAATTCGTAGGTTGTGAAAATGAAACCAATCAACGCAGTTTACTTTTAATGGCACCAAATACCCAATGGAGGATAAACATGTTGTTTTGCGGTTTCTGGTTATTAAAAGGTTTATTTGTATTAGTTTATCCACATCGATAAAAAATAACATTTATAATATGTATTCGTCTTTCGTTTACATCGAATCGGACTGTTTTCAATAGTTTAATTGTCTGTCCAGAACACGACCATTCACCGCATCAAATTGTAGTTCTGCCGTGCAAAGTGTCGCGAGTCGAGTTCGATTCCCGCATGGAACTCGGTGTGATGTGTATGTGAAACTGTATGTTCGTAACCTCACCCACGATATAAAAAAATGAGAGAGGAAACATTTTCATGAAATATTTTTTATGTTATCTCCATAATCTTTTTTATATGATTACGGATATAGGATAGTGGTCAAATTATGCAATCAACACAAATTATATTATATAAAACATATACATATATCGAAACAACTGCATCAAGTTGAGTCTCTGTTAAGAACATAATCAATGTAGTCTGGCGACGCAAGTCTGGCTTTTATGGGGCAAACCCAATTTTGGGGGTAAAACTTACCATCGACCTAGGAAAGGCGGGACGGTAATGTTTTTCTTTCTAGACAGAGTGCCTATTTTTAGTTTTTGTTTTTTGTATGGGATGGGTAAGCAAACGACGCCCAAGGACACATGCAAAGACCAGAGAAGATTTAAGTTCGTTGCCGGCCTTTTGTAGGTTAAGGATTTGAGAGAATTAGGGATGGAGATGAAGGAGAAGAAATCTGCCTCCGGTTAGTGATGGACGATGAGGTACCGGAGACCCCACCCCTTACTTCCACCTTTAATCCTCATATTCACCTAAAAGGCCGGTAACGCACTTGTTAATCATCTGATGTTGCCCGTATCCGACCTCACCAGTGTCCATGGGCGGCGCCGATTGCTTACCATCAGGTAATCTGTCGTTTACTATGCACGCTTATTTATTTATTTATCCATTTATTTCAGGCATCAAAGGCCCATATAAACATATACAATACTATTATTATAAACAATGTAAAACTTAAAAATACTATAAATATATATTACATAATATTAGATTGTAACACTGTCGCTAACAAAAGACGCTTTGGTATAATTTTCGGACTTCTGACTTTCTACATGATTATACGAACAAAAATTGTACAGGTTGGCATTTTGAACGAGGGACATATACAAGGAGCCGATTCTGATGCTCATTAACAAGAACTTTTTCCATAAGACCGATAGGGACATCTCAATAAAATTTTTACTTCTCCATGCTAAATGATCAATCAGCTATTACGATTTTTATGGGGAAATAAATTTAGTTTTGAGATTTCAATTGGTGGAAAGGAAAGTTATTGTAATTGAGCACCAAAATCGCTACGTGCCTTGTTCAAAAGGCCATCCTATATGTGCCTCCTTGAATTAAGAACATCATTTATTATTTTATAGACAAACTTTAAAGCAATATCGACGTTAAAGAATTATTTATGACGAAGAATACGTATATAACTAACAAATTTTATTGTGTATTGTTTCATAGAACTGTGTATTGAATGTACATACATATAAACATGAGTTTTCTACTTAAATCATTAATATGAAAATAAACGCCAAGTTGCAAATACCTTCAATGGGCTTGCAGGTACAAACGTGTGAAGGAATGGCAATGTCGCGGCACTCACGGCAGGAGAAGTCATTGGACAATGTTTCCCTTTTAAAAAAAGATATTACAAATAATTGCTGAAATTATTTACCTACTTAAAGAGTTAAAGCAAGAAATATCCATAATTGGATACTTGACAACTACTCAAATATTCAAAACCAATCCTTTACAAACTGTTAATTTCTAAACTTATCAAAATGACCACGAGATTGTCTATACTAATATTATAAAGAGGTAAAATTTGTAAGTTTGTATGTAGGAGGTAATCTTTGGAACCGCTGATCGGATTGCCAGAATTCTTTCACTGAAAGATAGCTACAATGTTCCCGAGTGGCTATAAAACATCCCTCTACGATCAAATGGAGCCGAGCTGCGGGTGAAACCGCGTGAGAGTAGCTAGTATGTTATAAACCGTTCGGTTTCACATCAAACAGCATATTTATCTTATATTGAAAATTCCAAAGATACCGAGTATTAGCAATTTAAACATTTCATCTTACAGCCCCTTAATATTTCAAAGAGAGCCAAAAGTAGTTCAAGTCACAGTCACAATTATTCAGAATGTCTCAAACTAAAACCATAAACATTAAATATTAAACGAAATCTTTCAGTAAAATTGTTCTACATATAGAAATAATTATTTTTTCCAATATTTTCCATCTCCATATCTGTAACGCAGGACGTGTGATTTTTCCACGAACTTGGCTGTCACCGCCGTGCACCCACATTGTGTGATCGTGGGAAGACATTTAAGTCGTAACACAATGAAATATCAAACACGATTCCCACACATACACACACATATACATATACATCCGTAATTTATTCAAACATTTTAGTATTTTCCCAAGACATATGGTATTACAAAGGTTTTCCTCCGTTTTCATTGTTAAGACTTTAACGTCAAACTAACTTACAATCCGACATGTCTGAAGTAGTTACTTATGTGCAGTTAATAAAGTAATTTAGTAGAAAAATTATTGAACTATTGATTAAACAGACCATTGGTATAGCCAACCAACAATATGGCTTCGTTAAATAAAGTACAATTTATATAAAAAAATCAATGGCATCATATATAACTCAACAATGCCTTTACCGATTTGGCTTATTTTTGTCTTGAATTATTCGTAGAAGTCCGGAAAAGGTTTGTTACGTAGATAAAATTAAAAAAAACTTGAAAACGTGTAAAGTCGATATCCACGCGAGCGGAGCCTCGACCGCTAGTTTAATATAACGTCGTGCAACATTCCACGCGCACCCTAAAGAGGTAAGGCTCAATACGGCTGATGTTTACCCGGGGTTGCGGGGCAAGCGCAAGTAGGTACCGCAGTCTCGGCCTAGAGCAGGAGAAGGTAAAGGGTGATTTATAGTCAGTAAGAGTCTGACACTACATATCGCCTCACACTGGGCGACAAAAAATTGAATGATTTTAAATTCTCCAAAAAAAAAATACTAATACAACATAGCTTTGTTTTTGGGGCGCGAAGCAACCAATGCTGATCCAAAGCGCGATATATCATGGCCCTTTGCCCGCAAGTCGGGATAACATAGCCACTGTCATCATCGAGATAGAGAGCGCTTCTCCCACTGATAGGCAACCCCCTATAAGTAACAGCACCCGTGGAAAAATATTTTCTTATTTATACTTATATTATAAAGAGGTAAAATTTAGTTCGTAAGTTTGTAAATAGGAGGTAATCATTGGAACCATTGGTCGGATGTCCAAAATTCTGCCAGATTCTAGAATTCTGTAGCTACAATGTTTCTGAGTGCTATAGAAACCGCGCGAGAATACCAAGTGTGTTTATAAAAGCATGCAAATCTCATACACATCACACCAGAAAAACAAATTTTGGATCACACAAAGAGTTGCTCCACGGGGTAATCTGACCGGCGCCGCGGGGCAACCGGTCGCCCAACCACCGCGCAAACTTTACAGTCATGGTGATTAACTATTTGTTTCTGCCATCACCACACAACTTAAACAAACCATGAAGGGTAAAGGTCAAAGAACAGCTATGGCCTAATTCGTCTCGCCATTCACCACTCCAAGGGCTCAGTTTGACGAAAATCAATGGGACTAATAGCCATCAAATGGCCTTGAGACCAAATTGTGAAACGAGCAAAACAGATCGGATGATATGAAGTGATCGATTCTATGGACAGGATATTTCCAAACAGCAAAGAAGTTACGAGTGCATTGCCGGCATTTTTGGGAG